TTGTAATAATAATATTGTTATATCTTGGATCTTGAATTCGGTTTCAAGGAAAATTTTTGCCATTATTATTTTTGCTGCTTCTGCATGTGAGATTTGGCTAGATCTTAGGGATCGTTTTCAACAGAGGAATAGACCTAGAATTTTTCAGCTTAAACGTGAATTGATGAATTTGCGTTAAGAATAGAGTTCGGTTAGCATTTACTTCACAAAGTTGAAAACTATATGAGAAGAACTAAGTAATTACCGGCCTAATTGTTCTTGTGGAAAGTGTTCTTGTGGTGGAGTTAAAAATCTTAACAATCATCATCAAATGGAGTACATAATGTCCTTCTTAATGGGACTTGATGATTCTTTCTCTCAAGTTCGTAGTCAGTTGCTTCTCATGGATCCGATGCCTTCCATTAATTGTGTTTTCTCTCTGATTGTTCAAGAGGAACAACAAAGGAGGACTAATAATTCTTCCTCTGATTTGAGCAATTCTACTGGCACATTGGCCTTTGTTGTTAAAACAGAAGTTGCTAAATATGGTGGATCTGGTTCTCAAAATTCTCAGAATTTTACTTTCAGTGCTTCTAAGAATCAGAAAAGAGACAGACCTTATTGCACACATTGCAAGATTCTTGGACATACTATGGATCGTTGTTACAAGATCCATGGATATCCTCCTGGATATAAATTCAGATCCAACAACAATTCTAATGATGCTGCTCATCAAGTTTCTACTTCTGATGATAGACTAGATCAGTCTAATTTGTTTGGAGGTTTTGTTCAAAATCTGAACTCCAATCAATATCAATAGCTAATGTTCATGTTTTCTACACATTTGAGTAACTCAGCAAAGGTCACCAATTCTCTTGATCCTTTTCAAACCAATTGTCTCGCAGGTATTTGCTTTTCTGTGTCTTTGAGTCCTCCAATTTCATCCAATCAATTCTGGATTGTAGACTCAGGAGCTACTCGACATATTTGTTCACAAGTCAATGCCTTTGTTTCTTTGCATTCTATTCATCACACAACAGTTACTTTGCCAAATCATTCTCAGATTTTGGTCCATTTTGCTGGTGATGTGAAACTGAATTCTGACCTTGTGCTTAAAAATGTATTGTTTGTCCCTCAATTCAAATTCAACTTGATCTCAGTCAGTGCTTTAGTTACTAGGTCTGGCCTTATAGTGCGTTTCCTTCTTGATTGCTTTGTTATCCAAGATCTTTCAACCAAGAGGATGATTAGCAGGGGTGACAAAGTCCAAGATCTCTATGTTCTTAATGTTCAGTGTTTGAATTCTATTTCCAATGCTTTTGTCAATAATGTTTCTACTCATATTTGGCATAATAGGCTAGGACACATTTCTTTTAAGAGACTTGATTCTTTGAAAGATCAGTTGAAATGTGATGTAACTAGATTACATAAGTCAGATTTTTGTTATATTTGTCCTCTTACTAAGCAAAGAAGGCTGTCCTTTGAATCCAATAATCATTTGTCAAAATCTCCTTTTGATCTTGTGCACTGTGATATTTGGGGGCCATATCGAACTGTTTCTTATACTGGTCATCGATTTTTCTTGACTCTTGTTGATAATTGCACTCGTTTTACTTGGGTTTATTTGTTGAGGAATAAATCTGAGGTTGTCTCTGTGGTACCGAAGTTTTTCAACATGGTTTCAACTCAGTTTAATGCCAAAATCAAGATGTTTTGATTTGATATATGAGTTATCTTTTGCTGAGTTTTTCCAAGATAAGGGAGTTTTGCATCAGTTTTCATGTGTTGATAAGCCCCAACAAAACTCAGTTGTGGAGTGAAAACATCAACACCTCTTGAATGTGGCTCGGTCATTGTTTTTTCAATCCAGGATTTCAATTTCTTTTTGGACAGATTTTGTTCTTACTGCGGTTTTCTTGATTAACAGAACTCCTTCTCCACTTTTGAGGTACAACACACCTTTTCATTTGTTATACAAAACAGCCCCCGATTACTTTTTCAAGTTTTTGGTTGTTTAGCATTTGTTTCCACCTTAGCTACTCATCGAACCAAGTTTCAACCTCGTGCTCGAGTTTGTGTTTTCCTTGGTTATCCAGCTGGTGTGAAAGGTTATAAATTCTATGATGTGGAGACCAAACAAGTTTTTCTTTCACGAGATGCAGTGTTTCATGAGGAAGTGTTTCCTTTTCATGCTATTACTAGTTCAGATCAAGTTACTGATCCATTTCCAGATTTGGTTTTGCCACATTCTTCATTATAAGTTCATTTTATTTCAGATTTTGCTTCTTTACATGTTCATGATCCATCTATCATTTCTGATGTTCCAGCTGATCTTTCTATTGATTGTCCTGATACTAATTTTCCCATTGTTTCTTCATTGGGTTCAATTGTTTCTCTCTCTGGTGTTGTTTCTACTTCAGCAGCTCCTACTTTAGTAGATGATATTCCAGCAATTGTTCCTTCTACATTTGGTGATGTTGTTCTTCGAAAATCTACCAGAGTAATTCATCCACCTAATTACTTAAAGGATTATCATTGCAATTTACTTGCTGGCTCCTCTTACTCATGCTTCGACTTCCACATCTTATCCAATCTCTAACTATATATCTTATCATGGTCTTTCTAATTCACACAAACAGTTTGTGCTCAGTATATCCTCTCAGGTTGAGCCTCAATACTATCACCAAGTAGTGAAGTTTCCTAAATGGAGATTGGCTATGCATGAAGAGTTGAAAGCTATGGAAGTAAACAACACCTGAATAGTCACTTCTCTTCCTCCTGACAAGCATACCATTGGCTGCAAATGGATTTACAAGATCAAGCTTAAATCGGATGGATCTATTGAGCGACGTAAGGCTCGTTTGGTAGCCAAAGGCTATACACAACAAGAAGGTTTGGACTTTGTTGAAACCTTTTTTCTAGTGGCAAAATTAGTGATTATGAAGGTTCTTCTTGCCCTTGTTGCCTCACATAATTGGCATTTAGCTCAACTTGATGTCAACAACGCTTTTTTAAATGGCGATCTTTTTTAGGACATTTATATGGGTCTCCCTCTCGGCTATCTTCGGCAAGGGGAGTCCTCTCCATCTCCAAGCAAACTAGTATGCAAGCTTCACAAGTCCATTTATGGTCTCAAGCAAGCTTCGAGACAATGGTATTCAAAATTTTCTCAAGCTTTGCTCAAGTTTGACTTTCTGCAGTCAAAATTTGATTACTCTCTCTTCACAAAAGATCATGGATCCTCTTTTGTTGCTCTTCTAGTTTATGTGGATGATATCATCCTTACTAGTCCTTCACCTCAAGCTATTGATGAGCTCAAACAGTTTCTGCATACACAGTTTAAGATCAAGGAGCTTGGTTGTCTCAAGTATTTCATTGGTCTTGAGATTGCTCAGTCCAAGCAAGGTATTGTGCTTTCTCAATGTCATTACACCTTACAATTACTTGAGGACGCTGGATACTTGGCTTGTAAGCCCATTGCTGTTCCAATGGATCCAAAACTTTGTTTAACTGCCACTAAAGGTGAACTGCTTCCTAATATTACCAACTATCGGCAGCTTGTTGGGAAACTTCTTTATCTTAGTTTATCTCGCCCAGATATTACTTTTGCCGTTCACAAACTCACTTCATTCTTGGCTCAACCTCGACTACCTCATCTCAAGGCAGTACATCACTTGCTTCGTTATCTCAAGCAAAGTCCTGGTCAAGGATTGTTGTTTTCTTCTACTTCTTCCTTGCAGCTGAGAGCCTTCTTTGATGCTGATTGGGGATCATGCCTTGATTCTCGACGCTCTACTACAGGTTTTTGCATCTTTATTGGCGACTTTTTAGTCTCTTGGAAGGCCAAAAAACAGACCACCATCTCTTGATCCTCAACTGAAGCTGAATATAGAGCTTTTTCTTCTACTGTCAATGAGCTCATTTGATTGCAGCACCTTCTTAATGACTTTCAAGTCAAGGTTGATTCTCCTGCTTTGCTATATTGTGGCAATCAAGCTGCGATACATATTGCCTCTAATCCAACGTTTCATGAACAAATTAAGTATATCGAGATAAATTGCCATTTTGTTCGACACAGAGTTACTTCGGGAGTTCTCAAATTGCTTCCCATTAGATCTCAATACCAATTGGCTGACATGTTTACTAAACCTCTCCCATCTCCTTAACTTTTTTTTTTGCTATCCAAGATGGCTGTAAAGGACATTTACAAGCCATCTTGAGAGGGAGTATTAAGGTGTAATATTGTAGATTAGAGTTTGTTAGACTTGTACACATGCCATTTGTTCATTGGTTGTACATAGTAGACATATTGTAATTTTTTTTCCTTGCTATTTATATTAGTTTTCTCCTCTTTTGTAATAGTTCGATGAATGAATAAAAATCATTTTTCCGTCTTCTTGTTCTTCTCGAGCTTAATAAGTAGACATATTTTATACACAAAATAAACTCGACTATATACTTATCTATCTATATTATTACAATAATCAAACTAAGGGGAGAGGCACTTGAGAAATATTCCCTACTTTTTTTTTTCTAATTCTTTAGAATTTTTATTTATTTAATTATATTCATCATATTATTACGCAATATTTTGACTCATGTAATTTATAACTACACTTTCACTCTCTTATTATTATTATTTTTTGATTAAACAATCAAGAATGTCCAGATCAATTTATGTAGATCTCGATTAATTTTTTCGACTAAATATATGTTATCCACCCTGAAATTGAGTGTTTATAAAGAATAATTTTTTCATGGCCTGACCCTATTCGATCTCAAGACGTTTAAGATTTCAATTTGTTTTTATTAGTACTTAAGTTATGAGATTTTTTTAAGTAATCACGACCCAACCCAAAGCCCGCCCGCCCGCCCTTTACCACCCACCCGCGAAACCCGAAAACTCTAAAACCATTGTTTCGTTTCCGATGCATCGAGTCATTCAGGTCGCAAGAATTACAAACCAAACAGAGCTCCCATCTCAATTCTCACTCCCACAATCGATCCCCCCTCCCCCCCCCCAAAAAAAAAAACCCCACAGAATATCTCTGTAAATTTCTCCATTAATTCCTCTGGTTTTGTACCTATTCCTTTGATCGTACTTTTCTTTCCTAATTTTTACTCTAGACGGAAACCCTTGAATGGGCTACCTTTGTTTCTCTTTAGGGTGTTCAAATATAGGCCAAATTCAAGCTAATGGGTGCTCTAACCAGTTATCGGAAGCGGGGTTCCGATTGTTTTTATAAGTCCCCAGTTCTAAGTCCGCCCAATTTCGATACCCATCGACGCGATACTCATGTTTCGAAGAAACCCAGATTTTCACAATCTATGCCTGAAAGCCCTAATTCACCAATTTCGTCAAAAATCACTGCTTCAAGAATTTGTCGATACCCGGAATCTGTTACGCGGTTTCAGAGAGAAGTTCATGCTCCTACTAGAACACCCAAATTCAGGTTCGCCGCAAGTTCGAGGGCGACGGGTGTTGGGGTTAGTCAGAGGGAGAATTCAGCTGATACGATGGGGAATGTGTTAGTGTCTCATTACGTAAAGGCTAGGAAATACGCATTGGATAGTTTAAGGTTTTTTAAGAAAGATAAGGAGGTGATTGAGATTGATGATGATACTGTTGAAGATGACGACGAAGTTTCGGAAATTGAGAACTTGGAAGAAGGGAGAGAAGTTAGGTCTATGGTTTTAGAGAACAGTTCGAAGGAGACAAATGGGATGGTGGGGAATTTGCAAAAACTAAAGTGGAAGGGTGTGGAGTGTAGTTCTCAACCGTCAGGTTCTTCCGTGGTTGTGGATTTGTCCAATGTGGATTTAAAGGTGGATAGTGCCGGGAAGATGCTGGACTCGTTGTCGGTGAACTGGGATACAGAGTTTTCAGATCTGCCTGTGCATAAAAAGTTGCACGATTACACTGAGAAAAGGAATGATAAGTTGAATAGTTTGCAGTTTCAGATTGGTTTATGGGAAAAACATCGACAAACACTTTCATTATCGTGGCCTCTGCAGAAACCGAAGGAGGTGGTGTTTTTTCTATTATTATGGCAGTGACAAATTTGCCCATATAGGTTGTTTGCTTATATTGAATTTATTGAGTTTCAGGATGTAGCTACCGAGGCTTTTCTGCCACTTACCGAGGAGGAAAAGGCTGAGGTTGCTCGTGCCTTTTCTAATTCAAATAGGTAAAGTTTTTTGTATGCTTTATTACTGTATAAATTTAAAGAGCTTTATTGGTATTGTAATGTACTTGGGCATCCACTTCTGCAGGAGAAAGGTATTGGTCAATCATGAGAATTCTAATATTGAGATTACAGGGGAGATATTGCAGTGTTTAAGACCAGGTGCATGGTTGAACGATGAGGTGATTTTTTGTTATTGCCTGTCAGCAAAATGCCATCTGATTAATTAGAGAAATTAGCGAGTTTGTGATGTAATTTCTTTGGTACGGATGCACTTTCTCATTTTGTAGGTTATTAATCTGTATCTCGAGTTGCTGAAAGAGAGGGAAAACAGGGGGCCCAAAAGATTTTTGAAGTGTCATTTCTTCAACACATTCTTTTATAAAAAGGTTGTCAATTTTTGTACAGTATTGTACGATGCATGCAATGTAAAATGTTTTGTCGCATTTTGGTTCTTTTTCATCCAACGTATGCAAAATTGCATACAATCTGCACATTTTGGCTTCTTTGGCGACTTCTTAAGTGGTATAAATTGTGGAATATAATTATTTTACAATTGGTTCTGTATAAAGTAGGTACTCGTGATTGAGTATTCTCTTCTGCTTTCTATTGCCTCATGAAGAGGGAAAAGATATCATACCCAAAAAGTTTGATATGAGAGTTTGATGCCCTCTGCATTAGAGGCACCTTGATAATTATATTATACACATATAGGAGTACTTTAAATGGATATTTAATTATTTATGCGAGATGAAGTTTAAACTTATGAAATTAGTAAGATATAGTATAAAAAGTACAAGATGTACTGTTGTAGGGCACATCGGATAAGATTAATTTACTGACTGCCCAACATAGATTTGCTGATGAGATGACTATCTGTACTTGATCACTTAGAAAGGAATCAAAATGTATTTGATGGAATCTAAATCATGCGTAGAGTGGCCAGTGCTTTTGGATCAGCTCAGTTCATTAACAGAAAAATGTTTTAATATTTTGAATGAAGCAAAGGAGAAGTAAAAATTGCACAATCCTAAATTTGACTAATCTCTTTTACCAATGCCATATTGATATGTCAGATTCCCATGTAACCTTCCCATATCTTTGGGACATTCATCTTCTATGGCACACAGTATGGTGCCCTAGATTCCAACTGAAGAGTCCTTTCCTATTTTAACTTTCTTCTTCAGCATTGAAGAATTGCAAAAGTAAAAATTTAAATTCTTGGAGGATAATATACCCATTTACTCTATGTGAATGCAGCAGATACTCTCTGGCAAAAAAGTGTGAATTGCAAGTGGGACTTAAATTGGGCAGAGAGTGCATGATACATTACATGATATGGGAAGTACTAAGTTTATAGGATTCACTAATTGAAAAATGTCTTATTCTTTAAGAAGTTCCCTTTACTCATACATTGTGTTAGAAGAAAGATTCGGTCCCCGCTTCTATGCTAATAATAATCTTATAGGGTAAGCTAGAGCCTATTATCTCCAACCCCTATATCTTTCTTTTTTGGCTTTGTGTGTGTGTGTGCGCGTCGCTAATATGTTCAGATCCCTATTGGACTAGGATGACATGTGGTATATTCAATCTGCTAAGTGGGATCCACTCTAGTATGGTTCTTTATTATTTGTGTAAACCTGAAATGGGCCACTGCACCTTAAGCAAGGTTTTCATGGTAATAGTATGTTGCCAATCGCTGTAGGATTCCAGTTATTTCTTAGATAAGATCATCTTACAGTGTTACACAACTATATTACTGAAGTTTGATATGTTTGTGTTAGTTATCTTTTATTTGTGCTTAGGACCTGGTTCTGTATGGTCTATACGACCTCTTTCTCTTATGTGCCCAGTTAATAGGTGGGAAGGCTGGTTATGATTTTAAAGCGGTTAGAAGATGGACTACGCAAAGGAAGCTGGGGTACTGCCTTCTTGAGTGTGACAAGGTAAAATTTATGTTCCTTTTGTTATACTTGTATTTCTATTTTGTTATTTTCTTGATTCCCAGATGATATATTAATTTTTTTGATTATTTGCTCAGATTTTTGTTCCTATCCACAAAGAAGTGCATTGGTGCTTAGCAGTTATCAATAAGAGGGATGAGAAATTTCAGTATCTCGATTCACTGGGAGGGAGCGATACTCGCGTGATGAAAGTACTGGTATGTTTATCATTCCTGTTTGTCATTTATATATATGTTGAAATATGTTGAGAGTTCTTATTTTATATATTAGACATAAGTTAGTTTGTGCTGGCTAATATTGTAATTACTCTAATATTTCATAGTTATAAATAAGAGAATGTAGGACAACCTAAACCAAACACAGATTATTCTCTTTCTTTTATTCTCCTTTCTTCTTTACTCTTCTTCTCATTTTCTTACTCTTATTCTGTTTCTACAGATTCAACTTGGTATCAGAGCAAAATGTTTTTTTAGGCAAATACCCATAAACCAAAAAAAAAAAAAAAACTACACAAAAAAAGAGAGAAAAAAGAAAAGAAAGATTTCAGCCACTGTTCATCGCTAATGTCAGTGTCGGAATGTTGCCGTCAGGTGACTTTCTGGCAAAAAAACTTACAGTCTTGGTCAGTATTTTGCCCTCTTCTTTATGATGAATTTTTGAATTTTTTTTGAAGTCATCTCGTTAGAGTTTTCTATTTTCAAATGTTTTTCGTGAAAATAGGCCTTGGATTGTCAAACTGCTATTTTGAGGCTGGTTCTTGAGATTCTCGCATCTATCCCTGCTAGATAGCTTTGACTAGGAGATTCGAAGGTTGGTTTGATAAACCTTACCCTCCAGGGTTGGTTTTGAGGTGTTTTTTTGTACGATCTGGTTAGAGGCTGCTATTTCGGCGCCCGTTCCAAGGACGGATCTGGTTCAATTTGGTGTTTTCCGGTGTGTTCTGCTTTATCTTGGCTCTAGTTTGTATGTTGGGTCAGCTTAAAAGAGTTTTCCTTGGTGTTTGCTCCCTGGGTGCTTTGGCTGGGTTCTTTGGTTATGCAAAACACACTGAACAGTGTGCCTTCTGGTGTGATTGTTGATCTGTTGTGGTTTGTGGCTTTCTACCTACGCGATTTGTGTATTTGGATGTGTTTGTGTTCTTTTTTTTTTTTTGGAGCCTAACAGTATTGTTTCTTCACCTGAACAGTGTTAAATTGTTCCGACCTTTGGCTCTATTGTTTGGAGGTTGAAAATTGTGGACTATTCCAGTTATGTGGTTTTCATCATTGTTATTATTATTTTTTTTTTTGGGGGGGGGGTGTATGTGTTTTTTTTACGACTGCTGTTGTATTTGTCTTAATTGGGGGGTATGTTTGTGGGATCCAACAGTGATTTGGGCATCTCGAGCATTTTTTTTGGCTTCCTTGTGGGTTTTTTGTGTGATTGAGGATTGATTTCTATTGTTGCACAGTTAACTGTGTTTCTTTGTCATGGCACACTTGAATGGTGGTTGAGCTAGGAAATATGGACACGGATACGGATACGGACACGGGAATACGACAAAATTCAAAAAAATATGACATGGGTACGGTAAGAATACAACTATTAAAACAATATAATATATTTTTAAATAATAATAGAGTTGTAATATATAAAAACAAAATATATATTATAACAATATTAATAATAAGACCTAACAAATATTATTTTTTTGATTAAAATTGAAATAGATCAAATTAAATATCTACAATTTTCATCAAATATCATGACATTTATTAACATTCATATTATATAAGTTACATAACAAAAAATATATTAAAAAATAAATAAAAATCACACTCCTTTTAATAGTTAAAAGTTGTTTTTTTAATAAAAAATTTTTTGGTTGTGTCTTAGACGTATTTTGGATATGTCTTAGACGTATCTTGGCCGTGTCTTAGACGTATGTCAGCCGTGTCTGACTAAGTTTACTATTCAGGATACTTCTAGCCGTGTTGGACACGTGTCCGGCCGTATCCTGGCTGTGTCCGACACTGCCATGACTCTCCAGTGGAAGTATCTGTGCTTCTTAGTGGTTGAGGTGGTGATCATGGTGGTGGAAGTGGTCCATCTTATCGTGCCGGTCTTGGTGGTCGAGATATTGGTCGCGGTTATCGCTATGTGTGTAAGTGTACTTATTGTGGAGGCACAAGACATACTGAGTATTATTATTAAGCTAAGTATAAAAGACCAACACATGCTAATTAGGTATCTGGTGATAATTTGGGTTCAATATTACATCAGACTTCTACCGATGACCTTGTTGCAGTTGGTCTTGGCTTTCTTGATGATCTTTCTCATCAGCTTAATTAGCTCATTCACAAGTTGTCTGCACTTCACATTTGTCTGCTTCTACTGTCAGCTTTGCTAATGGAAGTAACTCAGCATGTGTGGTTGGTAAACCTTCTTCGTCCTCTTGGGTCATTATTTTTGGAGCTAGTACTCATATGTCTGGTATGTCGTCTCTATTCTCTAATTTACGTTCGTCTCGCTCGCATATTGTGTTAGTTGATGGCTCATTTCGGTCCGTATATGGTACTGACAATCTTCAATCTCCTCAATCTGTGCTATTAACCTCTGATTTGTTTGTTTCTATTTTTTTCTTCAACTTATTATCTATGAGTTAACTAACTCAAACATTACAGTGTTCTGTAACCTTCTTCCTATCCTCTTATGTTTTTCAGGACCTCAATACGAAGAAGGTAATTAGTTTAGTGTATGAGAAAAATGACTTTTACTACTTAAATTCTGGTGGTTGTATTCCTGCATTGAGTACTACTGTGTTTCATCATTAGTGGCACTTCCGATTGGGTCATCCCTCATTGCAAAAGCTACAAGTTATTTTTGGTTCGAGTCATGTGTTAGAATGTGAGACTTGTCAATTTGACAAGCATCACTGTAGTTCTTTCTTTCTAGTTTTTCAAGTTGTCGATCCAGTCTATTTCATGTCGTTTATACAGATATTTGGGTCCTGTATTAATTAAAAGTATTTTAAGGTTATAGTATTTCATGCTATTTGTTGATGATTTCTTTCGTATGACTTTGTTATTCCTTATGAATGACTGTTTTGAATTACCCAAGGCCTTTACCACTTTTTATAATGAATTTCTGACTGAGTTTGATGTTTGTATTAAAGTTATTCCGTCTAACAATGCCCTTGAGTATACTCAATCATTTACGAATGATTGTTTTGAATTACCCAAGGTCTTTACCACTTTTTATAATGAAATTCTGACTCAATTTGATGTTCGTATTAAAGTTATTCCGTCTAACAATGCCTTTGAGTATACTCAATCATTTACGAATATTTTTTGTGCCAACCATGACATATCCATTAAACCATCTGTCGTTATACCTCCTAACAAAATGGTGTTGCGTAAACATCGTCATTTATTTGCTGTTATTTGTACTCTTATGTTGAACATATATGTTCCCAAACCTTATTAAGTAAACGTTATACGAATCATACGTATCCGATAATTAATAAAATATGTGGATAATTCGAGTATACTTTTATACATAGAGCAAGATGTATAATTTTTAATTTTAATCTATAACATTCTCTTTCGAGTTTATAGTTTTTAATTTTAATCTATAACCTTTCATTTCTATACATGGAATTTACAATATAAAATATCAACAAAATTTGATTTGACTTTCAAAACGCGAGTGTTTTGTTTAGTATTATAAAAAAACAAGTTAAGTTACACCATAACCTTAGAAATAAACACTTGTAAGTAAATCAACTAGTTAAATGTTGATTGTAATTCCTTTAATTGGTCATCTTCACTTTATGGATATATCATAATAAGTTGATATTACACCTTTTTCAAGGTAAAAATTACTAATTTTGTTTACTATTGTTAGAGAATTACTAAAAATTGTAATTTTAAAGTTGTTTAATAATGGTAGAATATAAATTAGATTTTATTATAAACGTATCCCGACTGTACCCATATCTTTTTTTTTAGATTTTATAGTATCGTACTTGTATTATGTATCCATATCCGTGCTTTGTAGATGTAAATGAACTTTGGATTCTTCTCTCACATAAAGATGTGGTCTTAATGATCACAATACTGAGCTTATAATCAAGTTTGGGTTTCTGGTTTTATGACTAAATTTTCTACTTGAATTCTAAAGTAGCGAGCTACATTATGATCTTTCGATCCAGAATGGGCTCCATTTCTTTATTATGCCCGTACTCATTTTTTTCCTTTCGTCAATTTAGCTGAAACAAAACATTTATACTTTAGGACCAGTGTTTTTGTTTCCTTCAATCTTGTTCCCTTCACATGAATGTCAAAGCTACTTACTAACCTGCACGAGGACACCTGGATGCTACATGATTTGAGATTTCCTCATTGTGATCATGAGGCAGGCGTGTAAAGCAGGCATAAATGCATAGTCTTTTGTTTGCTTTCAAGGAAATTTAATTCAAGAATTGATTCAAGGTTGTTGTTTAAGTGATTAATTCAGATTGCAATCATTGTATGGACTGAGAAATCTCATAATATGGATCCTTCTTTGATTTGTCTTTCTATACATTTCGATTTCAAAAGTTTTGGAATTCCTCAATGTTTAACACAATGTAACAATTATATGGGGTGCCAGAAGTTTTTTGGGAGTGCGAATAGCCAGATTGATGTATTTCCCTGATCATTGGCTAAATGCTTAGAAATGTTGCTGTCATATTGTTGCTGCACTAAAGAACTTGTGTTTTGTCCGAAATCATTGTATGATGAATTTTGAGTGGTTTCCTTCTACTATTTGCCCTTGATGTATGCTATTGGTATTTGTTAATATCCAGGCTAAATATTTCGTTGATGAGGTGAAGGACAAGAGTGGGAAGGACATTGATGTTAGTTCTTGGAAGAAGGAATTTGTTGAAGACCTTCCTGAGCAGAAAAATGGGTTTGTGGTTTTGAGATTTTTACTTGTCCAATGCATTCTCTCCAAAATATCACCCAATGATTCATTGTTGTGGATTATAGGGAATTAATCTGTCGGAAATCATACTTTTGGTATTTCTAAAGAAAAAAACGATATTATACTTGTGTGTATTTTGAAATTCTAACTCTTAACAATTGTGAAAATTAAGGTTTATTTATGTACTTTCCCCTAGCTAGTTCTGACTTCTCACTTGCACGGACAATTCCTTGGATCATGCCATTTCTACTTTTACATTTTCTTCCTTTTTTAAATGATGGTCCCATGGACCTCGTGGTGGTCTAACATTGAGATTTCACATTAACAATCAGCAGGACCTAGCTTATCAAGTTAAAAATGAATCGCCTTGAAATGCTCTTATTTCACATAAAATCTGGAAAAAAAAAAAAAGGTTAGGACTCTTTTTTTATGCTATCTGACAGGACTTTTACATGCTTATGCCATATCCAGCCACATTCTTTGGATGTCCAGTGACAATGTTATTGTGCATGAATCATCCTATTCTTCTAATGAACTAAATGTCTGGCAACTGTCTTGAGTTCCCCATTGTCATTTTAGTGGTATCATTCTTTCTTGATAAGGCAATTTCAAATGTAATTAGACGTCCAATTACTATATTTGGCTTGCAAAGTATGTATCTGAGAGTTTTATTTCTTTCTTATCTTTCTGCTTCATTTTTTTGGCTGTTTCGTTTTTTTTTTTGTGTTGTTTTTTGTTTTTTTTTTTGGGGGGGGGGGGGGGGGTTAACTGGAAGGAAAAAAAAATGAAATTTGCTTTCTGATTTTGCATTTGTTTTTGAGCAGGTTTGACTGTGGCATGTTCATGATCAAATATGCTGACTTTTATAGCAGAGGTGGTGGACTCTATTTTAACCAGGCAAGTCATGTCCTCACATAACCTAGGGTGGACTCTTAATTACTAGCTGTAATTTTTTTCTCTGGATCAATAAAAGTAAATTGATGTATGTATAATTACTTTTAGAGGTTGGTCGCAGACAAATAATGGCCAAGTACATGTATAATTAATTTAACGTTCAAATTAAGAGCATAGAACTAAAAAGGCTAAAAATATGCAAATCAAGGTCAATTGTAGAAATCCCAACACAATAGAAAATACTAAACATGCGATTATAGACTAAATGTAACTTATTATAAAAAAAGGAAAAAAAAAAGGTTAAACAAACGGCAAAAATAATGGGTACAGGATCTAGAGATCCAAAAATCATGGTTAGTGATGTCACCAATCTTGCGGACCTCAGATAAATGCAAGTCATAGTCCGTAAGGGGATTATACAGTTGTCGAAGAGTAGCACAATCTCGTGTGCGTCTTCTTCTCTCTTTAGTTCTTTCTAAATTTATTGCCTGTTGATCACAAAAGGATCTAATATTTTTATTGAAAAATTCATAAGGACCCCAATGTGTCCAAAAAATTTCCAGACTTATCTGAATTGTGTCTGTAACGCGTCTACAGCTATTTAGATATAGGTCCATAAGAGAAGAATAGAGTGGGCACTATAACACATATTTGAGGGATGGATAATATAAGTATACACATACATCCATAGAGACAGTTTTTTAAAATAATTTGAATGTTGACCGGGATGACCCTGGTTCCAGGGTAGCTCTGCCTTTGTGTGTAGAGGTAATAGTGAGAGTGGATCATTTATTCTTGCATTATCATATGACTATCATTATGGAATAAACTGTTTGACTTCGTTGGCTTTTGTTGGGTGGCTCCGAGATCCATATCATCTTATGCTTTTTTGAATTATATGAGTCTGGGAGGAAATAGAAGAGGGACGACCCTATGGTATTATTGTGTTTTTTTAGTACTATTTAGGTATAATGGATGGAGATACACGTGAGAATGTTTGATGATAAGCGAAAGAAGTCAAATGTTCATGGGACAGACTTTATTTCTTGGAATCTTTTTTGGCATCTGTTATTATGGATTTTGAGAGTGCTCCTCTTTTAGCACTATGGTGTGTTGAACAACAGCATCTGTTGTTGTTATGACTTCGTTGTTACACACTTTTGGGTTGGACAACTTGTCGAATAAAAATGAGGGTGAAAACAGAGTATCCGGAAACACAAAAGACAAAGGAAGGTTTGCAAGTTTTCTCGATGCAACTTCCACGTGATTTTGCTTGACATTTCATTATTAGGAGTGAGCAATTGTAGTAACGTAGTTTGTTTTATTAAATTTTTCATCAATACAAACCAATTGAATGTTTATTGATTTTGTTAGATATTTTCATATTGCACAAGTTTCTAATAATTCGAATGAGATATTTTTTTGGTTAGTTTTATTAAACTCAACTCAACTAAGCCTAGTTTAATTAGCCCGTGTGTAAATCCAAATATTACTTCTTCGCAATGCTATGCAAAATCGTTGCGAGAATGAGAGGTTAAAGAGAGAAATAATCAAGTTCTGTGAGCATGCAACTGACTAGGACCATACAAAATATGTATGAAATATGTAGTTATTTCCTTTTGGTATGATCCCTGAGACTCTTATATTCATGTTTGGGTCCCTATAAAAAGTTGAATTGCTTCACATTAATATATTCAGCATTGGTTAGACTTGACATATTTGGGTTTCAATGATATAAAAAGTTGAAATTTCGCTTCATGTAATCCTAGAAGTGATCTTATATAATAACTGATGGCTGTCATTTTCTTTAGTGGCACTCCATGATTATAATGGATATGTCCCTTTGATTCCACCAGGACTCCCAACTCCATAATAGTTTGTCCCAGTTATCTGGGTGGTGACTTTTATGCTATTATAATTTAGCAAATCCAGTATATGTGGGATAGCTAGATACATGCTGTGTTTGGTCTCATGAAATTGGGGGTTTTCCAGTTTCAGTTCTAATTGGAGGGCCCCCCAATACATTGCATTGCTTCATGAAACTTGCCTATGATCTGTTTTTTCTTTCCTTGTAGGAGCATATGCCCTACTTTCGGCTGAGGACTGTGAAGGAAATATTGAGATTGAAAGTTGAATGATTGATTATGAGCCTCTGGATTTGATGCCATGTTGTAAATTCCCTTTGTTACTAGAAAAACACTGGATATGCATCACAGGGGATGGATGATTATGAAGTTGGTGTGCCCAGTAGCTATAAGAGGAGGGCTTCACCTTCACCAAGATCTTGAAGTGAGATGTGGGAATTTTGGCTGTCGGTTGAACTATAATAGAACAAAATAGTCTTCTTTGGGGAGCCCCATCAAGCATAGTGAATAGTCTCGAGGGAAACACTGCCCTATTCTACGCCTACCAGTCATGAGCTGTGAATGAGATCTTTTTGCAGAGTTAAGCTGTAGTGTTAGGTTGTGATGTTCCTTTCCTTTATTGGCCCCAATAAATTTTTTTTTTGGGCCCGCATTTGTTCAGTGATTGAATTCACATATGATAATTTTGGTGTTATTTCACAATTGTATGATAGACATTAATATCTTCTCGAGGAAATGAAATTTTTGAAAAAAAATCTGTTTTAGGGCCATGGTATGTTATCTGGATGTATACTGGTAGAGATCAATCATTGAGAGAATTGTTCCTTACTTTTGTAATTCTTTTCACTCTCTCTCTCTCACACACACACACACACAATTCAACTAATCACATCTTTGCCATCCATGCATGCTATAAAAGTCTATTCACCATTTTCTTGGAGGTTGGTACTTAAAAAGATAATAGCAAGAATCGAACGACAATGAACCTAGTGTGGCAAGCAAGTTCTGTTCAACATTCTGCTAACTAGTTACTTGAGTTATGTGTAGGTATCTGATACTATCTTTCCTGGAAATATGATCTCCTCCACCTCCGACCTGATATAGATAGGAGCCTTTATGTACAGGATAGATACTTCTGGGATAAGAGGGTTTTTTTTTGGCGGGGGGGGGGGGGTGTGTTTGGATAGAGGGTTTGCCTGCATGACATTTTACCAGGAACCAATCTTTAGCTGGGAGCTCAACCGTGGAAATGAGAGGTGCTCAAGAAATCTGAGATACAGAGATTTACATTCAATATGAAACACAAAAGGCTTTGGTAAGTACATAAAACCATTAACAGAAACAATGGTGTCTGTCTGTTTTGAGTTTTGTTCTTAAAAATCAGTCTCTCTTAAGATCATTCGAGTCACTATCAGATAGCTGGAGCTCTACAAACCCATTAGAACTCAGGCAAGAACACATCAGATTCATCCCAAATAACACATTTGATTGCACACCACCTATACTGGTAAATCATTGCCATACTTGTTAAGCCTTCAGTCCAGGTATGAGCCACATTAGCTCTTCAATTCACAAGCAGGCAATGAAGCACGCACCTTGGTTGTCCCCAAATCACCTGAACATGCTTACTGCTTTGTAACTGCAGAAGGATAAGGAAAATTAGGAGTGGACATTTCATAACTTTGTTCAATTCAAAATTTAACTCCACCAGAAAACAATATGAACGACTTATCTGGAAATAAGACAAAGGGGAATAAGTTATTACAGTGCAGGAAGGGGTGTCTTAGTTGCATAGACTGGGGAAGGTATAGCCTCAACGGGGCACCCTTTTCCTACTCAATATCTCCTGTTCTTTTAGTCGATGTTGGAACCTGGCAAGGCGGGCTTGGAGGCTGACCAGACTTGCTGCTTTCCGTGAGAGCACAAAACTCAACTGGGTCACGTAGTTGTCAATGAGGCTGCCTGGTTGATCAATTTCCGCCAACAGCTTCATTTCCTGGCATTCAGAAACAAAACAAGTTAAGCACTTGCTTGACAATCCAATAAACTGTGTCCATTTGAAACCATCTTAAAATTGAGCTACTTCATCTAATAATACTTAGAATATTCAAATGGGACTTTTAATGCAAAGAGAAACAGATCTATTTTGAATGCTATATGACAACAAAACAAACACCAGCTTCAAATGCTACAAGCAAAAGATTTAAAATTCGTACCCGTGAGTACCTTTTTGTATCCTATACAGCTTAATATTGAAATAAGCAAAGGAAAAGAAAAATTCAAAACTGAAGGAAAAAAGGAATTCAAATGTCACATTTCACTCACTTCACGAACAATCTCCATCGTGTCTTCAATTTCTTTTCTATGGGCTGCAATTAGGGCCTCTTCTTCCTACATAACCAAAACAAGGTAAAAACAATTTTTGAAACATACATCAGACAGCTCATAATGTAATGAAAAATCAATATCCCAGAACAGCCGCAAATTGATAACAAACCTCAAGAATTTCATTGATGTTGCCATTATTTGGGGGCTCAGGTTCATATTGTGTTGGTCCAATGTTGGTTGTGTTAGAAATACTTGTAGTTCTCTGTTTAGAACTTGTGGTGGTGAGATCAGAGCTGCCGCCATCTTTTTTCAAAACATTACCCAGCTTTTCATATTTTTCATCCCTATAAGCTTTTCTTCGAGGTGGAGATACCTTCTGCACCTTCTCTTCTGTATCAACTGGGTATTGGGAATATGATGATGTAGACATTTTTTGAGTAGAACCACCAAATTTAGTCTTCATATCAAACCTCTCCCTATCCATAGAACCAGAAATTACCCCACTTTCCTCCCGTCTATTGATGGTATAATTTGATGTAAAACTAGAGGATTGTTTGTCGAAATCAGCTGAAGGATTGCAAGAAAAAATTTCCTTTTCTATGATCCTTCTACCTGTATCCACTAATTTAACTTCTTGCTGTAGCTCAATGACGTCATCCAAATCAGCAGAAATAGGCAAAGATGGAGTTGATGAAGATTCTTTATTACTGGGTGGTAATGAACTAGCCACCTGTTCTTTTTTTCCATTTCCGCTTTTGGAGAGACTTTTAACCCTGTTCTTTAAATAATCACCATTTAGCTAAAATCTACATAGTTAACTCAAATGTATACTATCAACAACCATACCTGTCAGCATATCTCAACGTATTGAGAGTGTGTTCACATGAACCAGCATTTGGAGAAATGCAAGAGATCATGACAGTCCTGGAGTTGCCAACAAAGGAGTCACGAAGAACCTCAGTGAGTTTGCTCCCACGAAAGGGAATATGGATCTGGTCGTTGTCAAGAGCACGAATACATTCCTTCAGAGCCAAAAGACTCTTGTTAATTTCAGCCCCTTCAATCCTGCAATGAAACAAAAATTATCTGGAATTGCAATACTAAACTTGTATGGAGATGCCACTAGAGTTAAAGCAATCTTGATATACAAGAAGCTGGTATAACAAACAAAACCTGGCCACTAGAAAACAGCCTGCTTGAAGCAACATTGATTCTTTAAAGAAAAAGGGAAAGATAAAAGAGAATTGCAATGGAGCGAGCAAAAGTAAATCAAACCAAACACACACAACTGGTAAGCAGGATTAAAATTGTAAGGGCTAAATCACTAATAACCATCAGGACAAATTAAAACTAATCCTACCCAAGTAAAAAGTTTCAGATTTATTTAAAGTAATGGTATGCAGCAAAGTAAAAGCAGATAACTTGAACACACAAACGAATAATTTATTTGGAGACTTGTAAGGGTGCAACACAAAGCATTCTTACTCATTACGGCAAGTTAAAACTGGTGTGTTTACAGTGACTTTCTGCTTCTTAACCATCTCATTCACAAACTGATACTTTATTCACGTAGTCTTTGACAAGAACTTCAAAGAAGATGATTATGATCTCCCTTGGGAAAGAGGGATTCTGTTGGTAAATACAGCCTGTCTGCCAGTCGCACATAATGCTACTGGCCATTGATCCTTATGGTCTACCAATACCAACACAAATGGATCAGCTAAGTAATTTTCTAACAGTCACTATGCAATACAAGCTGGAGGTCCTGATTTGAAGTCTTTCCCTTGGGGCTATTCTCAGGGATCTATCCTGATACTTCTCAGTGCAAGTGGGATGGGAGGGCTACATGTATCCAAGAGGATTAGCAGATGCCCTAAGGACCCTGTTATCTCCTAGTTTGCAAAAAAGGTGACAACCAGACGTCGTGAGGTAGAATACAAAATGGAAAATCTACGGAAATAGATGCACAAAGCAGTGGAGAAGCCAAAAATATTACAGCTATTTAAAGCCTATAATTATTGGTCAGTGCATGGGTGCAAATATAGTACCGTGTTTGCCGGTCATTATCAGTTGTATCAGCACCTCTTTCGCTACCGGCAAGATCAATAAAAGAAATCTTCCCAACTACCTTCCCAATCTTGGACTCGTTTCCATCATTGTTCCGCTTGGAGTCTTTTATCTCATTGTGCTTCTTAATAGCAAGTTGTAGTATAGCATGTGACCTTGAAGATTCCTCATTGGCACCAGTGGACCCTGTACTTCTCGCTGCATTACCCCTCTCGATATATTCTTTAATAATCTGTACATCCGAAACTTCAAATTCTTGTAGTCCAACAATGCAAACTTGTTGCCGCCCGTCTTCCCTCATACAAAGTTTCCTGTAGAAGAACAATGAAAGCCTCATAACCATCACAATATATGCAGATTTGCGTCCATAAGCTACACATGCATCCAAGATGCTATGTGATAAAAATAACAGAAACAGAGGCTATGTATTGAAGGCAGAGTGATGTGCCCTTTGACACTTGGAACACAAGATGTTATATGTTAGCAAACCAACAGAAACTTCAGTCTTGTATCACTAGTGTTCCAAACACTCTTCCTAACATGATTCACAATTTAGGAGGGATCACACACACACAAACACAATCAAATCTAATCCCAGACAAAACGTAAACCCCCTTGAGGGGTGGGGGGTCGGCAAAAAAGTGTCAGAGATGATATGAATATTTCAAACCAGAATGCATGAAAGATTCATTTCAAAAAGGTTGTTCATTACTTTGCGAAACGTCCCATAATTCCTTTATTTAGTCAAATGCAAAACATTGCAACTCCAAGATTATGATTGAAAAAAATAAAGCTCAGAATCAATGGGAACACTAACTTCCTATCACTAAGAAGATCGAAGAGTTTCCCGCCATATATCTCAAAATAACTAAGCCACAACTTGAATCTCTGATTACGGTAAGCTGGCTGATGCAATATCCTGATGAGGTCTTCTGCAGCTCTAAGAGGTAATGGTTGCATCGTATATGTCTTACCACTCCCTGCAATTACGAATTGTAGTGTTTGAGTTCCCCATATCATGGTACAAAAGACAAGCAGTCCCAACAACAGATGGCAGCAAAAATGAGAAACACAGAAAAATTAAACAAGCACCATGGAAGCTATAAGAACATTGCAATAACGATGTGACATCGAACGCAGTGTTGTCAATAAAAAGCATGCTACATCAGAATGCAATTATCGTCCCTCCAGGTAGAGAGATATTTCATCTTAACACGATGACAGAAGAACCACCTTGGCATATGAAAAAATATCCTTGAGTGTTGCCTTTTACCAATGACTCAATACAGAAATGTCACATATTTAATCATACGTCACGGCCTTGTATAAAGGCAAAATGTTGGGGCTAAAAACAGCAAGGTTGTGGGTTGAAATATGAGGACAGTCACTGTGCAAATAATGTCAGCCAAATGTAATGTATGTACCCATCCTACCTGGTCCCTTTTAATAAGGTTTTTCGTTGTTGTATCCACTATTCCAACAGAAGGTAGTTCCAAGATTTGGACAAAGCTTTCCTTCAAGTATCCATTAATTTCAAAGGGATTTTTTCTCACAAAGTTCCAAAAAAATCCTCATACCATCTCAGTTAACTTCATGATCCAAGGAACATATGAATCCCCTTGTACCTTAAAATCCTTAAGTTAACCGTCCTCATGGGGGAAAAAACATAAAAGGACTCCAGTTTCATTTTTTAATAGGAAACAAGAGAATATTATTAATAAAGAAAATGAAAAGGAACATGAGAGGACAAGAAGTCCTCTAAATGCAAAAGGACTCCAATTTCAATAGAATCAACATGCCTTCTCTAATTTATTTTGATAAGTTAAAGCTTAATTGAGTACCTAATGGAAAATATAATCGAAATGCTAGGAGCAGAGGAAGTCCAAACGGCTGAGATTTTAAAGATTAATATGACATATTTTAGTTTAACTTAGAACATGGTCCACATGCAGAGGGTAATGACAAAACAGAATACATGTAATCCACCCCCCAAATAGTGGTGACAAAGTTTTGTTGAGCTAGCTGTATTGAGTTGAGAGCATCTAGGCCAACTTAACCTCCCTCCCTGTCATGAGGTGAAAAATTACAGGCTATATACATCTTCAACCTCCCTATCCTTCATGCTCTACAATAAGCATGTGGCTCACCTGCTATAATGATGAAATGGAGTGGATCAGATACTTGAACTTCAAAACATCTTTCCTGATCTCTAGGTGCTATATACACATAACCCAATCCAAAATTTATAGACTCCAGATAATTCTCTTATATCCTACCAATTTGTGGGTTTATTATTAAAACAGGTAAATGAAGTAAACTGCTACATGCAAGAAGATAAATTACTGGTGCATACTGAAAGTGTAGTAAGAGAAGCACAAACAATCTCTGCACACCTGTCTGACCATACGCAAAACAGGTTGCTTTTGTTCGCTGAAAAATGATGGGGATAATTGGCTCTACAGTAACACGATATACCTGTTCAAGCATGAGAAACAATCAAACCAGTTAACTGAGGAACTAAACTTATTTGCCTAAAACCCAGAACAGGAAAAGATGAGAAAACTAGATGACGTGAAGTTCACAGTAAAGACTCATTTAATAAAAACTTAAATCATGACGGATCATAATTTTGTGATAAATATGTCCATAGAACACAGCGGTGTAATCTTATATCTTTGAAATGTGAAGGTGTTACCTCATCGTTCGTGACTTGCTCATCTAGGACAGCATCAAAACAGAACTCATGCTTCTCTACATAAGCAGTCAAGTCCACCTACAAGAAAAGTTAGTTCTCTCCACTTCTTAGTGAACATATAAAAATAAAACAAATTCAAAACCGAGCAAGCATCAATCCAGCTTTCACATCAAATAACAAAATAACACCCAATTTAGGCCTCAATGATGGAGATCTAGGAGGGCAAGATTGTACAAACCTACCCTTTGGCATTATTTGAACAAAGTGGTATTTTTTCACCCAAATTCTGATCACTGAACTAGTGGCCCTTGTTAGTTTCACTTCAAATACAATATAAAAATTTAAGTTGGCGTACTTTACTGACAGCTGAGATATATTCAAACCTTTAGCTTGGGTTCATGGACAGCCAAATTAGCATCATCATATACAGTCACAATGTCATCCTCCTTGCGAGACATTTCCTTCTTGTTTAGAGGTCTCTTACGCACCTAAGACAAACAACAATACACAACTTCAGAAAATTTCAGAACATTGGTATGCATGGTGTAAATAGCTTTCAAAAGTTAAATCAGGAACTATGCCCCAACACAGTGCACATTTCCAAAGGAAAAGTATGAAACAGTATAGCAAAAATTTACCCACGACTTGCCTATTACAGATATATAAAGTAGATTACCAACATTTAACCAGAGAGAGCGACATCAAATCAAAGACACTGATATAAAAATGAGACCAAATATATCCCAAAAATATTTGGGTATTATTCACTCTCATATTCATGTCCAAGGAACCAAATTTCATTTCGTTTTCACCAAAACGACCTAAACGCATCCATGATTGAATATCAAAACTACAATGTTTCAAGATGTTTCATTTGTTTTGATTTGTTTCAAAATGTTTCAAAAGCAAATTTGCAAATTTTTACTTTATTTCTATCATGTTTCCAAAATATTTTTGAAACGTTTCTAATTCCTAGCTGACTGAAATTATGCATCGCAATGAAATTTTAATCCTTGTTCATAGCTAATAGCTAATATAAATGTCTGGATGTCAGTTCCTTTTAAAGTGACACAAGATAATATAGCATGCATTTCCCTCTCTAACGCTATTCAGTTAACAGCTGGAAAATCAATGGTGAGCATCTTCTCCAAAGTCCCATGCGCAAAAAAAAAAATAGTCTTACTAGTGCTGGGAATAAGATTAAAACTTTTAAATTTCATATTTTATACTGTTTTCTGTTAAGAGTATTAGAGTAGTATGTGTAAATTGTTAATAGTGTTAGGGTATTATGCGTAATTCTTATTATTGTGAGTTAACTATAAATACAAGTGATGTATGAGAGCTAGGTTAAGTTTTAACCTCTCTTTGTTTCTCTCTAATATTGTGTTAATCCTCTAAACTTTATATGGTATCAGAGCAAAATTAATCTTAATATATATATATATATATATATATATTTTGAATAAATTAACCATACCGGTGGTGGTGGTACAGTTGTTGTGGTTGTGTACCGCTAAATCGTCGAACTACAGTGGTAGTTGTAATACAGTTTTGGTGGTTGATTCATTGGTGGTATTGTTGCTAGTGGTGGTGGCGTTGTACTGTTGACCATCATTTGTCGTCGTTGTTGGTGGTGTGGTACTGTTGGTCATCGTCTACCTTCGTTTGGTGTTTGCCGTGGTGTTGTAGCGGTGGTGGTGTAGTGTGATTTCTCCGTTGTGGTATAGCGCCGTGGTGATGTCCATTTTGGTGGTCTGTCGTTCAGTGTGGTGGTCAAGGTGCAGTCGAAGTGGTGGCGTGGTGGCTTGATCGATCGTGGTGGTGTGGCTGTGGTGGTAGTGGTGCTGTCTGGCACCGTCGAAGGCCAGAGGGTTCCAAGGGAACTCTATTCAGCGAAGAAGAAGGAACCAGGGTCGGGTTTGGATCAGATCCAAACCAAGACCAGGTCTTAAAGTGGTCCAACCCAAGACCAGATTTTAAAGTGGTCCAGCCTAAGACCTGGTCCCGTTCAGTGGTTCGATTCAATGGTCCAGCAGGTTCAGAGGTTCGGTTTAGACCCAGTTCTCCTCCATCTGGTCTGGTTCAGACCCAGTTCGCACCAGTTTAGTAGTACAACACCTATTTCCTGTCCGGTTCAGACTTTCAGCAGGTTTTCTTGGACTGGTTCAAGCCGGTTCAGTAAGTTTTAGACCTTTTCAGTCCATTTTTGTCTCAGGTTCAGTGATCCCGTGGATTTATTTGGTCTGGTTCAGCGATTCAGTGGACTCCTTTGGTTTGGTTTAGCAGTGCAGTCGGTGATTCTTGTCCTGTTCATTGATCTAGTGCTTTTCGTTTTGCTATTTGTTGCACTGTTATGAAACCTAAGCAAGACACTGGATTGGTTACTATTACTCAAGAGGAGTATGACCAATTCCTATCCTAGCAACAGGCTATTCCCTCTCAATCTACTGCTACTTTTACCCAGACAAGTATTGTTTCTACTTGTTTATTGTCCTCCAATCGCAGTCCCTAGATCATAGACTCTGGCGCTTCTGATCACATGACTGGTGTGTTCGATGTTTTTTCTACTTATCAGTTTGTTACCTCCACACGTAGTGTTACTCTTGCTAATGGCACTTGTTCTAAAATTTCAAGTTTGAAGACTACTAACTTGAGTCCTGATATGTCCCTATCTTCCGCATTATTTGTTCCTCAGTTTTCTTTTAATTTATTTTTCATTAGCAAAATTACTCATTCTCTCAATTGTTCTGTAACATTTTATCCTTCTTATTGTGTCTTTCAAGATTTTAAGACAAAGAGGAAGATTGGTACAGGGCATGAAGCTGGTGGCTTATATTACTTTGATTTTGATTCACCTATTCGGGCTCTACAGACCTCGTTGTCTCCTTTTCAGTGGCATTGTCGTCTTGGACATTCCTCTCTCCAAAATCTGAAGCGTCAGGTTTCCAGTCTTAGTTCTCTGTCATCTTTGTTTTGTGAAGCTTGTCAACTTAGTAAGCATTACCGTGTGTCATTTCAGTCTCGAGTCAATAACCGTGTCTAGTCTATTTGAGTTGGTACATTCTGATATATGGGGTCCAATAAATAATATTTCATCTAATAAATATCCTTATTTTTGTGTCATTTGTGGATGATTATTCTCGTGTAACTTGATTGTTTCTGATGAAAACTCGGTCTGAATTATTCTCTATATTTGAAACATTTTGTAAGAAAATAAAAACTCAGTGTAGGTGTCGTATCTGTATTTTACGTTCTGATAATGCTCGAGAATATGAATCTGATCCTTTTTCAGCTTATCTTAGTAAAACTGGCATTATTCATTAGAATTCTTGTGCTTACTCCTCTCCATAAAATGGTGTTGTTGAACGCAAAAACTGTCATTTGTTTGAAGTCACCCGTACCCTGTTATTCCAGATGAATATTCTCCGATATTTTTGGAGTGATGTTGTTCTTACTGCTTGTCATCTTATTAATCGTATGCCATTCTCTATGTTAAATGGGCAAAGTCCATATTCTGTCCTCTTTTCTGGTAAAGCCCTTATTTTCCCTGACTTCTAAGATTTTTGGATGTGTCTGTTATATTCACAATTTGGGCCTTGGATTTGACAAACTTAACCCTCGAACTACCAAATGTGTATTTCTTGGTTACTCCCGCACATAGAAAGGGTATCGTTATTACAGTCCTTCTCTGCATCGATACTTTACTAGTGCCGATGTCACGTTTGAAGAATCTGTTCCATACTTTACAGCACCTTCTCAGCCTTTGGATCTGGACTTTGAATCATCTCCTGTATCACCATTTCTTTCCTTATCTTCAGACATTCCGTTGCCCACTGTGTTATCATCTACTTTACCACTCCGTGTCTACTCTCGCCGTCTTCGCCCATCGATTGAGATGTCTGTACCGTCTTCCTTGCCGCCTTCTGATCTTGGTACATCAGGTAATTTAGACTCTTTACCTATTACTCTTCCCAAAGGTACTCATTCGTGTGTTACTAATCATCTTATTTCTCATTTTGTTTCATATGATGTCTTGTCTCCTGGCTTCTCTTGTTTTACTTCCCAATTATCTGCTATATCTATTCTTAAGTATTTACAGGATGCCTTATTTGATCCGGATTAAAGGAAAGCTATGGAGGAGGAGATGGATACTTTACATCATAATGGGACTTGAGATCTCGTTCCTTTACCCCCTGGTAAACGAACTGTTGGCTATCGTTGGGTGTATACTGTTAAATTTCATCCAGATGGTTCTATGGAGCATCTCAAAGCCCGACTTGTTGCAAAGGGCTTTACTCAGACTTATGATGTTGATTATGAGGAGACTTTTTCTTCTGTTGCCAAAATTTTCTCTGTTCGTATCTTAATATCTTTGACTGCTAATCTTGATTGGCCCTTGTTTCAGTTAGACATCAAGAATGCCTTCTTACATGGTGACTTGGTTGAAGAGGTATACATGAAGCAACCACCTGAGTTTACTGCTCAGCGAGAGTATGGTAAGAGTGTATATCAGTTAAAGAAATCTTTGTATGGTTTGAAGCAGTCACCTAGGACATGGTTTGATAAGTTTTCAGAAGTAGTTTTAGAGTTTGGTCTTCTTCGATGTTAAACAAATCATTCTGTGTTTCGTAGACAGACAGATGCTGAATATATCCTATTGGTGATCTATGTAGATGATATTGTGATTACTGAAAATAATTCTGAGGGGATTGCCAAGTTAAAAATATTCTTACCAGATCGATTTCATACTAAGGATTTGAGAAAACTCAGGTATTTCTTGGATATTGAGGTGGCTCGATCTAAACAGGATATTTGTTTATCCCAAAGGAAATATGTACTTAACATGCTTGAGGAAGCAGGTTTGCTGGGTGGCATACCGATTGATGTTCCTATAGATCAGAATCAGAAATTATTGATGGATGATGGTGCAATGTTTGAGAATCCAGGTTGGTATAGCAGATTAGTTGGAAAGCTTAATTATCTTACTATTACTCGACCGGATATTTCCTATACAGTCAGTATAGTAAGTCAGTTCATGGGGTGTCCTAGAGTACCACATTGGAAGGCAGTTACTCATATTCTGCGATATCTCAAACGAGCTCCTGGACCTAGACTGTTATATCGAGCTAATGGACATCTTAGAGTGGAAGGTTTCTCAGATGCTAATTAGGCCGGCTCTCCTTCTGATTGGAGATCAACCACTGGTTATTGTATTTTCTTAGGAGGTAATGTTGTCTCATAGAAAAGTAAGAAACAACCCGTGATAGCAAGATCCAGTGCTGAAGTTGAGTATAGGGCAATGACACATACAACGAGTGAGTTGATTTGATTACTACACTTTTTTCAGGAAATTGGGTTTTCAGTTTAACTTCCTTTACAGTTCTGTGACAACTAGGCAGCTATCCATATCGCTGTCAATCCTGTGTTTTACAAGAGAACCAAGCATATTGAAGTTGATTGTCATTTTATTCGGGACAAGATAGCAGCTGAAGAGATTACGACTCCATTTGTGAAATCTGAAGATCAGCTTGCAGATATATTTACCAAAGTATTGAGTCGTATACGTTTTACAGTTATTTGTTTCAAGTTTGGATCATATGATATATATAGTCCAACTTGAGGAGGAGTGTTAAGAGTATTAGGGTAGTATGTGTAAATTGTTAATAGTGTTAGGGTATTATGTGTAATTCTTAATATTGTGAGTTAACTACAAATACAAGTGATGTATGAGGTTAAGTTTTAACCTCTCTCTGTTTCTCTCTAATATTATGTTAATCTTCTAAACTTTACACTTTCTAATACTTTAGTTTGTTACCCAAAGTCACTTTGGTGGTTATCTTGACTTTTTGAAAACCACAATCTGTAAAGGGTTATATCTTAATAAGAAATCAGGAGAAGCAATTGCATCTGTCCTAAAAGTAAATGCTATTTAGACATCATGCTAACATAAAAGAAAGATAAATTCCAGCATGTATGTAGATTTTGTGAAGCAATGCTCATGCTTTTTTGTATGACAGCCTCCACAAAAATCATAGATAAAACTTGCTGGTAAGCCAAACGCAACTCCGCCAAGAGAATCAAACATGTTTTTCATTGAATTTATTAGAGGCAGATGACTTTTCATGCATTCTCAAAGAGGGCCCATCCATACAATCAACAGTAGAAAACAATCTAACAGGGAGAAAAGAAAAAATCACAGCAAAATTGGAAAGGCTCTAACCAAAGCTTCCTCCAGGAGTTGATATCATGATCAGATCACACAAAATGCACACCCACAAACTCAGACATGCGAATACAGAGAAAGAGGATGGCTACTGCAACAGAAACAACATACCACAACTTTAATCTTTGCCACATTGTTTTCTTTGGTATTGTTTTCTTTTCCATTCGTAGGTAATCCAACTGGTGCATCATCATCCACCTGCCCTCTTTGCTGGCGGCTGGTCATTACATCAAAGTCACTGTCAAATGCTTCTGTGACAGCAGGCATGAAAGGCGAAGGCTCAAAAGGTTCTGAAATAACATGCTGAAAGAGGAAATCGAAGTGATTATCTGCTAAATGGGTGTAGCTCCTCTCAACAAATACAGAGACATGCCCATTCAATGTTCTTCAATATATGACCAGATATTCAATCAAATCAGCAAGCAAAATTAAAAAAAAAACTAAACTAGTATCCATACACACATGTAAACATGTTAGAGGCATCCAACTTAAAACTATGCAATGGGTGGCGAGACCCTTAATGATAAAACCAAATTTGAATCACCCTAGTCAATAATTTAAATGGGTACAGACTTGACTCACTGACCATTCAAAGTCCTCACTAATAATTCAAATTCTAACTCTGATACCAAGTTAGAGGCATCCAACTTTTAAAAGTCAAAAGCAATTGTTGGTAATTGCTAAAAAGACCACTCAACCATATAGCCAACACTGCATGTCTCTACTCTTTCAAAAAGGGATACAAAAGGACATCAACCGTGTCATAAAGTGTTATCAAAATATACTACAAAGTCGACGATAATAAGTACTTAGAGCAAAGTAATTGTGAGAAAAGCAGTTCATCTGCTGCTTTCCATTGTAGATACCTATTCAATTGTAATTTCTATGGGATTCTCACTCATTTTTAAACAAGCATAAGAAAACAAATACCCCAGACATACACTTGTATCACACAAATTATCACATAACAAACTCACTCCTCCAATCATTTCCTTGCCATTGCTTTATGTGCTATTAACCCAATAAATTATCGTCTGAAATTGATTACCGCAATAAACCATGATAATATCTACCTCTCACCTTCAAACCCTTTTTTCCCCAGTAAGTCACTCCGTTTGTAACATACTAGAGCTTTCCTCGTGTTTTGCAGCTAACACAGTGTGCATTCGTACTAGCATCCATGATTGCTTCTAGGTATGATAATAAACTATGCTACCCATTATTTCAACCACAATCACACTTTAAGAACAAAAATGATTATAATATTTGTCAATACATATCTAATTAAAATGGTGGAAAGTATTAGTATCGTCTAGTTTGTAGATTATGGAATAATTCATTAAAAGAACAATGCACAAAATACAATGCCAGAGAGGCAAAAAAAAATCTCTAGCAACAGATGCATCACTGAGAAGCATCTCAGAACCCAACTAAAGTACCGGAGCTTCCCTCAAGAAGCTCAAAAGTTTAGTTCGTAAGTGTTATCCATTCAGCACCCTCTGGGAGGAGCTAAAACTTGGAAGATAACTGTCTGATTATCTCAGGAAATTAGAAACATACTCATATACAAGACAAACCTAACATAAATGACTCCTGGGATAATGGAGATTAAGAAACACCTCCCCAAGAGGTGTCAACACTAAGTATTGGAACAAGGAACAAGGAACAAAGGAACTGATCATCAACATAACATCTCCTTTTCACACTTAGAAGTCCTCCCAAAGAAGGGTCAATATTAGACTACAACAGTACTTTGCATTCTATTTCCATACCTCAGATAGAAGCTCCGTGTCATCCATAGCATGGAGATCCAAAAGCCCAGCTCCAAAATCCCCCCTAAACTCAGGAGAATAAAAAGCATCGGGGGCAGTAGGTCCAGCAGAAGTTTGTGCAGTTGGAGTGTATGGCTCTGAACCAGATTCGCCATTAAAATTGATGATTCTCATTAACTTGAAAAGCCTCTGTTTCTCCTCAGCAGATTGTGCTCCATAACCCTTCAAACAGTACCACAAACTGCCCCGTTATTTCCACTATTCATAGATCACAGTAAAAGACATCATTCAAACTCACATAAAAGGCAAAAGGAAATTGCAGGGTAAAACATAACTCCACAAACACACAAACTATGAGACTGAAAATTGTAGATTGACAGTGGATCCTAGCACATATGATGTGAGAAACAAAGAATTACCAAAACGTCGTATCCCGAAAATCTATATAAACCAGGCCTACATTCTCTTTCAACTGACTGAAAATTGTAGATTGACAGTGGATCCTAGCAAATATGATGTGAGAAACAAAGAATTACCAAAACGTCGTATCCCGAAAATCTATATAAACCAGTCCTACATTCTCTTTCAACTGACTGAAAATTGTAGATTGACAGTGGATCCTAGCACACATGATGTGAGAAACAAAGAATTACTAAAATGTCGTATCCCGAAAATCTATATAAACCAGTCCTACAGTCTCTTTCAACTGTCAATATTGTGAACAAACTAATAGTTAACAACGACAAATTGTACATGCCAGTCTTAACGGCCCTATTACATCAAAGAGATCAAATTAGCTATTGAGAATTTGAACGAATTTAAGAATATCAAGGCACAGTTCCAAAGTTTTCATACCTGCATGAGGCTGGGTAGGAGACGATGATCCATTCCTGTGGAGGCCAAGGGTGAGGCCAGATGCTGCAAACCGTTGGACTGGAGCCACCGAGCCGTGACCGCATCTCCAGCGTCGCTCGTGGGACCCGCATTGTGCAGGGACCCATCGTACAGAGCAGTCGCAGCGGCATTGCTCTGCTGCATCTGGCCACCCATGTGGCGCTGCGATCGGCGTTGCGGAGCCAATTTTCAAGATCTATTAACCAAAGCTTCAACCGCATAAACACACAATCAAAAAATATAGAATTACATTCATAGATCACAAATTCTTTGTCAAAAGAAATAAAACCTATGATTAAAGAAAAGTTTACTTACAAGGAGGCAAAAAGTCCGAATTCAAAAACAACACATGAACCTGTTCACACACCAAATTCTGAAATTCAACCGATTCTGATCGTAATCTTCAAACGCACTTCAATCTAATCTAACTTCAGCCGTACAACGGTTCGAATACACAATGCATAATAGAATTAAAACCAAATCGAACCAAAAGAAAGAAGAAAAAAGCACGCACGCCCACACCTACAAATATGCATAGAGAGGGAGAGTACTAGAGGAAGAACAAATGAGAAATTCTTCGATCGAATCAGTATTGTTGTTGCGATCCGATAAATTAAATCGAATGAATTGGAATTGGAATTGGAATCGCGACTTGGATCTGAGTGAAATAGACAAAGAAAAACCCTAATTTGTGAAATCAACTGCGGAAACGCTCTCTCTCTCTCTATAATTTGTATGCGAGATGTGATTTTTTTTTGCGAGGCATGATAGGACAGGGTTCACGCCAGAGAATATCAGATTGCTCACACAACATACATTGTCACACAAATATAACTACGTCTGTAATCAAAGAGAGTCCCGTAATATAAAACAGAACAGATTTTATCTGATAATTTCAAATAAAATTATTTAACGATTATCAATATTTCTCTTAAAATTATTAAATTATATTGTGTCTTCGGACACGAGTTACCCCTAATATATATATATATAGAGTTAATTATTGTTTATATTAATTAAGTTTTTAAATTATGTATTATACTAATTTAACTCCTGAACTATAAAATTTGACTCAAGAATATTCTGTCAAAATTCGTTATTAATTTTTGACGGAATTATTACGTAAGTGAAATATGAGGTTGTATGTGCAAGTGAGAGTTTTTGTCCAAATTCCAAAATAAATTTGAATGAAAACGTCACATTAAGTCGAATTACACAATTCAGAGGTTAATTTGATATAGAACATAATTCATGAACTTAATTGCTATCACTAGTGAGGGTCTATTAGAGTAGTCTTTAAGTGCTCTCTTTTACCTCCACTAGAGCTGATAGTTGACGAGTTTGAACGAGTTTTAATTGAGTCTAAAAAACTTGTTTTATTAACATATTTAAGTAATTGTTTAAATTTGGTTCATTTAAAAAATAAGTCGAGTCTAAACGAGATGAGTTCTAGTATTTGCACATAAATAAATCAAATATATCAAGTTCGAATTGAGCCTGTTGGACTTATTTTTTAAATGAGTCTAAAAATTATTCAAATTTAGTTCGTTTTCTAAACGAGCCGAATTTGAACGAGCCAAAAATAAGTCAAACCTGAGCTGAGCTCGAATAACTCGATTTGATTAACAACCCTAGCCCCACCCCTTTTTTCAACTAGCAAAAAAAACTTAATTGAGATAAACGGTGTACTCTCTCTCTATATATGGAGAGTTACTTAACTCTTAATAGGTAGTTAAAACTTTCAAACTAATTTACTTATGGAAAAAAAATTCAAACTAATTAAATGGGTAATTTGAATTTATTCAAGGACTAAAATGCCCTCGTGTTATTTAGATATGGAGTTATATTTTTGGCTAATAATTGATTTAAATCTGATTTTATTCTATCATACCTCACGAAATTAAAAATCAGATATACTAATAGCAGATCCATATTATAAATGCATACACCATGTTATTTGCTAAACTTTAATTTAATGGAGTTAATTTGGATAAAATTATATTTTTAGATTAAATTTTCATTTGTAATAGATTGGATTGTAAAAATAAAAATACTAAATATTTTAATTCGATTCGGGTAAAAAGGCAAAAAAAATATAAAAAAATTGTAAGATTCGCTTAACAACTAAAATATAACTAGAAAAAAAATAACTTTCAAACCCTTTGTTGTTCTTAAGTTGATTTTCTGCTCAGAGCTCGGTTTTTATATACTATATTAGTACTTAAAAAATAATGACTATATAATTTTCATAAAAATGATCATTTCATATATTATTGATGTATTTCGAGTAGATTAAATCTTCAATTATTTGTCACAAATTGACACTCATTATTCTATATATAATGGTGAGATAAATGGTAGATGATGTGTCAAGAAGAGAATTAAAGAGAAAGTGTACTGCATAAGATCTCTCTTTTGCATTAAGAGGACCTAATACCATGTGATTATTAAATGTGTTAGACTCTCATGATCATCTAGGGACTCTTGTCTATGGAAATTGTTATATATTTGAAAGCACATGCAGTGGTCTGTGGGTATGATCACATACACTATTAATGAGGATTGATCTCCTCTGACAGAGAACTAGACTTTACCATTCCTCAACATCTTTCCTTCCTTTCTCAAGATGATTTGCCAGTTGGTTTTCAATTTTATATCATATTAATTCACATATTTTTATTTGGTAATAATTATGGAACGATATCAAGTATTTATCTGTTCAAATACGTCTTGGATTCGAGCTTGAAAATTATCTCTACTATAAGGGATCAAAGTTGCCTATTACTTACTTGCCCTTAATTCTGTTATAGACGAGAATCTTGAGTGCTAGATATAGCTTTTTTAAAGCCATAATTCATTACATTTCTTTGAGAATTATTGTAATGGTTGTGATTATAACGAAAACTCGGGTACGCATGCGTGTTTTGACCATGTTTGTACATAATATTTAGAAAATTGAGTCAATTTTTTGGATGATGGAGGGGTCAAACGTTTGTAAGCGGATCCAAATAAAAATGAAATCTCAAATCTGTCATGCCTTAATCTTTTTTGTCATAAGCAAAATTGCCATGCCTTGTTACTGTCAATTGCAACTAAATGTGTTGAAATGCACCCATGTAGGTGCCATTTTGCTACCCATAAACTACATTTTGGATTGCTTGCTGATGTAGATGTGCAATTTGTATGATACTTTTGGTCATCATGATGAATGAGAGACTTGAGAAATGATGAGGACAACAATGACTTATGAAAAAGAAATATGTATTTTTTCGATCGACCTTTTTCGTGTTACAAAAACTAAAAAAGTGTTTCCTTCTTGTTGCATGGATTTATAAGTTATTCCTACCTTTGCTCACAATGATAGATTTAATAGATGAGTGAGGATGGGGCGCCCGCACCCTAAAGATTTTTAATTTTTTTTTGATGATATTATTATTATTATTTATGAATATGCTAAATTACATAAATGGCATTTCTTGAATTTCTTTAAAAATATAAAAAGTTGTTTGATTGTTAAAATCTTGGATCCATTCCTGATTACTCACTTGGAGGTTTGCAATGTGTAGTTTACTTATATTAATCTTTGTGGGCCATAAAAAGAATCATGAAAGGTGGTGGGACTCAAAAGGGGACCCATACCCACTTTTAGATGTGGCCTAACTTGTCATGCCTTTGAGTGCACTTCTTTTGAATAAAGCCTTACTTTAAGTTGAAGCATGTGTGGTACAATGCAACAATTAATTAAGATAAGCATATTTGAATTAAAGTTCCATCATTTGTTTACTAGCAAGGTTAGCTCTTGCATCCTTTTGAGTGAGCATCCATCAAAACTTCATAATCAAATTTTTTTGCAAAAATGGTTGTTATATATATATATTCTTTTACATTGTTGTGGTGATAGCAATCATTATGAGATCTATATTCCGTTCAGCATAATTTTTCTCCATTTTTGTATTAATCGTGCATTTTATGTTAATGAACGATCAATTTATAAAGTGAGTCTTATTTGAATTCACGTAATGAGGGACCGGTGTTATGCAAAATAACTTTAAGAACAACATTTTAATCTATCTCTTTTTTTTTTTATCGTCTTAAATATATCCCCACATAATGGAATTGTTTCCTAAATTTGAATGATTGTAAAGGGCAAACAAAGAATTCAATGGTGGTTGATGGTTGGAGTTCATTTCTATATAAAAATATGGAGAAAAAAATATCATTGTCATTTCTTTATATGGTTGATCAAACTTTCCTATAAATGTTTTGCTTTAACTAGTGTCCCACAGATATGCTGCCATTTTCATTCATAAAATATTGGTTTTTTTTTTGTTTATTATTAGTTATTAAATTGGTTGGACGGCTTGTTCATCCTTTAAGCAATATATGTAAATGGATCCCTCAAAAACTTGCAAGCTAAATGATTGACTTTGCAATAAAAGTAGATTGAATTGCAATAAAACTAGATTGAAACTGATGTTAGTTAAGTGATTGAATTGGGGATAAGATTAGTAGAGGTGTGCGTAAGAAGGTCCGGACATCCCTTTCCGTCGAACCAAAAGAAAGAAAGAAATACAAACACTTTACATTTTAAATGACTCCTATCATGTCGGGTTTCAAAATTGTACGTTACTTGGATCATCAGTCGATTTGGTACATAGGTATGAGTATGCGACACGGTATTTCTTTCAATACGCTATACAATAGGAGTAGATTTAATTGGTACAATACTTTGAATCGTGATTTGTTTTTTGTCAAACCACCTATTTGATTATATTTAATTGTACACTGATAAACACATTGTTAACTAGTATTTATTTTGTAATTTGAAGTCAAAAACTTAATCATCGCGAAACCACCTCGTTCTCGATTGTGCAACCCCGATTTATGGGACGGTAGAGGTATCACGATCCCGATATCTCTTATACCATCGTCAATTTGACCTTATATCATCAAATCTCATTAAAATTAAACACATAATTATAATTTAATATGTGATTGTCCTGACTAATTTTGCATTAAGGGTTGAGATCTACATACTTTATGAGCCTATCTGGTTTTAAAACAATGCATCAATGGCCGCTCTATGACACTGACATTTGGTTATTCAAACAAACACATGGTTTACAAAACAATTAGGCGGCGCCGGCCAGTGCTAACAAGGTGTGGAAACATATACCCCAACGCTCCATCAGAAATTCACCCTTGCTTAGTCATTGTTAGTATCTTACTTTTGGAGGTCATGGCATGGGCTCCATGTCCATACTTTGGGGGGGGGGGGGGGGGGGGGGAAGTCTAGCCAACCCAGCCCTTTCGTGTCATTTTTAGTTTGTGTGAGACCGGGATCCACAAATTGACGCATAAGACTCGCCTTGTACTTTGGAATATAGGGGAGAAACATGGCATATGACAACAACGTGGTGAGATTTGGAACCCTTACTGCAAGACGGAACCCTCAAAGGAAGCCGAGCTTTTAGAGATGAGGTCTTTTGGGGAAGTCAAGTTCGAGCCACCAAACTCTGCAACTGACGAGAAAACCTTATGGAATCAAAGGAAGCGTGTAGAATCAGAGTGATGACTCAAGAGCGTGTCTAAATAAGTATAATGGGAGTCTCTGTGTTAACTCATTTGATCATTGGGTCTGATTTATTACTTACAACTTGAGTTTGTTACTATCACATTCATACCTTTACAAATCTTTACCAATTTTGTTTAAAGTTGATAGATTGTGTTAAGAATTGTCACTTATGGAATGAAGACATGAGAGTACAATCGATAGACTAGAAAAGACACAAAAACATCAAAATAACAAAATAAATTAGATAGAACAACATCAAACTCTGTTGTCCATTGTTGTAACAAAATGGTTCCCATCTCTTGTGGTCAGTAGATACCATACCAATCAAACATTCATTGGAACGATCTGGTCTTTATGAGTAGAGACTAGAGAGGTAATAGAATGTATTTAGTACTTTTGGTAAAATCTCTGTTTTTTTGAAGTAAAGCCGTAACTTATATTGTTCGAAAGGCACTCTAAGTTCGTATGGATAAATAGATACAATCATTTTTTCATTGTAATTATGTTGAGCAAGTTTATTAGTACACGATAGTTGTTTATAAAAAAGTGTATACATTGCTTTACCAATGACCATGAGAGCAATAGCCATTTGGTATCAGAGTCAACCTCTGATACAATTATATAACTCGGAGCATTAAAGTATTACTTCCGCGTGTCACACTGTATGTATATTTGAATCAAACTCACCCTCAACTAAATGAAATTAAAAGGACAGTCGAAGATCAGGTAACTACTCAATATAATCTAACTAAAATTAAATAATGGGAGTTTTTGCCTAGTCTACTCGACAAGAAGTAGAATCCCAAGTATTCCTAAAATTATAAATAACCATCAAAATTTACATTAAAAAAAAAAAAAAACACAAAACTTACCTTACCATTTGTCTTGGTCTTCACCCTTATTAAGAAGTGAGAAAGGAGACACCACAATCAACACATACATTAAACTCCCTTTTTTTTTTTTTTCGAACGATAATGATTTCTAACTTACTTCTCCATCTACCATTGGTGGCATTAAAGCAACATCTCAACCATCGATTTTTATTGTAAAAACATATTTTACAAACACAATGTGTAAAACCATATTTACAAAATTACAATTTTACATTAAAAAAGCATTAAGACCACTTTTTCATACAGACCGGTAGATTGAAAAATAAGTTAAAAATCCTGGTATTTAGATAAAAAAAAAAATATTTAAAATCGAATATTACATGCATGAGGCTCCAGTCCACCCTAAAAGCTGGATCCCATGGAAGCTCAACATCCACTCAATTTCTCTTTGGACTTTTCCAAATTCCCCAACACAATTGAGCAGGATGGAATTATTGCAAAGAAACAAGAGAATCTTTAAGGCACGTAATCACATCAGGATGCATTCTCAAGGGTGCATTATAAAAGCATATTTCGAAGAATTGTCCCTTGTTAACACCCTTTTTTCCCTAATTATTTACGAGAGCACTGACATTATAAAATTAGAATCAGATACTTGGTCATCTATACTCAAAAAAATCGAACCATAATTTCATAATTATCCAGAAATAAAACCACCCAGTAAAGGCTTATTGGGTCATTTCTCAAATCAGACACAACCCTCAATAACTTACTTAAACCAAAACAATTTGACAGCAGACTGAAAAGTTGCCCAATACAGAAATAAAAGGAAAACTGGTAAATAATAAAAACTAATACTACATCAAGCACCACTCCCCTAAAGGACAAGAAAACCCCAATCTTATATTTTAACACTTGACCTCCTTCAAGCCATGGGCAAAGTACAGGAAAGTTGGATCAGTGGCACCCTCCTTGTAGTAGGCAAACACTAGGGTGCTGTCATCATGCATGCTCTCCCCCACGAAACTACAAAATATAATGCAACTTAGTAAAGAAAACAATCCCAAGTTTTTGATCGTGACACAAAAAAAATTGTGTGGATAGCCAACCACGCAGAATGATAGTGGAGCAAAGGATAAAAGAAACAGTAATTTAACCACACAGGGAACTTACAATTGGAGGTCACTGAGCTTTGAGAGCAGGAACTTGGTTGCCCCCTCGATGTTTTTCTTAAACTCCTCTTGCTTTTCTGCCTCCAGCTTCGGCGTCAACAACTTGATGTACTTCTTGATGTATGAAACAAACTGCTTCTTGTCAAAAGCAGGTTGCTCCTACAAACATCACATATGTCAAAATGACAACTTCTTCAGCACAACAATCTTGTCATTCACAACCATAACAACAACTGGACAAAACAAACCTGGAGCCTAAATGTGTCGACAATGTCAACGACCTTGACAGCTTGGTCATCAACGCCTTCGTCATCCTCAGCACCTTCAGCAGAAGGGTTTGCACCAATGTCTACATCAACTGCTCCTTGAACAACCCACTGCAGTTGCCAAATATTTCCAATGTACATTATTGCCACAGTAAATTATAATTTCTCAATATGATACTATACAAGATAGCCTCACTAACATATCTAGCAGACTGACAACCAAAAACTGATAGCCATGCAGTACAGAAAATTTCAGTATAGTAAAAACCTTTAAGAGTAGGATGAGTGATGGAATATGACACCATTATTTGAAAATAGAAGTTTTTTCAGAAAGAGCAGTGCATAACACTAACCTTTCCTTCAACTTCCCAGAGGATCCCATTCTGGATTTCCTTGTATGGGAAGGAGTCTGAGAGAAGCTCATCATCTGAAAATTTTGAAACAAAAACAAAACATAGGAAAACAGAATGATGAATGATGCTCTTCAAATAAAACAAAACCTAGATTAATTATAAAAGCTGTGTTTCATGCAGGACAAATACATTTGCACCACAAATTTAGCATCAAATAACAAATGAAATCTGGTAACGGCATATCTAGTCAATCAAAATCTGTAGTAAGGACTGGTTCGAATAACATATTTAGCAATCCCCTATAGAAAGAACAAAAAGTTCATCTCTGCAAACCTCAATTGAGACTAAGGAAAGAGAAAGCAACAGATTTTATAGATTAAAAATCAAGGATACCTAAAGCAAATAAAAGTGACAACAGAAACTATAAGAAGCAGTAGGGAGCGAAACTGGTAACAATTGGGTAAAATCATGTTACCAAAAAAATGTGACAACACTGAAGTCCAGAAAAACCACCTAAAGCATGTCAAGTTTTAATCTTGCACATGCCCCGCTCATAATGCATCGGGGTGTGTGGGCATGGTTATGGGTGTGGGTGTGGGTGTGGTAAAATTTAAAAATTTCAAAAACAAGTTTGTTAACCCCATCAATGCTCTTCCAATTACTTGAAATTTATCAGGAAAAAAAATCCAAAAAAAAACAATCAATAACCATATGTTACAGAGGTAGAAAGAACTAAAAGAAATTCAGCATAAATTAAAGTTTCAATCCTGAACAGTGTAGCTGAACTCAAGCACAGTTACTTGATAAACATCCAAGGAAAACAATCAACAACCATACTTTACAAAGGTAGAAAGAACTAAAAGAAACACAACACACAATAAAATTTGAATCTTGGACAACATAGCAGAACTCAAGCATGGTTATTTGATATCTAATAAGGAGTAACACAACTAATTTTGCATGGCCGTAAACGCAAACAACACAATCCATAAGTACAATTTTCCACATAGTTTTCCATCTAAGTCGAACAAATTCTCATTATAGTTTTTCTAAAAACTACAGAATATCGAAACAACAACCATCATAAACTACATCAAAAAAATAAAATCACTAACCCACAACTGTTGCAGTGAACAATAGCCAACAATTTTAGTTTTCTTTCAAATTGAGCTATTATTCTATTAACAACACAGGGGCATGACGTTTTGATAAAAACAATTATGGGGGAAATTTCCATTGCAAACAAAATAATTGGTCCATACCATACACTGAGACAAAACATGTACTTGAAAGTAAAGAGATATATTGATTAAAAAAGCAATTAATTCTCCAAATAAATTAATTCACACGAATAGATACCAAAAAAACAAAAAAAAATCAACCTTTATAATGGTTACAACCACAAATTATACGTAAACACTCAAATTAACTCAATATAGACAGTCAGATCAAATCATGTACAAGCAATAACCGAATCCCCAATCCCAGAGATTCAAAACCTGATAATAGATCGAATACATAATAAATAAAAAAAATTAAAACATCACAAATCACACAAAACAAAACAGTTTAACACAGATCTGAATACAAATAGCAAAGAACACACAAAATAAAAAGACTTAAATTCACATAAACCCTAAAATCAACTAATCAAACCAGGTATTATATAAACACATATTGCATATATGCCATATATATTAAGGAAAATAGGATTTACTGGTAAGCAAATCTTGATAGACCAACATGATTGCAGACTCTCTCCGGGTCGCCTCACGCAAAGACTTCGATTGCAAGAGAGAGAGAGAGCGAGAGGGTTTGGAACCGAGTGGACAGCGAGAATATATAGGCGAGGGTTTGGAGAAGAAGAGATTGAATCGGAGAAGAGTTCCTAATTACCAAAACAGGACAATCTTTCTAGTTAATTCCCGTCCAAGCCCTTTCCAATTATTGCTCATATTGGCCTGTGGATTGGGTTAGGTCCATATGTTTCAGTCCATAATGAGAGCCCAATTTGTGTAACCCACGAGTTTACCTTCTTTATATTTGAAGCGCCATGTTGCATTGACTTTGTGGGCCCCCAATTTATTTTCTTTCTCTATACTTCCTCCTCTTTGTGTTGGAAACAGAGACAGTTAAAATGGTCAATTATTGTGACATACACATCGACATACATTGGTCAATTATAAGAGTGGCTGATATTCATTCAATCCAATGACTCAAAATTATTCTAATTTTATTTTCTCAAACTTGAAAATTTCAATCAATTCATACATTTTCACGCTAACAAATACTAGGCTAAATATTCTCTGTTATATCTCTTTCTTCCCTCTCTATTAGAGATGCTAAATAATTTCTTTCCCGACTATAAGATTTTAAGGAAGACTTGCTGAATTTTAATCTTTTATAAAAAAGTTGTCACAATCATTAATAAAAATATTACAACACCTAGACACTAAACAAATTCCCTAGGGCAACTCGTATGATATAGAACACAAAAAATATGAAGGTGAATTACAATGAGAAACATACTTGCCCACATTAACATGCATATAACGGAGCAACCAGACTGCTTCAATGTCTCTCATAATGTGTTCTACGCTATTGAAAGGTAGATTCACATGAAGTGTGTGTTGTGCATGTCTAAAAAAATTTCAAATTAATTCTATGATAAATACTACTTTTTAATTGTCATTTTTTTGGGGGTATTAAACCCTGCTTTAAGGCACGGGTAATTTATAGTGGTATCATATTGAAAAAAAAAAAAAGAAGACAAAGAAAAAAATATCTTGATATATACTCTACCTTCTTCCCTCTTGTTGAAAATTCAGGCTTGATTAAATTTGTGCCTTAAATTTTGATTCCAGGGGTTAATTATTAGGTTTTACATAATTTAAGGACTAACATGGGATAGTTAAAAATCGAAGGGGCATTTTGAAAGGGGAGTATAATGTCAGGGGGATATGTGCAATTTTCTTTCCTTTTCGTCTTCTGATAGTTTACCGTCGTTTACCAACACCAAATTGATCTCGGTTTGGAGTCTTTGGGCACCCCCAATCTCTCTCTCTCTCTCTCTCTCTCTCACTCTTCGTGTCGTCCATCGGAGTTAGGTTTCCATATCAGGTATGCAGATTTCGATTTTTCAGAGAATATTCAATTGAAAGGCTAATTTTGTTACAGTTTATTAGGCATTTATTTATTGCAATTGATTTGTACATTGATTACGTTTATTGTTATACATGTTTAGTGAACAATTCACTGAAACTCTGATTCACATTGCCGTTTCTTTAAATTAGGTGAATCATGTTGTTGAAGAAAAACCCTAGATCGCAATTCCGTGTCTGTTTGATGTAATTATTGCTGGGTTTGTATGTGAATGGGGTTCAATCTTCATCGCTGAGGCCCGAGTTAGAATTTTAGGGCTGTTTTGCATCAACCTAATAGACTGTTGAAGTGGGGTTTTAAAATTATTATGGATAGTAACAAGGACGAGGCTTTAAGATGCATTGGTATTGCCAAAGAGGCAATTGCATCGGGTAATCAGCAACGTGCACTCAAATTCATTGGGATTGCGCGGCGGCTTAACAACAGTTTGTCGGTGGATGATCTTTTAGCCGCATGTCAAAATCTGGATTCGTCATCCTCTAGGCCGTCAATTGATGAAAAGGTGGATACTGCTAAGAATGTTTCGGATAAGGGTAAATTTGATGATGTTTCCAATGGGGAGCGTAATTATACTGAAGAACATGTGCAGTTGATCAGGCAAATTAAGAGAAATAAGGACTATTATGCGATTCTTGGTGTGGAAAAGAGTTGTTCGGTTGAGGAGATTAGGAAGGCGTATAGGAAATTGTCTTTGAAAGTTCATCCCGATAAGAACAAGGCGCCGGGGTCTGAGGAGGCGTTTAAAATGGTTAGCAAGGCATTCAGTTGCTTGAGTGATGATGACTCGAGGAGACAATATGACCAGACAGGTTTGGTTGAGGAATTTGAGTACAACCAGCAACATAATGTTAGGCGAAGGAGGAGGAGGACTGGGAATGATATGTTTGATGATGATTTTGATCCTAATGAGATATTCAGGGCATTCTTTGGTCAGGCTGACATGTTTAGGACGGCTCAGGTTTACAGAACGAGAGGAACAGCTGGTCAACAGAGGGACGATTTTGGTGGATCTGGACCTAATCTGATGCTGCTTCTTCAGCTATTACCATTTTTGATAATTATCTTGCTCGCTTATTTGCCGTTTTCAGAACCCGATTATTCTTTGCAGAGGAATCATTCCTATCAGTTTCAGAAGATTACTGAGGAACATGGAGTGGAGTTTTACGTTAAATCACCTGAGTTTGATCAAAATTATCCCCTTGGAAATCCTGCTCGATCTAACATTGAGAACAATGTGATCAAGGATTACAAAAATATGCTTGGGCGCTATTGCCATGTTGAACTCCAGAGGCGTCAATGGAGCAGAAATTTTCCAACACCTCACTGTGACAGGCTACAAAATTTTGGAGTTGTGTGAAGGTTCGCTTAAGTTTTCTTTTTACAGATGGATTTTTTGTATTTACTTTGTATTGATTAAGTTCTTTTGCTACTTGGTTTCTTGTGTAGAATCTTTACTATGTGCTCTGCTTGTTTTCCTTCCAACTATGAAAAAAAATTTAGTTCTGTTTACTGTAGTTCAATAATCAAGGATCAAGTCATTTTCACCTTCTGAGAAAGGTGCTCATATGTCTTGAATGAACCTATTGCAAATTTTGATTTACTTGAGCCAGTTTCCAGGATGTAATTATTTTTGGCCTGGTTTATGATTTATTTTTCATCCCTTGCAATGTAATCATCTAAACTTGTGAATTGGTTTCTCCTCCCCCCCCCCCCCTCTCTCTCTCTCTCTCACACACACACGCAGTGAATAGATCTGTCATTCGAGATATTTAAATCAAGATTTACCATTTCTTTAAGAACCCGTAGGTTTTTGAGTTTGAGGCTAAGCTAACTGCTACTGCATGGGGATGTCTTCTTATGTCCAGCTGATCGCATAAACCGTGTCACCAGGCAGTTTTTTCTGGATTGGTTTCTCTCTATCTTTGATAAGAAATATCCAGCTAATTCTTTGTGAATATGATGACCAATATCAGATGATTCTTTTTTCTTTCCTCATTTTTCATTCTTTTGTTTTGGAGAAATAGGACAGTTCATGTGAAAACATTAATAGAGATACTTTTATACGCACTGCCTGATTATACAAAGCCGTTATTTTATCTCACTTTATTCTGGAAAAACTTTTCATGCTTTTGATGTTTTATCAAAATAAGATGCAATTTAGCTTTATATTCATGTTCTTTGGTTTAGTGGTCTGATGTATTCACTATGTCTGAGCATTGTCACCTTAATGTTAGCATGTCTCCAATATGCAATTTTTTACCATCAATTTACACTAGTGCATTGCTTTCCCTTCATGCATGTTCAAAGAATCTTTTGTGTGTGCACATGAAGATGATTCCCTCTCATCAGTGTATGTCCCTAATGTGATTTTCAACTTCCATATGTTGATGATGATTTTAGCTTGGAAAAATTTGTCTTTATTTGAGAAGTTGATGTAAAACCATGTCTAATGTACTTGTAACTTTATAATACACATTTATTAAGTACTCCTATGCATCTTTACCCAGTCCACTTCAACTCAAGTTTTTATTCAGCGAAGATTTGGTATTGTGGTCTTCAATTGTGGTGACCTTTGTTTTTGAGCATGGCTCAGTCTATAATTTTTGTGTGCATGAGTCCATATTTGTATGTGTGTTTTGACCTATCTGGACAGCCTCATGAAGTACCAGTTTTTTTTTTTTTGGTTTGGTTGAGCAGGTTTTGGATAGAATCTTGAAGCTCACTGGTGCAATTTCATTACAAGATTATGAGCCTGATCATTATATGGGCTCAAGGCAGTGGCAGCTACTTAATACAGAGTACTAGGGTTTAGTTGCACCTATACGACCAGGCATTTGGCTTTTGTGTCATCAACTTTTTGGCCATGCACCCATCTTGCATGGACATCCGGAACTGTTTGAAGGAGATTGTTGAACGACCAAAATGCACTTCACTTTTTATTTACTGTAATAAAGTGAGTTTGGTAGTTTTCCCTCATAGCTCATGTATTGATTGCCTAACAAGCTGCATAAACATAAGTAAAATCAAAACTATTTAGTTTATAATAAGATAAGATGAGCTTAAAGTTATTTTGCATTTTCTGTTATTGAGCTTTAGAGATGTTTTCATATTTGCTCCTTTGTTTAAGTACCTTGGAGAGGTATGAGATGTAACCTTTCTATGTGCCCGTTGCCCATGCAATATTTTGTAGAGGTGTCTCATAAGATATGGATTCTCGGTTCTCTCTCTTGTCATGTCGTACAATATCCTGTAAATTGTTTATCAAGTGTTGAGATATATTGTGGATTATCATCTCTACTTTATATTGGCAAATTGTTGGTCTGTTCCAGTTTTATACACTTCAAAGGTTTTTCCATGTGTTTTCGTGGTTGTTATCATTGACTGAACTGGTTAGTTCTTTTAGCCTGTGTACCTTACAAAATTGTATGGCTGCACAGAATGAACAGAGGGCATGTAAAGCATAGACTGGGTGCTGTTCCACTTGCTTTTTAAGGGCGCACCGGTCTTAGAAACAGGGGGAGCAGGGGTCGAAACAGGGACTCCTGAAGAAGATTGAACAGGGAGCTTTCCCTTTGCCATCTTCTGTCTTTTCTTGATCAACAGGGGGAGCAGGGGTCTAAACAGGGACTACTGAAGACGATTGCACAGGGATCTTTCCCTCTGCTATCTTCTGTCTTTTTTTGATCAAAGGGACATCATGAGAGGATTCCACGTCAAGCGGAATCACCTTTGTGGATCCAGCAGCAGGGAAAGTTCTTGATACAGGAAGTCCCCTGACCTCAACCTCTTTGCAATTGGTAGAGGGGGATTGGTAAAGCCTTCAGAAGATTACTTAATGTCTTCAGTTTTAAAATTCCCTCCCTATATACATAGACTTTGTGCAAAGCCTTGTTGTTTGGTTTGGATGTGGATGTCTCGGCAGCCCTAGATGGCCTGAAAAGCAATTGCCAAGAAGAATGGATGGACGAATGTGGATTGGAAACCTATTACAGGTTGTGAGTGTAGTGATCGAACTCAAAATTATTTGTATACCCGAGAGGTATTCTCTACTTTCTTTGCTAACTTTGTAAATACTTTTCATTGAATTGAATTTCAGTGAGGATCGTAGATCGTAGAGTAGAGAGAGACTGACAATGTCGGGATTGCTGCAGTCGAGAATGCGACGTGTGGGTGTGGGGCCTTATCGGTGAATGGTGTTGTGTCATTGTAGATACAATTCAAAATTTAATTTATTGACATGTATGTAACGTAGGGTTGCAAACAATGAATCCAAACTCTGAGTTTTGTCAATTTCATCCATTGACTGGAATTTAACTTGATATAAAATTTAAAAATGACACGGATAATAAATATGTTAAATTAAAATTGGATAAGAATAACACGATTAACAGATATTATAAACAAATAAAAAGTAGGTATGTTAAATATTGTTTTAATTATTTAGCATAATTTCTTATGAATTTTTACAAAATTAAATAATTTTTTATTAACATAAATATTAATATGAATGCGACTCATACAAATTTGATACAATCCCAAAAATAACACAACATAAAAATGATACCGACAAGAATGACATTCCTCCATCAGATCTCAAAAATACAGAAATAATCTCCCAAATCTTATACATAATTAGATGAAAAATTACATAAATTAAAATGTAATTTCATAAATTACATGAAAAATGTCGGCACAGAGATTCTCAATGACTACAATACCCTCAAAATATCCAACTCAGCTGCGTTTACTCATCTGGGTACTCCGGTAATTTAAAATCACCTCCCATGTTCAAACATGAACTCAGCTCTCTACGTACGTCCGTACACTATATATACCCAATAATGTATACGTATACAATAATCAAGAAGCAAAGAAAACAGATCAAAGCATCAATCAAAACACACACATTAATCACCGGAATCATCGTCGCCGCCGAAGATGGAGACCCGGTTGTAGAGAAGGAACAAAATGAGAACAAGAAAGAGAGCAACGCCGACGGGTGACCCGCTGACCCGGTGAATGGTGTCGGGCTCGCCGGTGGAGAATATGCCGGCGATGAAAGAGCCACTGTCGGAAGAGAGGAATTGGATGGTGAGGAGGAGGACAATGGGTAGGAGGAGGAGACCTACTGGGCTCAGAAGGTCGGCAATGAAATCTGTTATGGCTTCACCACCTTGGTCACCGAGAAGTGTCGGAAGCACCACCACTAGCACCACCACCACCACCGCTAGGAGGACGCCGTGAGGAGGGCCTCGGCGTTCTTCTATCATTTTTTTTGCTTTTGAGAATGGAAGTGTTTTTTGTGCTTTTGCTTTTGTTTTAGCTTTCTTTTTGGTTGTTGCACTTTGGGGTAGGTAGATTGGTTGTTGTTGAAATATAAAGGGCTTTGGGACACGCCTTTGGAAATAACCATGGAGGTGGAAAATGTGTGGTGAAAAAGAAAAAAATCCTAGTAATCTTGCCAAAGTTATTATTTTTAAAAGTAAAGTTACAGATTTGAAATGTGACGTTATAATTACTTGAGGGAAGTTCATATTATTGTCGACCATGGAATTTCTTAAGTAATTATAACATTTTTATTACAAATTATAACTTAATTTTTTAAAATTATAACTTAATTTTTTGAAAGATGTAACTCATAAGATCAATCGCACTGTTTTTAAGATCGATTGTGCCTTATTTTTTTTATTTTTTTGATTACTGGGTGTTTAGGCTTATATCAACTACTCTCTCGAGATTTGAGTCAACCACCGTAACTTGAGTTAATTTAAAGATATGTCTTCTGAGCAACAAGGATAATTGATTTGTAGGGAGTGTGTGAAATATCAAACTTAAGACTTGTTGTTTGCATGAGAGTAGACTTGACCATTGGACCGTGCTTAAGGTTGATCAATTGTGTCATTTGCAAGTTGTAACTTCTATTTCAAAAATTTATAATTTAAGCTTAAAAAATTATAATTCTTTATAAACCACGATACCATACTCTTGCTCTCATTTGGGAGCTAAGAAGAGAGAGGAGAAGAATAATTTTTTATTTGTTTATGCACGTGTACAACTAAGTATGTTTTGGATTTGCATCATTTATCATAATAATTGATCTAGTATACAGAAATCATGTGTATAATTAAATTTAAAGTTAAATATAGATAATTTATCTTTATTTAGAAAAAATTGGTTTCAAAACTCGACTCGTAAAAACTGCAAGAGTCAATTTCCTAGCTCCCTAGTTAGGATCGTAGGTTAAAATTGACTTTTTTAAGTAAAGAGTAATGTTATAGGAACTTAATTTAGGAAACTAAATTCAATACAGTCATTAAATTAGTTGTGAGTTTCAAATTAAATTCAAATAATATTTTACTTAAGTAATAGGTTTGGCCTCTCAATTCATTATGACTCGAAATTATCACGCTAAATTCACAGGATAATTTCAAACCAATTTCATAGTTACAGATAATATTAAGCGCTATGAATCTCTTATCTTACAACCATTTTTTTTTTTTTGTTTCCAAGAAGTTCCATGGAAGTCTCCAAGAGGGAGACAAGTGACCACCACTTGGGCGCAATGTAATTTCTTATTGCAAGCCATGCGCGTAAGGGGAGCATTCCAAGTCATTTCAGTTTGGGGATTAATATATCTTACCAGCAGCAGAGGAATCCAAATGGAATTCACATTAGGTTGCATTTGCCTAGAACCATCATTGGAGATTGAAATAGAATAAGAAATTGTAAGCTTTTAAACGATAAGAAAAGTCTCAAACTCTGAATGCAAACGAGTTGGTGAATCACGTGTATGATCTGGGTAAAGGAATCAATCTAGACGGTAGTGAAAACGAGTCTTCTAAGAACAATTGTCCTTTTGGATTTAAGTCTCATGGAGTGGGGTCAGAAAAGGGTGACCCAACCTATATTCTAGGTTGGGAAAACTTAACCAAAAAAAAAATTACAATTGGCTTATTCCCTCATACTCAATTGTAGAGGAATTCTAATTTTTTTTTTTCTAAAAAAGCTACGGTTTGTTTAAGGAAAAAATATCGAAGAAGCCTTGGGAATTTTCATTAAGTTAAGCAAGTAAAGTTACCTTACTGAGAATAAGAGAGAGAGAGACATTCTCTCCTAGACTGATTGACTAGCAGTACTATAATAGGGAAAGAACCAGTTTCAATAAAGTCTTGCATTTCTGCGTAAAGTTGAGAAGTCTTCCTTGGCTTTCTTTTTTGGTTCCATTTCCCTTGTAGCCTATGGAGTGAGTTCGTTGATGGCAATAAGCCTTACTCAACTAGCTCGTTAAGTGGATTTGCTTTCTCCTCTCAAATTTGTTTTTTTTTTTTTATTACAAGATGTTCAGACTTGCATCGACGACTCCCTCAAGTTCAACGGCCACCACTGTACCTTAAATTGGTTAGAGCATATCTCAAAAGAATAATAGTGGCTAACCATTAGAATGTGTGTGAAAAAATTGAACCTGAAACATTTAAATTCCCCTCTCAAATTCATCCATTTATGTTGCCCTAATTTTCCATGTTACTCAAAATCCTAAAGATAGAACCAAATGCAAATTATAACTAGGTGAGGGCACTGGACAACTTCTTGATATTAAAGAGGTTAGATCTTCCTCCATTGTGAGGCTCAATAAGGGACCAGGTGGGGCATAATGGCATTATAAATGTGTGAGAAAAAGTTGGATGGCTTTAGTCAACAAAGCCAATGGAGGTGTTTTTGATTTTTAGGTTTTCATTACATATAGGAGCCTACATTCAAGAAAAAAAAGGCAAAAGTTGGGAGATTTAAATCCAAAGGGACCAGACTACCTTTTATTTGATAAACCATGATGATTACATGACTTTAAGTGAAAAATAGAGAGAAAATGACCTCCATATCATATGGTTTGCTTTTATATATTTTTCTATAACACCCCGAATAAGGTTATTGACCAATGAACTTTTGATTCAATAATACTCTTTCACTTTAATTTCTTGAAGTCAAAGATTCAAGCTCTCTTATCCCCCTCCCCGCCCCCGCCCCCGCCCCCGCCCCCGCCCACGCCCACGCCCACGCCCAAAAACAAAAAAATAAAGATAAGGTCATTGTTCGAAACTCTGCTTTAGATTTCTTTTAGACCTGATTTCAACACGCATTGTATAATGAAGGTCCAACGAACATTTTTCCCTTCAACCCGGTTGCCCAGCATGTTTAGTCATCAAAGTAGACCATTTAATGTGGTAGTGATGATCCAAATTCGAACCACCCATTTGAAAACCTAAACCAAAATTTAAATTGAACAGAAGAACTCGATAAATTTAAATTAACATTTAGTTCACCTTTACCAGAAAAGTGGGCTGATGAAAATAACAGAACGAAGAAGAAAGGCAACAAAGTTTGCCAAAATTATTTAGGACTACACAGATCAATCAACCACCATAATCACACATTGCATAGGAGCACCTATTTTCCCCAGGACACTCTTCAAAACAGGCACCACAGTGCTGAGGATCATTTCGAATATCTACACACTTTCCATCGCAGCAAACAAGCCCAAAACCACAAGCATGTCCACATGTACCACAGTTATTCGGGTCACTCGTGGTATCCCTGCAAAATTTTTGAAAACAACAAGTGGTACCTCCCCAAGGGTTCTTCTCGCGATCCAAGCATGCGTTGGGATCATTGGCGCACCCGAAAACCCTTTGTCTTCCCTGTGAAATAGTACGGAAAAAGTTTGTGTGTCCCGGAGTGATGGAGTCCTGCATACCTGTTTGAGTTGCTGCAAGTCCATAGGAAGCTAAGAGTAAGACAAAAAAGGGCCAATACTGACATAAAATGGCTTGGTGGAAGGAGCGACAACCGGGATTTCCTGGAGGGAAGTGTGCACAAAGCATGGGAAATCAACGGCCAGACCTGACATGGGTGATCTGTATTGCAATGCATCAGAAGGATCCTTCCAGAGATAAGAAGCCTGAAGAAGACTTCATAGTTGTTTATCTAATGAGCTGTCTCAGCTGGTAAGCTTTGTCAAACATGTAAAGATCAGAACACTTGCATTGCGTAGAGAGTCTACCTAATATGTTCCAAACTATTCAGAAGCAGATACATGGAGCAGATGTGAATATGACATGCTCGTATATAAAATAGGAAACACTAAAATGAAAAATATTTCCTCACTCCTCTTTTCTACAGGTCAATGAGCATCTTCCAACTACTTGCTTTTTTTATAGAAACTAGCAGCTTAGAACAGAGATTATTATAAGCATAACACATGACCATTGCCTCAGCCGGCTGAAACAGATTGTGTGGATGGTTGGTAGTAATTGCCCAATGCCTAGTGCACAGTATTTGTGTCACTGCAGAGTCTAGAATAGGGTAGATGTACACAGCCTTATCCCGTGCACAAAGAAACTATTTTTATGATTTCAACCCATGACGCCAATATCACAATGAAACAACTAGACTGCTGTGTTAAGACCTGCCATAGGGTGCCTTACAGTCAGACTTGAAAATGACTAATTAATTTGATATACTATTAGGTGCAGCCACAGACTGAACAAGTAAAGGCATGCGTAGCATAATCAGACTTACAGTCAAGATTTGAAAAAGAAATGAAGTGTAACAAGGTATATTCAAGTTAAAAACATGAAAGTTTTATATTTTAATCGTGATGATAATGCATTAAAATTATCTTCAGGGCATCAAATTCGATTAATTATGTGCCACCATTCTAATCTTTCTGCTTGTCAATGACCATCTTCTGCTAGATATTGTTGATTTCGAATATCAGATACTCCCTCCAATGATGTATACAATAGTATTTACTTGAGAAATATAGAGTGATTGCTCTCCTAGCAACAATACTTCAAAGAACATAAGAGTTCGGTTGTTTGTAGCCAAAGCAAAAGATACCACTCAAACTCTTTGTCCATGGTAAAATATATCATCAATGTGGCTGAAATAAACAATCCAGCAGAGAATGTGAAGCCCAGAGCTTCATTGTTCACTAACAATGAACAAGTGATGGAACTACAAGAAAACAGTTTTGGCAGACAACATAGGTTTCATAAGCAACATAGCGTATTAATGTCGCAAAGGAAGCACAGATTGACAATATCCAATAATTTTGAACACAACAAAACATGCACTTATTTGGGAACAACAAAATGAAGCTAAACATCAAATTGTACCAAATTCTCATGAAAATGAGATTTTGAAGAACTTAATTATTAGCTATTCCAAAAGGTCAATGACAAAACCAAACACTAATGGTGAACAACATCTCTGCCTTCCCCTTTTGCCTTTTGTGAAGCTGCTCTTATTTGACGCTGCTCCTCTTTATATACCCGGTTCCTTCGTTGGTACTGCCAAAAAATTCCAAATACACCTCATAGGCATCAGCAAATTAAAAAAAAAAAAATTCCAAAAACAATGACATTACATATGACCACTTCGTGCAATTACGTAGTCCTACATACAGCAATTAGTTGCAAAATCCAGCATAAAGTAACTATTACCAATCATATGGATTTAATGGTTGAATAAATACAGTACAATTACAGGAAAACTCGACAAATCTTATGTATGCAAGAGAGGTGACATCTAACTGTAATTAACCTCCACTTATCACATATCACCACTAATCTAGTGATCTCTTAGCTGATGACTAGATAGATCTAGTCAACAAGTACATGGTAATGAGGTCTAAGGCGTGGGGAACAGTTACACAAGAATATATTATAAAAGAATAAGAGCAATTCTGGTGATTCAATGATGGATCTTGTATCCTGCTAGGTGCATGACATCCTAAGTACACTCATAGTTATGTGCCCCAAGCCTGACAGTTGTAAACCAAAGGCATCATCATGTGCGCATAATTCCAGCACAAATGAGCCTCACAACACATGCAAACCCATGATCAATGTCATACAACAGCATTTGCGAACAATATCTTTGCTGGAAGTCTGAGATAGTGAGATGATTCAATAGTTTAAGTCCATAAATGAGTATGAGGAACTGGTTCATATATTCATGGCAACTCAACAAAACCTATTTGAAACCAAAGTGAAAGTGAATTCAATAGAATATGTCAGGCACAATAGTGCTACACTACCGTGGAGTATTACATATCTTTATCTGTAGCTATAACCAGGTGTCTTGACTTGAACTACAGCATCACAAGATATGGGCAACCATTTCAACAAACTCTTATCTCATTCCCAGAACGTATAATCACCAACTTCTGACCAAAGGCATTTTATTGCTGACACAAGAGCTACCTCTGCCACAGTCTCAGCTAAAAACCAAGTTATAAGTACATTGCCACACGTTGGAGTTTGAAACTTAAAATTATAAGTTTTGCCCCAATTCCAATCAAAAGAAATAAAACCCTTCATTTCTCCTCTCAAATTCCAGAGTGTACAACTATCTCACTTTTATTAAAAGCAAAATGTGATGTTTAGCATAATCTTTGATAATATTAGAGATCAACACATCAAATCAGCAACCCAAATTGTCTAATTATGCACTGAAGCTTGTCATTCCACCTAATCAACGGGACAAATATTAATCCATCCTAGTACAAAAATGGCAAATCAATAACCAAGTACATTTTTTTTTTCTTTTTGCTGAGTAAACCTCAAATCTATCACAATGCTTCTACTAAACAATTTAAAGTTTGCAAATAACACAACCGTTACTACAGTAATTATTCAAATCACAAGAGATAACAATAAAAAAAAATACATCATTCTGAATTTCCTAAAACAGATGCATCCCCTAAAATTTAGGTTTCAAATAGTCAAAAAGAACAAAATCACCGTCTTTGCAACGTAATCGGACTATATATATATCTGATCAAGTGTCGGTGAGAGAGAGAGAGAGAGAGAGAGAGAGAGAGAGAGAGAGGGAGATGGGCTGACCTCTTTGGCGTGGTGAAGGCACTCGAGATAGTCTTCACGGAGAAGAGAACAGTCTTTGGGTTCTCTACATCGAGACATACACTCGCTGAAGTCCATCCAGAAATCGTAGCATCGTCCTTTGTTCCCTGTGATTCCCCACCCCGACGCCATCTCTCTTCCTCTCTCTCTCTCTCTCTCACACACACACAGAGACAGAGATGATGCCTGAATTGAAGCTGGACCAGATCCACCCGTTACCCGTACGGACAGGGCTAACGGGTGGATAAAAATGGGCCTGACTTTTTTGTGTCATGTCTGTCCCAATCACAAAGTGTGGGCCGAGTCTCAAAATATTCATTAGGCCAATTTGATGGAGGCCTAAGTACAAGACTTACATGATTTAAACAACCCAAGCTCGACTCAAGTTTGGATAGATTTTGACTTGTTGATACGAGAGATTCTACGGATGTAGCTATGCCAAGAAGAAGTGCAGGCACAAATGAATAGGAAATGCTATTTGCAAGAATAAGAATGAACTTCTATGAAACAGTAGAGTTTCACAAAAAAAAAAAAAAAGAAAAATGACCCCGCTTGTATTGTCGAGTCTACTTATTTGATTCTCTATTTGTTATGTTCTAGATACTCTCTCAAAGTACATTTCGCCTATTCAAAATTCAGAGGGATGGTCACCTAGTAGAATGAAATTCCGAAGGGGTACAATAACAATTTCTTTCAAGAGCCAATAGAATTGTAAAACAAACTACATATGACATGACTAGATATCTAATCCCTTTAAGTAAAAAATTGAAAATATGAACATGCGGCTCGACTCGTGTAGACATAGTTTGGCTCTAATATGTTCCTATTTAATTGTTAAGCAACCCTTATTCAAAAGATAAATAACTCCAAATCCATCTTCATAGAATTATGAATCATTTAAGATTTGATTTTAGGATTTGGTGTAGAGAAAACGATTATTTTAGGATTCATTACTAAATTATAAGGTTTAATTTATAGATTTTTTTGCTAAAAATTATAGTTCAGTTTAAACTTGAATTCGATTTAAATACTCTCAAGTTTTTACTAAGTCAAGTTTAAACATACTAAAACTCAACAAGTTCGATTCAATCAACACCCTTAAGTTTTAATCCTTGTTTTTTGATTCTAAAATAGAAAAAAGTATAAAAATAAAGTAAAATGTGTTTTTGCACTTGATGAATATGTTCAATTTCACTCTGATTACTCAACTTGCAATGGTGATGCTCCACTTCCTAAAGTTTTCAATTTGTTCTTATAAGCTTTTATGAACTATAAAAATAAAAATTAGCAATTGGACTTTTTAAAAACAAATAGATATCTCACGAACGAAAGGGTCACTGTATATTCTATTCAATAGCACTTTTGGACTCTCAGTCTTTATACTCTCTTCATTGTTGCAAACAAACTGATTACTTCCAATCATGTCAATCATAAAAAAATGGTCCAGTGCCAGACACTTTTGCAATTGCAGAGTGTAAGATGAATCAAATGGACAAAGTCTTTACATTCGAGTGTAATAACATTATTTTCTCAACTCAAACCACGGTTGTCTAATTTATAATAGAGTACTTCATCGCTGCGGCCAAGTACCAAACATGTTTCAACATAAGAGCAGCCTTGCAAACAGAGCAGAATGCTGCCCCAAACTGAGAGTGGCACTCAGATGCAAGTAGCAGCAATTTTATGTGAGGTCAAACGAATGAAACCATAAAATCATAACATGTAGAGAGAATATAAGAGATTCATCACATTAAATTACACAAAACAAAAGTAGAAACATAGCCAATCCCAACTGTAAATACATAGCCTAAATCAGCAGAACACCATACTTGAAAGGATCATGAACCACTACCATAGCTAGAGGCATACTGTCACGGGTCAAATTACACTCCAATTTTTTCTATTTACTGCTATGATGACACTAAGTTGCAAGGTATAATCTTAGCCAATCCACAGTAAAGAGGGTGGGCTGAGCCATTAAGGCAAATTAACAAACATAAGGCAGGCACACACAAGGTACACTACAATATCTCAACCTCTACTCTCTGTTTTTCGTCACATGAACAAAGGTTGTGGACAAAGGGTCGGCCTTGTGAGTGCCTGCCTTGTGTTTGTTAATTTGATTCACTGTACCTCTTGAGTGTGGATTGATCGAGACTAAGCGCGCAACTTAGCGTTCATTACAAGAGAAAAAATTTATGAGTAATTTGACCCCCACCCACTAAACGATTTCACTGCAATTGGGTAGATAATGTGTTGGGATGTTCTTGGAGGTGTTGTACCAGAAGAGCTGGTTCCTGAAACGTTGTTCCACATAAAATGCAATCCCTGTTATAGGCGTGTGCTTTTCGGAAGTGTTCGGCCAAATCAGGGTAAGTAGAGAAGTAAAAATTGGTGCACAAAGTGCACTTTATGCGAGTCGAAGTCTTGCTTTTATTCAAAGAAGTGCCTTCTTTCGATGCCATTGAAGAGAAATGGCCCAAGGAGGAAGGGAGAGATAGAGATAGAGAGAGAGAGAGAGAGAGAGAGAGAGGATTGCGCCAGAAATTACAGTGAGTGGTCACTATGGATATATGGCCTCAACCAACCATTCCACAATATCTTCTCCAACAACCCCCGTCGACCTTCTTCCATCCACCCACTGCCATACTTCGTTGAATTACCTAAAAGACCCTCGATCTTAATACTGAATATGCGCTGGGTGAAATAGATTCTTCTCGAGTATTTGTGGATTCATGTTAATTTTCTTTTTATTCATATTTGATTTCTTTATTAATTTATCTAATCGTGCCGTGTCAAAAAAGGTTAACTTTTGAGAGAATTACTTTCTAAAGGTTATCTAAACCTCTTTTTTTCAATCAAGTCTTGCACGGTTAACAATGATTCAAGCTCACACCTAAAGTCTGGATACGGTCCGTTTTATAAACAGAGGCTCGTCCTACTAACTAAATTGTGTTGACGTTCTGGAGGCTAGCTTTAAGGGATTATCAAATTTTAAATTCAGGATATTTGAATTTACAACTTACTTTTATCTTTATTTGAGCTACTCCTTAGAGTTACAATTCGTGTCATATCAGGTTTGTGTTGTATATAAATCGTGTATAAATTGGTATATAAACAAGTCGTGTCCTATATATTTTTTTATTGGCTTCACCCATATCCGATTCATTTATAAATTATGTCGTGTTAGGTTTACTTATTTATCCAAATCCTCTAACTTTGTATCGTGTTCGTATCGTATCATATTTTGACACCCTTAATTTTAAATAATACGAGTTTAGGGAATCAACCTAACTGCGTATTTCTAGTCTTATAAAAAATATGGTACAATGCATAAGTCTCTCACCTCCAGAGTTCCACGTGCTTTTGTACTTATGTTTGCACATAAATCTTCAGATATACAATAACCTGCAAATCACATATAATACTTAAAATCGGGTTTTTTTTATGACTAGTAAAACTCAATTTGCAGTTACAAATTACCGTTTTGCCTCTTAATTACGAGTGTTACTAAACCAAATCTCAATTCTAAGTTAAGTGTTATTTATGTGCTTCACCAAACTTCAAGTCCATTGAAAAGCATTCTAACTAACTAGTGTTATTTCCGTCATACATCGTTTTCTTTCATGTCTTTCTTCTCTTTTGTCGTTTAATTTTTCTTTCATTTTCTTTCCCTATAAGTTATAATCATTCCATGTGAACCTAATTAATTTAGGCAAAAATTTTTGGGCATTTGTGGTTGTCACTACTTCTCACTCACCTACGTGGAGATGTTGATGTTGGAATAATGTCATGGTACCTAAATATTATTGTCACATGCTTTGTCTACATTGTTATTTCACATTTACATATCCAAATTAAAGTTGTCAAATGATTTGAATGTGGAATAACCATGTACAATGAGATTTGTGTTGTGTTTAACTTATATTTAGCCAAATTCGTGTTATAATTAGTCTGATTCGTGTTATTCTGTTTATAAAAAATCTAGAGGATCAATTTGTTCTTAAAAAAAAATGAAAAAAAACGTATAATTCCCATAAAAAGTTACCAAAAGAAGAAAACTACCTGTTTAGTAAGACCTAAGTTTTCCCTCTGATTAAAAGGTTATCAAAAGAAGGTAAACAATCCTTCTAGTACGCTCTAAGCTTTCCTTTTATTCTATGAGAGTAGGTACCAAAAGTTATCCTATCATTTATTGGAGTGGAAGACGCTGCTTCCTATCCTCATTTCGGGACAAAGAGAGTCGTGCCACTTGTGATGGATCGTTTTAAGGTTTTTGACAACCTAATCCAAACCAAAGCTTACAAAGACAAGTTATATCTCGAAAAGTATCGACAAGTACTTAGTGATAGACACACACAAACAAATATAGAAAGGACGAATTATATTTTGTAACACGAAAGATTTAAGAATTTTTATATTCATAATATATTAAAAATATTATAATGTAATTCTCTTATTAATTTTTTATTATTTTTTTCATCAAACTCACATGATGGTTTTTTAATGCTTTGCTTCAATCGTTTGGCATATAATTGCATATTTTCCAAAGGGCGGAGGACATGAAACATGTACGATGGTTCATGGGCAAGATTTGTGGAGGCTTAGTTAACTATTGGGCTTGTGACGAAGAGCTTTTGAATCTTTGTCTTATTAACATTTTTCTGAAGTTGCGTGCGAGTTTGAACCAAGGTCCAGAAATCAAGAGCCACTAGGACCTACAATTTTGTGCTCGTGACAGACAAGAACTTGGGTCCACTTACCTATAGTGGGACCTACCACTCATACAATCTTGACCATTGAGTTCCCACTTGGCTGCATGCCTGATATATCTTAAACCCATTTGATATGTATGTGCATTTGGCTTGTCTGATACAACCTACTGCACAAATATAATATGAAATTAGAGGGTTATAATTTTTCTTAAATCATCTATTTTAAAAGAAAAATGTTCTATAATTCAGATAAAATTTAAAAATTTAAATTTAAATGCATATTATCTCCGATGAGTGGATCCCATTAAAAAAAATTAATGAAACTTACTCGTCAAAAGAATACTATGCATTTGGTTTGTAACTTTTGAATTTCGTTTGAATTTTGTAATATTGTTCATTTCAAAAACAATTAGACCTGACACGACAAGGTTAATAAATGAATTGGGTTGAATGAAACCAATTAAAAAAAATACAAGACATGACTTGTTTATAAATCGATTATCCACGGTTCATATATTATACAAAACTCGATATAACATGATTCGTTAGACATGAATTAATAAATAAATCAGATATGAGTGAAATATTTTTTGGTATAAACCTAATAAGACCCGAGATAAAACCGATAAAGACCCAAGATGAACCTACCTCATTCAACACATTGAGAGGCCTAATGTCCATGTTAGTGATATAAGCAGAAACACAGACACACACGATGATAAAAAAAAAAAATCTAATATATTCTCCAGTTGCAATGCAGAGCTCTTATAGCTTTTATAGTAGTCTTGTTTGACAGAAACATGAAGTTTAGCAAATTTCATAAGTGATTTTGGAGTAGAAATTCTGAAAAGTATATTATCTACTAAAGTTGTCAATAAATAAATTTCATGCTCTAAATTGAGTGTGCCGTTTGGTACATAAGCGAATTATGAAAGCGTAATTTTAATCCAAACTTTTCAAGATAAGTGCATAATTACAAAACATACTTATAACAATTTTCTATTAAAAACAGATTTTGAAAACTCATTTTTAGATTGAAAATGAAACTACATTTCCACACAAATTAAAAATAAAATAAAATTTATTGATCAAATATTTGAAAATCACAATGTCTGAAAAAAAAAAAAATAGGAATCACAGTAAAATGGAAGAAAGAAATCCTTGTTTTTTTGGATCAATGGGACCCACAAAAATCTTCAAATGGCTATCTTTGGAGTAGATTGACAAAAGGGCCAAAGAGGGACTAACCAGTAACCAGTAGCATTGGATCCTGTTCCTGCTGCTTTCAGTCAAGTCCCTTTCATGACAGGCTCACAAGGGCTAAGCATCACTAGGCCCCCATCAAACCAAACAAAAGACAATCAAATTGGTCATCCACAGATCCATGCAAATAACCTGGCCCACAAATTTCATGGGCTCCAAATGAGAATCCAAACTCTAGCTTGGAAAATGTTTTAATATTCTGAAAATATTTTCTGGGTGACAAACCATTATGTGATATATGTATAACAATTATATGAACAGTCCAATGACAGGAGTAAATAAATGACAGTGCAGAAAGAAGATAAAATGTAACACCAACAAGCACATACTCACCGAAAAACACAAATTCCATTAGTCAATGGTCCACAGCTCATATGATCAGTTCTGTTCTGGCAAGTCAACATCCTATCTGCAGTGGGTGTGGCACTAATCTCTATGTATGCAAGTAGAACACAATGATTTAACTGTGAATCTACTGTAGTTTGCCTGAACATTTCCAAATCTCTCTGCAAAAAAAACAATATGGTAAAACTATGGATATATTGATGACTATCGTGTGCAGCATACGATTAAAGATTATACAAAGTCGCACTAGGTGATTTTTAAGCAAATAAATCAATAAAAAGCATAATACTCGAGAATCTAGATAACGCAATAACTCTCCCATCAATAGAAAGAGTAATACTCAAGAAAAGACACTACATTTCTCATCTATGTAACATGTTATTATTCGAAATAAACTCATCTAATGAAGTAGAAACCACATGCATTTTTATGTATTCCGTGGTATCTAGATAACTATGGTGAACGTGAAATCTAATTCAAGTTTATGAAAGTCACATATTTACGTGTTGGGTGTGTGTGTGTTTTCATGATGATTCAAAAATGAACAATATGCTAGTATTGCTCATTCAAGAACCAAGATAATCATTTTTGCCAGCAAACCAAGATACAAAAGAAACCATGTGTTACAATAAACTACGAACCATACCTCGGTACACACTTTTACCTTTTTAAAATGATGAGAAGGCAAAAGAATAAAAAGACAGTGAATGGTTCCCCCTTTCATGACTGTAAAGATGATAAGCTATAATAACAAAGGATTGATCGTGCTTAGTGCATACCATTTTCAAAAAGAACTCTATAATCTGCTTGACATAAAGAATTATGAAAACAAAAGTGTTGCAGTAAATTAACAAAAGACAGTATGGGGGTGTTTACCTTGGTGACTGTAAAGTAGTTAACAACCTCAAATGTTTATTTTATTGCCCATCTCGCACCCGCTTTGGTGGAAGCAACGGCCTTGTTTTTGTCTGTAGCATTACTGAGGAATTGAGGGACCAATGAAGTTTGGAAGTTGGTTCAAACAGTCACGGGCAGATATTCCAACCCTCTACTACTCTGCAACACTGACATATGTCTCTCTCTCTCTCTCTCTCCCCCTCTTATCTTCCACACAGAACTCTCCTTCTTCATGAGGCAAACATGTCACAAAACTCAATGGCAGACATCTCTTCTCCTTCTACTTTGTTGGATTTTTCACATGATCATGAGAAACTGGACCTCGAATCGATACGGGTACTCGTCGCCTCAATCAACCAACGCATACATGAATTACTCGAGGACACCAAAACCCGGAAATCTTTGAAAGAGAAATGCACTTCCAAGCTTGAGATCCAAAAGCAGGAATTCTTTGAATTCTCTGACCAATCAATACTATCCAATCTTTATTGGGGCATCGAGAGTGTTGAAGCTGCGATTCAGGCGAAATCGGCAGAGGAGAAAACCTCCAGGCTGGTGAATTCAGAACGAATGCTTCAAGTGCCAGCTTTGCTTGATGAGCATGGAGTCACCGCAGGAATCCCGAACCATTACTTGGTTTGTTGCTCCTACTTTTACCTCTCCATCGTTCGGAAGCTCCAGAGGGATGACCAGCAAGTTGCAATGCATTTTCTCCAAGCTCTTCTGGTCTCCCCAAGAGTTGTCTACAAAGAATTTGCACCAGAACTTTGCAAAAGTTTATTCCTTTCATGCATTGTGCCTGAAAGTCATGAACCAGGTGCAAAGGGGAGCTCCAAATCCAAATCCACGCCTCTCAAAAATTTTAACAAAAATGAGGTCAATGAAGCCATGAAAGAGATGGCTAGGAACTATAAGGCCTGGTTAATGTATTATCAGGTCATGTCTTACGGAGAGACGACACAACGGCACCAGGGACACAAGGACATTCCTTTCACCAATGATGAAGCGCAAGTCCTGTAAGTTTTCCCTTGATGCCCTCCATTAGCTATGCAGGCAAAAACCAGACATAGAAACAACAGCAACTTAAAAATATTAGAGTTCAACGGCAATAGTAAGATTGATACAAAATGAAAAGAATTGTTAAAAGGCAATTGCAGTTTTGCATAAGCATAAATGTTCTTGATGTTTGGCATTTGTTATTTAGTTATTTTTCGATATTTACTAGATTCAGGTAAATAGAGCATCTAACACAACAGAGACACAACTCTCTTCATTGCACTTGATTGATTCATAACGAGAATTGTATAGCACCAATATCATGAGAAACGAATACTATGATAACCAGCAAAAGTAATTCAACTTTAGAGCCTGTTTGTATAAAAGGAAAGCAAATTAGGGAAAACGGAACATAATACCTGAACCACTTTACTTACGAAGTTGGTGATGGAGTGTTGACAACATTAACTGACAGAACACAACAGAATTCATGGCAAGGGCTCTTGTAGATTAATTTTCACACTTAGAAACTACATGATTTTTAGAAATAGAAAAGAATTCTGAGAAATTCAAATTCATTTATAATAAGTGTTTCACTACTGAAAATTTCTTTCGTAACTACACTCCTAATAGTGTTAAGATTCCTCTCAGGAAACTGACATTACTGTAGTAGGAATTTTGCTCTAACATATTGAACTTAAAATGCCTGCTTAAATTAGAAAGTGTTTGAACTTAAAATGCCTGCTTAAATTAGAAAGTGTTTTTCTCCCCTCTTTAGTTTAATCAGGTTCCATGAATGGTTTAGACTGGCTTGTTAAACAGAATTCTTAAAAGATCCTATAATCTTTTGCTTTTCATGAACAGGAATATGAAGTCCAGTTGCACTGAAGCGGCGCATTTGTATAAACGTGGAAACAGCATGAGGAATTATCATCATGTGAGCCTGACTTACTCTCCACAAAAAATATTAATCTAATATGATCATCACATGAACATAGATGTAGATTGTTAACAAATTTCATTGCCTCTACTTTTACAGATACTACATGTAATAACACGAAATAGAATGGCAACAAGGAAAAAATCAAGAAACGGTTTCTACAGAAAGAAAAATTTACTAAGAATGTACACATGATTTAAAGAAAAAGTACTGCAAAGACATGCATAGTAAATCAGATTTCACATAGTCAGTGCAGTTCTGGAGCTTCAAAATCCTTTAAAATATCAAGCAATAAAAGTTCTAACTTGTCCTTTATCATATCTATCTTCCATCTGGTGTAATATTCATATTAAAAATGAAAATCAATGCAGTTTGAGAAGGTGCATCCGCTTAATCCTCAAGAATATATTACTGGTAATGTAGCAGCAGAGTCTATAGCATCCAAGGACATTTCAAAATTTCAAAATCATACAAGAGTTCTAAAAGATTCGGATCAAACTTGTGGCGGGGATATTACAAAAAGAAAAAATATCAAGTGCATCAGAGATTTGCTGAAAGAATCCCAGTCAGATACACCAATATCCCTACATTCATGCAACAGCAGTTCAACAGAGGAAACATTTTCTGTGGTAATTCTCAATAAAAACATCACATTACCTATGTCTCTAGCAAAATAAATAAAATATGCATGCTTATGTCTTCTATTATCCCTGAGAATGTCACACTGCTCAATCTATATTCTTCTGAATCAGGAATTTGCAGACTCTGAAAGCTCCATGAAAACTAAAAGATTAAATGTAGCAGATCAGCGACCAGAAACTTTTGTCCAGTTTGGTCCATAATCCCAATATTCTATAACTTTAGTTTTTGATGCCTCTATGCTTATATTTCTAAATTTTTTTGCCTGACTACAGGAATTACCAAGCTCCTTGCTCCACATCAAGTTCAGACTCTGCAATATTTATGCCCCGATATCCTGGACATCTAATGCAGAAAGAAGTGAATGATGATGTAACTACATCTTCTGAGAGATTCTCTAGTTCATTTAGTGAATTAGAAATGTCCATATCGGAAGTATGGGACATTAATTCACGTCCTCTTTTGAGTGGCAGCATAGAAAAAAGAACTTCTCCGGAGAGATTGCAGCTACATGACATCCAACACTTGAATTGTATAGGACCCACAAGTCCGCCGAATATCCAGTTCTCCCAGATAGATCACCAAGGAAGTTATGCAAGGATAAAGAAACACTCAAGTTTCACAACGAACAAAGATGCAGTTCGTCTACATTCGGAAGCAACTTCCCAAATTGAACAAGTTGGAATACTTGAGAAAATTGTTTCAAAGCTATGCTTCTCAGAAAGATTAGCAAAATGTGATGAAGATTACACAGTTGAAATTACAACACTATATGAGATGTTGAACAGTAAAACAGGACTAAAATACTCCCTGTTAAAGGACATAATTTTAGATCAACTGCTAACGGCTATTTCAACTTCCAAAGAAGAGAAGGTCTTAAGGGCATCAGTGTCTGTACTTTCAACTATCATCTCGGGGAACAAGTCAGTTATAGAAAACATCAAGAAGAAGGGTATGCAGTTGGGTGATTTGGCAAATGCTCTAAAACGAAATGTTTATGAGGCAGCTACTCTAATCTATTTAATCAATCCCTCTCCAGCAGAAATTAAGAATTTAGAACTTCTACCAACACTTCTGGAAGTTGTATGCACTTCAAACAGTTATAAAGGCCAGCTAACGTCACTTCTGCTGACTCCTCCTGCAGCGTCATTGATGATTATTGAAGTACTAGCGACAGCCTTTGACAGAGAAACTAATAACAGGCACTTGGCAGAAATCAGTTCACCTAGAGTGCTTTCTGGTCTCCTGGATGTACCAAGAAATACTAGTCTGGAAGAGTTTATCTCTTTGGCTGCTATTCTTGTGAGATGCATGCGGTTTGATGCAGAATGCAGAAAATATGTATCACAATTCTCTCCATTGGCTCCATTTGTTTCTCTCCTAAGCAGCAACCACAAGCGTGCTACATCAAATGCACTGGAATTTTTTCATGAAATACTTCACATACCCAGGTAAGAACATTTTGTTTCTAAAATTAAATACCCAATATGTTACTTATCATATAAATGTAGTCTCGTAAGCACGGAAAATGACAATTAAGATGTTTATTATAAGTTTGGGAGAGAGATCTCACATGTTCTGATGCAAAGAAGAAAAAGAAAAGAGCAATCATGAGTCAAGACGCCCATTATAAGTTTGGGTGAGAAATGTCTCTTGCTCTGATGGAAAAAAAAAATGAAACTTCCCTCGACACAAATAGGTGGCAACTTCACATTGACACTGGCAAATAGACCACCAATTTATGCATTGCCATCGAAGAGTATTGAGAGTTCAACCTAAGATGATCACTAGACATGGAGGTGACCAGTGACTCAGAGAATCGTTGAACTAGGATACAGCCAATTAGTTAGATCTCGTGGCTTACTGTCTCACTGTCAATCATACATGTCAATTTTCCCAACAATATCATCATTCTATTTCATCAAAACAATTGTGTACATTTTAAGAGGAAATTTTGCAATGTGATCCCAGTTGCGTAATGGCCTAATGAGGATCTATTTCTAATTTGTATCAGGTCATCAGCCATTAGCCTACTACAGCAAATACAAAAAGAAGGAAGTATTAACATTATGAGTGTATTATTGCTCCTCATCCAGCAATCACAGCCAGAGCACAAACTTTTAGCAGCAAATTTGTTGCTTCAATTAGACATGCTGGTAAGTATGAGCCTTTACAGGTTTATCAGTCACTTTCTACATGCATATAGAGGATCAATTTATGCAATCATCCATAAAACCATCATAAATCTTATTTGTCACCATATTAAACATATTTAATAACTATTTATCATATATCCGCGTTCACTTGTTTATAGGGAAGCCCTTCCTCTATTTCTAAGCCAGAAAGTTTTTCCTTTCCTGAATTGACGCCAGTTTAGCTGAGACCACCAATTATATTGAATATCATAACCAGCTCAACTTCTTCATATAATATCTTAAAGATTTTGCCACTGGGTAGGGAAATAAGGAATCTTCAAGTTTAGCTTCATCACTTTTACAAAGAGCACTCTCTATTTGTTACAATTAGTTATATGTCAAAAATCAAAACCGCATTCTTAAAATAAAAAATAACAATGTGAGAATGGTAATATCGGAAAACACCAATATACTGAAGAAATTGATGTTGGAGATTTAACATCACTGGTTCAACTTCAGAATAATCAGATACTGCACCATTCTGGCAGCATGACGAGCCATGTATCGTGGCATGTGGTGTATGATATGACCAGTTAAATCAGATCTAGGATGGAGATCAGGTGCCATATCTATGTGATGTAAGGAAACACAATAAGGAGAACGCTTCCTGCTTTTTCATTTTGAAAGTTCCTTTATATTCTGTGCTTATAAAGGTAAGAACTTCAACCACGAGACTTCCACCCTAGCATTACATTTCTGATGTAGCTAGACAATGAACAATTTTCAGGAAGATTCACGTGGTAAATCTATATATCGAGAAGAGGCAGTGGAGGCCCTCCTTGAGTCCTTGACATGCGAAGAGAACTCAGCTACACAACAATTATCAGCATTCATTCTATCAAATATTGGTGGAACTTATTCTTGGACAGGTGAACCATATACAGTAGCATGGTTGGTGAAAAAGGCTGGTTTGACCTCAATACATCACAGAAATATAATAAGAAACTTTGACTGGTTAGATCAAAGCCTACAGGTTAGCTATTGTTATAAATTCAATATGGTCTAGAATAATCTCCAATCCACAGCTACGGTAGCTTATTCTGCAATTACAACTCACCAAAAATTGCATGAGCTTGCAGGATGCTGGCACAGACACATGGTGCAGCAAAATTGCAAGACACATCATGAAGTTTGGTAACCCCTTATTCCGTGCTTTGGAGATCGGACTGAAGAGCCAGTCAAAAAGGGTTTCTCGAGACTGTCTCACAGCTATTGCATGGCTTGGGTGTGAAATTGTGAAAAGTTCAGATGATTTGAGATATTCCGCATGTGAGATCTTGCTTAGTACAATAGAGCAATATGTGCATCCTGGAGTGGAGCTTGAAGAAAGACTTTTAGCATGTCTATGCATCTATAACTATACTTGTGGTAGAGGTAACGCCCATGCCATAACAGACTTGAAAGTATTGACTATATAGAACACAAACCAGAATATGTTAAAGAACATGTTCTAACAGATAAAGAAATGGAGGTCATCCTTCAGATCTAGTGTCAACACATTAGATTATTTTTAAGATCAAGCAAATATAATTGGCAATTGTTAAAAGATATATCTACTAATGGGGTTGATATATTTTATCCTTTCTTCCAACAAAGAAGGCCATGAATTTTGTGGTTTTATTAGTATTTGTTCCCTTAATATTTGTCACTAAAGTCTGATGTACTTTTACAAGGCTTAGTACCAAATATCTGCCTTTTAGTAATCCCAAACAAAAAAAAAATGCGGCAAGGGATGATTCATATCACAGAGAATGCCAAAAAATCCTACTGAAAAATTATTTCAGTATTGTCGCAGACCTTGAAATACTCAATCATAAGCCCTGCACTGTTTCGCTGAATTATGGCTGTATAACTTATGTCCCAATTCCTTGTGAAGTCAAAAGGTCATAGACGATCTACAGAGAATCTTGAGTAAACATAATAGTGAATTAGGAATTTTCCATTTTAGTTTCGGCATAAGTTTTAGATTGATTTTTTTTTTTGCAGGGATGAAGAAACTAATTCATTTCTCAGAAGGAGTACGAGAATCGCTAAGACGCCTTTCAAATATAACCTGGATGGCAGAGGAGTTACTGAAGGTAGCTGATTATTTCCAGCCCAACAAATGGGTGAGTGCACTTCTACAACTGCAGTTTCATTATTAATTGACAGATTGCTCCAGACATTCTTTAGAGCACAGTAACAGAAGCCAGCAACCCACCCATTGTATTAGTTTTCTCATTATCAAATCTTCCTGCTGTAATTCACCATACACTCTTCCTTTCTAATTACTCCTAGCACCTTAGCCATACATTTTTATGACAAAGTATAATCCTGCTCCCAATTATTTGTATATGAGATACTTCAAAATAAAAACGGATACAAAAAAGTATAACAACAACATCAATACTTCTACTTCATTCCATCCTCTTAATATCCAATTAATGATTTATGGGTCTATGAATAAGTAATTTCAGGAGAAAGGCTGGTGACAGTGTCTAACCATCCTCTTTGAAGGCATGTTATAGCTGCACAACAACTGCATTCACCCCATAATTCTTATGCCATATTGCTTCCAAAGTACGAACTTCAAAATATCGGCTGTATAGTGAAAAGAATAAGGAAATTATATAAATATATAAATGTAGGCTGCAAGTAACACATATATCGCTCAATAATATAATTAAAATGCAAAGAATATGAACCGTGATTTTGTTTGGCATCAAGTATGTCTAGCATAAGAAAATTCCTTACGTTAGTAATATCAAAATTCATTAATTGTTATATATCCAACTGTAATAGATGATGTAATGACTTGCTCACTTCATTGCAAATGATAAGAACAGCGAATATCTTGTGTTCATACCCAAATTCTAGAGGCAAGACATAAGTACAGTGGAGCTGTAAGTGCCCTCATCTACTACAAAGGACAGCTTTGCAGTGGACATATAGATGGTTCAATCAAGGTTCGGAATACTACCATGTGCTTCATACTTTTAGATTCACTGTTTTCTCTCAACAAACATCAGTTTGTGGTTTCTTTCCAAATAACTTTATGTAGACTAGGAGCCAATGTTTGAGCTATCGATATATGGTTGGCCTCATTTTATGCATCATAAGGTGGAGGAGGCCTCAACTGTACTACATTCAAAACAAAATTTGAACTGACAAGTTTGAGGGAACGCACTAACTTAGTTGCATATCACAGGTGTGGAACATGAAGGGACAAACAGCTGCACCAGTAAGGGACTTGAAGGAGCACAAAAAGGCAGTCACATGTTTTTCACTGTTTGAACAAGGGAACTGCCTGTTGAGCGGGTCTTCTGACAATACAATTAGGGTAATCTATTTCTAACCATAAAAAGAGCACTTTACGTTTTTATTGAATGGACAATGGAAAAATGGGCTAATTATCTCGCAAAAATGCATTACTTTCCTTCTACAGGTTTGGAAAATGGACCATAGGAATCTGGAGTGCGTTGAAGTAATAGCAACAAAGGAATCGATTCAAAGTGTGGATACTTATGGTAACCTGATTTTTGCAGTTACCAAAAGTCATAAAATGAAGGTAACAACGATGGAAATAAAGTTAAACATAATGATTCTGGGTGCAACAGGCATGGAATATTAAGGATGTGCCAAATCTGTGTGTTTGTATGTGTGCGCATGCGATAAAATCAAGGTTCTGGCAATCTGATTTCCCTTTGATCTAGTTTGAAGGCAATCACTACAACTTTAAAAGAAATTCTTTTCTTTAGGTGTTTGATGAATCGAGAAAAGCCAAAGATCTTTTCAAAAACAAACATGTGAAGTGCATAAGGGTGGCACAAGGAAAGGTTTATGTAGGCTGCAAGGATTCAAGCATACAGGTTAGTTTAGTTATTTTTTTTTACACAATTCATGCACCAATTGGACTAACACGTAATATATTTCAAAATCTAGGAGTTATCCATAGCCAAAAACCGGCAACAAGAGATCAAAGCACCGTTAAAGATTTGGAGGATGCAAAGCAGGCCCATTAATTCAATTTTCGTGTACAAAGACTATCTATATAGTGCAAGTGCAACTGTTGAGGGTTCAAATATCAAGGTAAAGCAAATTTTATTAAGTCAGATAATAGAAAACACCTTTTTCTAATTGGACAACAATGCAGGACTGGAGAAGAAACAGCAAGCCACTAATGTCGATAGTGCCAGAGAAGGGATCGAAAGTACTGGCCATGGAAGTAGTGGAGGACTTTATATACTTACATTGCAGTTCGTCGATGAGCACCCTACAGGTGATCAAAGTACTTCCTAGTTCCTACAGATAAAGTTTCAATATTAAGATCAGAGGGTACCAGATGTCTTTAATACGAAATGCATAGCCACAACTAGACTCATCAAAATAAAACAGCGTTCAGTATATTGAGAATATATAAATTTATCAGGCCAATGATATATAGATGGGAATGCACCAGTGTCCTTATGGTGGATCATTATTTGGGTTTAGAGCAGTAAATTGCCTACATTCTTCCACCACATTTTATGTTCTTGTAAATCCAGTATTGGCAGCTTTTAACTTCTAGTACCTCAAACCAGATCTGGTTAAGAGGGACACAACACAAAGTCGCAAGGTTGTCAGCTGACAGCAAAATAACCAGCATTCTCACAGCTAATGACATGGTTCTATGCGGCACTGAAATGGGAACAATCAAGGTGTGATATTTCAGCTCATTTAATTTGTGTTTGTGCACTAGTGTCTTCAATTATCTGATGATACTCACCCAATTTCTGATCTCCAAATTTCAGGGCTGGATCCCTTTGTAGCTGAAGATTTGAAAGCCCCAAATTGTCATTGTATCCTAGCATGTATTGTACATGTTGTTTATTCAATTTAGGCGCAATACCGTCATGTACCAAAGGTGATTATGCAATAAAAAAGAAGAAGAAGCAAAAGAAGAGAACTACCATAGAATTGACTGCAATTATACTTGTAGACATACTTAAATTCAATTTTAACTTTTCAACTTAACGCAATATACAAAACTGAGCTCCAGCTGAAAGAATTAAGAGAAAAATTACTATTTCGTTTAAAAAATGTATTACCAAGCAATAGCTTAAATATTAGCTGGTAATTTCTATTCCAACTCATTTAGAGTTTTCCCAAACTAGTTTTCAGATTTGAAAATATTGCATGAGAATCTCATTAAGTGGTAGATAAATTCTGTTAAGGGTACAAATTTGAAAGCGGGGAAAATTTACAGACATATATGAAAAATATTTGCAACAGATTAAGTGAGTTGGTGGACGGGGGGAGTTGCGCCCACTCAAAAGCCATTTATCTAGTCTCGGCATGGACGGTTTACTTTGATTAGATCGGAGATAAGCCTAAACTTGTCCGAATATTCTTGACCATTGAACCTAAAAAAAAAAAAAAACATGTATCTTAACGGCTGGTTTTGAAGTTTTTGCGGCTCCAACTGGACGACCATCTTCGGGTTCCGTTCACTAGCAAATTACTATGGCCTCTAGGATTAGGCAACATGCCTACTTTTCTCTCCTTTTGGCTAGGGGTTGGCATGTTTATGGGGGTCCATCTGCCCCGGGTTAAATCAAGGATTGGGCGGTTTTTTGGGTCCATGGCCAATTGGTTGAAAATTGGCCTTAACTGATTTAAAAGCCTATAAGTCAACTTACAGTAGTCTGGTATCTGAAAATACTATGTAATACTAAAAATTAAATATTAATTATAAAATATTTATTTTATTTTTATTGTTGTGCAATTTAAAATTAAAATTAACGGAGAAAAAATAGAGAGAGAATATATATATATATATATATATATATATATATATATATATATAGTTATTTGCCATTGAGAAATGTGTTTATTAAGTTGTCAGATATTAAGGGTCCTGCAAAAAAAAAAAAAGAATGTTTTTGAGTTGATAACATTTTTTTATGATGAATTTTGTACCATTGGATTAAAGTGGAAAAAAATTGAAACAATCTTGATTGTTATTGTAGTTATACATAATCGTGAAATTAGATAAATTCAAGCTCAATTCGGCAAAAGGTATCAGCCAATATGAGTCAAAAACCAAACTCAATTTTTCATTAAGAATTTCAAAAGATTGTTTTAGAAATTAATAATCAATCTTAAAATAATTGAATATTTTTTTAAAACGAAATCCTTCAAATATGTATACAATCAACCACTATGTTAAAATTAACCCCCATTAAGTTTGGCATTATTCACGTTTCACATGAGAATTTGGTAACAAAATTGAATAAATTTATAGAAAATGTGCTTAAAGTCTCCTCTATCTTAGTTGATTCTAAAATAAAAATAATCCACCAATGACCGTCTAATGAATTGAGTTATATAGTGTCGCCCAGGTTTGGAACTTACTATTTAGAAAAGCATGCATGCATGTATCATCACCTCGTTGGTCGGAGGTCCAAAGGGTTTATAGAATAAAATTTTTTCTTTTGTTTTTTTGTTTTTAGATTTTGAGTTCTTCTTAGAAGAAAGATACTATAAACAATGGGTACACTCTGAGAATGGTTGCTGTAGAAATATAAACTAATCAATCGGATTAAATTTACACTTGAACAAATCTGGATGGGCCAAAATCAAGCGGTCTCTAAACACACACACTCAGTCTTTCTCTCAGTTTTCTCATCTTTTCCCAGAGCAAACACCACACACACACACACACACACATATATATATACTAGTAGCCAGTTTTGTGCAATGTATGAGATTATAATTTGTATTTTTTTTTAAAATATTTTTCAAATTTTGTTATTTGAGAAGTTAAATAAATAATTATATTTAAGTGTTTAGGTGATAAAAAGTGACTTTTTTTGAAAAAAATTAAAAAATAATGATTAATTATTGAAGAGTTGGTGGGTAACTACCAATGACACGAGTCAACGTCTGATTGAAAAGAGTCTTAAGTTTTGAATTAAAAAATTTTAAATTATAAAAAAACTAAAGAAAGTGAGAAAGAAAACTTCTTACGTCATCTCCCACATAATTTAATTGTTATATATATACATATATATATATATATATATGTTTGCATCGTAGATCTAAATGGGAACTTTTTTTATTTTTTAGTAAGTAATTATAAATTGAGGACAATGTCATACATAAATGGACACCTTTGCTTAAGAGACAATTTAGTATTTTAACTGTTCACTACCCAACAAATGCTCTAGTAACGTTGGAGCATTGTTTTACATTTGGTCCCCCCCCCCCCCCCCCCCCCATGCATCCTCCTCTCTTTCCCCCGAACAATGTGGAAAATTTAAAGAAATTGTCTACGACAGTTGTACTGTTATGACTTATACCAGGAAAAAGACAGATTAGAAGAAAATATATACCAAAAAGAGATTGAAATCCTTTTGTTATTGGTAATTTTCAACAAACTTTATATCTAATTAATGGGTCTGTTTTAATTGGAACATTCTTGTAACAATTTTCAAAGTGCATAGTTGGTAGTTCACATCACAATCTCTTAAATCCAGCCAGTGCATTGATACCATTATGGTATGGTTTGTAATGTCTGTTTAAAACACGATATCACCGCCTTAAATATATAGTTTGATCAATTCATACTTTCAACGTGGATAAATAATTTTTTACTTAATTTGTGTCTGAAAACTTAGACGCTGAATCACTTTCGATTTTAAATATTTTCATCGAATACCTTATTTTGGAATATTTACCGCCACTGCTCATAAAAATAATATTGCATGCACGTCACTTCATAATTGGCCACCAAAAAAAAAAAAAAAAAAAAAGGCTATCTATGGAATTCTAAACTTCAAAATAGGAATGATAGTGGATTGAAAAAAAAATGAGAATTCATCTAAACTTGTCCCGTTTGAACCGGAGACATATACATATGTATTGAACGGTAGACATATACAAAAATATCCATATAAATCCGTTTAGAAATAGAGACGATGATAAACTGAAACTCATTCCTGTCTTGTTAAAATCGTAATATATATAGTTTTTTTTTAGGTCAATGGTTTAATTCCTCCTCCCCCTCATTTCTTCTTGAGGTCAAATGTTCAAGTCTCCCTCATTCTCTCTCTCTCCCCCCCTCAAAAAAAAATATAATGATTTTTCATTATTTCTTGCAAATCTATTTGTGAGGCTTTATAGTTTTTTTTTTAAATAATAAAAATTAATTGCAAATCTATTTGTGAGGCTTTATAGTTTTTTTTTTAAATAATAAAAATTAATTGTTAAGGACAAGGACGGTAATGAAGATCAAAATTTACTTTCTAGACAGGGACAAGAATTAAAATTTTCCTCAATAATAAGAGGTGAACTGGAAAATAGACAGATATTTTAAAATAAGTACAAAAATAAACGGATATTTTTGAAGTGAGTAAAGGGTTTTTTGAAGTGAGTAAGGGGTGATGGCTAATCTCTCCCATCCCCATTCACAGCGTAAATTGGTTTGAGTTGAACCAAAAAAAAAAAAATAATAAAGTCTAAACCTCGAAAATATAAATCAAGTACCATTTCGGTTATTATAGAAAGATGAGGTGGTTTTTAGCAAAGTGATAGGGAAAAGGAAAGAACCAACAGCCACGCGCCGAACAGCGATTTCACGGCGAAAATTCATGCAAAAGCCCCTCCACCTCCATTCCGTCAACGTCGAACTCTTGTTTGAGTCCTTCTCACATAAAGACTCACATCTCTCTCTCTCTCTCTCTCTCTCTCTCTGTCATTATATATAATCTATCTATCACACACACGAACATTTATCCCTCTTCAATCTAACCGACATTCTGGTCCTCTCTGTGTATGTGGGTGTGTGGTTTTCTCCTTCATAATCTTCAGAACCCACATTTTCTTTTTCCTTGAATTCTTACATTGCCGTCCGACCAAGAGGGTAAGATTTTTTCCGAGAAAATTGATAGATTGCGTGAGAGAAAACACAATGGGTCATGAGGTGATCCATGGAGGCCACGAAACCAAAGATTCGAAGAGGTTATTACCTGTCACGTACCGCGCGACTGATTACATGTTCCGAGAACAACGACTTGTCTTCGTCTTCGTCGGAATAGCCATTGCAGCTCTGTGTTTTAACGTCATTCCTTCGTCTCCTTCATCGCATCATGAACAGATCTCTGGCTTGCTTCACTCGGCTGAGTCGACTCAGGTGCCTCGCCGGGTCACTTACGAGTTACATGGCGGGATTGGACACTTGAGCGCAGGTATAGTAACCAAACATTCTACTATTTTTATTTATTTGGTAATTCAGATCTTCATTCCTACATAAGTGTTAGAGAAATGGGATTTTTTTTTTTAAAATTTAGATTTAGAATGAAGTGATAGTGACATTTCAGGAATTAGAAGTATATTCATGATTTATTAATTTAAAATGGTATGACCCAAGTGATGAAAAGATTAAATTTGTTTTGTTGCTCACTCTGTTTCATTGTGCATAAACTAGAATCCCCTAGCTGCATAAAACACATCATTCAATATGAAAAATCAATACTTCTTGAGGAATATAATTACAGTAAATTATTTATTTGAAGTGTTATGGATATTTGTTAACAAATTTCTATATGATAAATCATCAAGTTTTTTTATCAGCAATTCAAACTATTATGATATTTTTCGAGTGAATTTATATATCCTAAAATGTAATCAATAGGCTTTGTTAATTTTGTTGTATTTATCCTAAAAAATCTTATTTATCTATAATTAGTGTACATGTATCAAAGTTTTTTAGTTAATACCCAAGTTGTGAACAGTGTTGATCCAAATAATTTTGGTATGTAGGTGGAAGGATTCCTCTGGGACTGAAGAGCAAGAATTTGAGGATATTGGTCACTGGTGGAGCCGGGTTTGTGGGGAGCCACCTTGTGGACCGTCTGATCGCACGTGGGGACAGTGTGATTGTGGTTGATAATTTCTTCACAGGTAATAAGGATAATCTCATGCACCATTTTAGGAACCCAAGGTTCGAGCTAATCAGACATGATGTGGTGGAGCCCATTCTCTTGGAAGTTGATCAAATCTACCATCTAGCTTGCCCTGCCTCACCCGTCCACTACAAATACAACCCTGTCAAGACCATCATATCCTTCTGTCTACATAAGTTTTGGTTGGTTATACTTTTCTTCAAATAGTTATGTTCATATCTATGCAGATTACATCTTTTAGGTTATAACTGTGACTATATTAAAAAGTGAAAATTGTAAATTTGATGGTTTGAATTTGAAGATAAGCACAAAGTGGTGGATTCGATACCATCACTTTGTGCTACATAACACAAAATTTTAGGTCTATACCTACTTCATCTTCCCTAGTATTCTTGATTAACAAGGATCAAACTGGGTAATGACCTTATAATGATAGAATTTTCTTTACATTTGGTTAGTAACCCTTTTAATGATAGAGTTGTGAACACAATAGTTATGAATTATTCTAATAGCATCTTGGTTGTAGTTTTGGATGAGATGTAAGCTCAAAACAACATTGGTCACACAAAAAGCAGAAGAAATGTTCCTAGTCTTATAATCTTGTTTGGTTCTCATTAATCAAGTGTGTTGGGGAGGATGAAGTAGATATAACATTTTTTACACCAAGTAATTGATCTCTGAATTGAAACTATAACTTCACAATGACCTGTGGGGTATTTTTATTCCATACCAGACAATGGTGGTAGTAAGTGTTAATATTTCTTTTTGGAGTGTTTTGGTATGTAATATGCATTGCTTGTATTGGGAAATCCTTGATTTATGAGGTAGAAATCACAAGACCAACGTGGTGGGAACATTGAACATGCTGGGACTGGCAAAGAGGGTGGGTGCCCGGTTCTTGATAACGAGCACTAGTGAGGTGTACGGTGATCCTCTACAACATCCACAGGTCGAGACCTATTGGGGCAACGTCAACCCAATCGGTGAGTCAACTCATTCCTATCTGATTACAGACCCTTCCTTTGTTGAATCTCATGGGACTCTCAAACAACTAAAATGCTTTTGTGTCAAGATTCAGATACCGTCTGTGGAACCTAATATAGGTTCACTGGAAATCACAAAAAGCTTCTTACATGTGACTGGTTTTATTGTCACTTGTCAGGTATTTTGGGTTGGAGGGAAATTGTGGCACCATACACTGTGTCTCAGTAACCAGATATATATATATTTTTTTATGGGTTTGGTTAAACAACTATCACCAACTCATTGGCCTGCACTCTGAGTGCAGGTTTGTTAGTCGTTGTATTGTGATCTAGATATTAAATGTTCAAGTCGGAGAATTAATTTCATCGCGTGCGCTGGTAAAGTGCATGGATTTGACTCTTCATAGATGCACAATGACAAGATGCTTGTGCTCTTTAATCATTACTAACAAAATCACTTGCTAAGCTCCACTCAAAATTAAGTGATAAAATATAGGAATGGTTTCAGATTTTAGGTGGAGGCCTTCTAGGGGGTTAGTTCGGAAAAATTAAAGTAAAAATTTGGAGGGACAAACTCTATATAATTCTTGGAGTCACTAAACCAATATGATTTGAAGAAACAGTTTAAAACCTGGGGTAGTTTGGGTTTTTAGTTCAGGAGCATTCTTGCACCAGCTTGTACTTGAGCTAACTTTGATCTAAGCTCAAGCAGCATTGTGCTTGATTCTGGGATGTAAATGAACTTCGAGCTTAATAGATTGGGGAGCTTTTACTTAAATGTGTGGAGTTCAATTTGTTCTAGAGTTGATGTTTGTTGGTGTCTAATCTAGTTAAGCAAGAAACATGCTCAAACTACTTTTTCATCTACTAGACATGATGTAATACCTTGCTTCGGTGCTGGGGTTGGGACAGGTGTTCGGAGTTGTTATGACGAAGGAAAGCGTACAGCTGAGACCTTGACGATGGACTACCACAGAGGACTTAAAGTCGAGGTTTCTGTTCTATTTAGTTTTTCCATATAGCAATGTGTTTGTGCACCTAGTCATGTAGTGAAAAAAATCTTTTAATTGTTTTCCAGGTGAGAATTGCTAGGATTTTTAACACGTATGGACCACGTATGTGCATCGATGATGGGCGTGTCGTTAGCAATTTCGTTGCTCAGGTCTGCTAATATACTCTTAATACACAGTCCTAAATAGCAATTGCGTGTAATCGAGTACTGTTTATCATTTAAAATGTCCGCTATGTACTTATTCATCATCACCAATCACGATCTAATGCCATGATGCAGGCCTTACGGAAGGAGCCATTGACTGTTTATGGAGATGGGAAGCAAACTAGGAGTTTCCAATACGTTTCTGACTTGGTAAAGTCATGTTAGGTTCTGCCGACATGCTGATTTACTCATTTCCTCTCCCATATTTTCTACATTGTCTTTTATCTTCTCATATATATGCTCTTAAGTCTTAATTAAGGTCATTCAAAGTTTTAACTTTTTATAATTAATTGTTATGCAATGTGGTGGTTGGCAAGCACTTTTTTATGATGGAGATGGGCAGGAGTTTGTTAACATCTTCTCATCTCAGTTTAACATAATGAATCAGTAACTGCAATTGTTCGATGAATAGAGCTGGGATCTCTGTTTCATTGCATAGCCTGTTCACATCTGTATGCTTTTTAACATAATGTTTTAGCACATTCGGCATCTACTTTGGTCAATCCATGAAAATTGGTTATTAATTCTGTAAGTTGAAGGTATTTTAAAGCATTGGAATGCCTTAATTCTCTAATCTACATCTACCTCATGGTGCTAATTTTCTTTTTCCGGGTAAATAAACTGTAGAGGGCTAGTTAATTGACTTCAGGAACTGCTAAGTTAAGGCCTTCCCTCTAAACAGTCCATCATAATTAGTTATCTGTGCAACATTCGTGCCTGGATTTATTTACAAAAAAAGAAAAGCTATTAATATGGTTAAAGACTTAAAATGAGTTCACCAATGAGCAAATCCTGCATATAAGGACAAGCAAGAACAGTGGTAGTTATTGTTCTGTTGATTTCCATTTAAGAGTCCAAATATTATCTTTTGTTTTTGTGGTTCTGGGAGTGGTCTGGATTGATGTTTAAAGATGTGGATAACAGGCTGGGGTTGGATGTGGGGTGAGCTTCTGACAATGTAGCCTTGCACTGTGTGCTCATAGAGTACACATTGTCCTTGGTGACAATTACATTCATGTGAGGGGCTCTGATGAATGTATCAATACATGTGATGAACAGGTGGAGGGTTTGATGCGGTTGATGGAAGGGGAGCATGTGGGTCCTTTCAATCTTGGCAACCCTGGTGAATTCACCATGCTTGAACTTGCTCAGGTAAATTGATACACATGGTAAAATTTGTAAATCTGTTATTCCACAAGTACATTCATGCAACTGTAAAAATACACATGAAATTTGAGTTAGGGGAGGACAGTGGGTATCACAAACTTATATTGTAATGGGTTAGTGGTGAAACCACCCACCTTGTTACCATCTTTCTATCATCTACTTGTAGGGTTGTACCTCTCGTCTTTTTGCTGAGATCAAGTATACTTTTGGGATTTTATTATTATGTAGATGTCTTTCTTGTCAATGTTGCAAATTTCGTTAATTTGTTTAAATTGTGGAATTCTAGGAGATAGAATGCTAAGCAGCATATTGACTGTGACTATGCAGGTTGTACAAGAGACAATCGACCCCAACGCGAAGATAGAGTTCAGGCCAAACACAGAAGATGATCCCCACAAGCGAAAGCCAGACATTTCAAAGGCTAAGAAACTTCTTGGGTGGGAGCCGACTGTGTCCCTTCGCAAGGGACTTCCTCACATGGTTTCTGACTTCCGCCATCGCATATTTGGTGATGAAAAGGGTGTTCAAGGCTCCAACCGGCCATCAGCATAGGTTTCACATAATTAAGCTACGTGGAGGAAGATATAAGTTACAAAGAATAAATGAAGACTAGAGAGAAATCACTTACTTTAGCAATAATATCCCTCCAAAATAGAAAAACTATGTGAGAACATTTCTTTAGTGGAAACCATTATGTTTTGCTTTTGTGTATTTTCACTTTATTTTCATTATATTTTGATTATGACATCGACACTGGCGTGTGATCTGTCAGTGGTTGGTTACCTGCAAGCGACGATTACCCATTGCAAAATCGTAGTCTGGCTACTTTTAATGGTGAACAGCAACCATTGGGAACACTTGATGTTTGATATGAGCTACTAAATTTCCTCTTATATCATACGCTTGACAATATATGTTGCTACCTGTTCCTTTTCCAATCAGACTGAGACTGTATTAGTTTAAGGCAGCATTTTACAGCAGCCACAGTAAAATCAGTTCCCTTTTGTATTCTGCATTCTATGATCAACAATTGCTTGGGAAGAAAAGCTTTGAGGTTGTTCCAAACTCTCTATGGCAATAGGTGTAGCTCTCCTGGGCTTATGTTGTTGAGACTCGTTATTGCACATGCAAAGAGACTATTTATGCAATTTGAACTCTTAACGTTCAGATCACAATAAAACAATTTTTTTGCAACGCCAAACAATTAGCTGTCTCCTCGCTGTAACGATTGTACCTAGATCTATAGTTGTGTTGTCACAAAAGAAGCATAATTTGATAACATTGACAATGTCATTGACTTCTTAATAAGAGATAGCAACTTGAAAAGAGCACAAATGGTGCATTTTTATATTGCCTTTCAATATGAGATTTTTATTAGCATAAAAAAAAGAAAGAAAATATCTTTTCACTCTCATGGGTAAAAATGTAAGGAAACATGTTTATTAAGAAAATGTAGGGATTACAATTGTAGAAGGTACAGTTCCTATTTATTTTTCATTTACCGTCAATCAAAATCTATGAAATATGAATATTCAAAAATTTACAAAATTAATCGTTGATACAAATTAGATACAAATGAGTGTTCTACATGCTAAGATATACATTAGATGTATTTAATATATATATTATAAATTTTACTCTATGATAAATTATCAACTACGAATTCCACACGAGTTTAGAGTGGATGGGCTAAAATAAAAATGAAATTGGACAATTGTTTAAATAAAAAATTTATTGGGTCATATATGCAATAATGAAAAGTTGAGTAGAATAAAATCCTAATCAGCTTATCTGTTCGATCGAATCGATTCTAACCCTCTGCTTTCCAAAACCTGTTTTAAAAGTAAATAATTCTTCCAAAACCGGAGCTGCGGAGCAACCACCCGGCTTGCCATTAGGGTTCTACACATCTGTGTGTGTGTGTGTAAGCTGCTAAGCTTCATTTGACTTGCGACTAGGGTTAATATACCCTCGATTCCTCATTGTCTCTCGGTAGGCATTCTTCCGCTCCTATTCCCTCTCTCTCTCATGTATACTAGTAAGGGAACTGGTGGTAAAGAGATAAAGATTGTTGTTCGTTTTATGCAAGAGAAGTTGAATTGAGACTGCGATGTTCTGTCCTTGTCTTTCTAACTGCCTAAACCCTAAAAATGCACTTGTGTCTTGTATTATATGTGTTCAGTCACTAGGACAAATGAATTATTTCAACAAAAAAAAAAAAGAGTACCGAAAGAGATGATTCTGTGTTGCGGGTATCAACTGTATCATTTTCGGTATAGTACCGAAAGTTGAATTTTTACTTTTCGGTATGAAAATTGAAAAAAAAAACCCCAAAAGTAGTAAGTTATATCCAAAAAGTGCAGTGAAGAGCGGCGTTGTAGTGAAGAGCCCACAATCTCATCATGTACTCTCTCTCTCTCTCTCTCTCTCTCTCTTTTCCTTTGACGAATAAAATGTAATTGTGTACTTTCAAAAAAAGAAAAAATAGAGAACGGAACTAGCAATTTGTGATGTAGTTGCTATATATTTACGTAAATCAAGGGTATCAGTACAGTTTGATCTCCCATTTTCAGTAGTATGCCTCTGTGTTTATCTAGTTAGTCTTTTTGTTAATTATTGTTTGAATCTGCTTGTTTAGGGTTTAGGGTTTAGGGTGGATGTGCCAATGATTCATGACATTTTACAATAAGACTCATGGATTGTATAATGTGAGATTGGGGCAATAATGTTGTAAGTGAAGCCACAGTTTGGTGTTTCTGAAACTTCGGTTATATGAGTTTCTTGATATGGTTTTAAGGCATTAAAACAAGAAATTTAACTGCTTCTGTAGATCTGTTTTGCTGGTAGTGAAAGGCTTGTTATTCCAGCTGACGTCTTTGACATTTCATGCAGGGTGTAATTCTTTTTTGAAGTGATACTCCTTTCTCCCTCACTTAACCCTGCACAATTCGGAATTTACTTTTTTTGAAGTTCAAAGTCCCTCAAGAACAATCAATATGTATCGAAAAGGTTTGATGGAGCAGGATTTAAATAAGCTGGATCTGACAACACTAGATCCCCTCACACCAGAAGTTATTTCTCGTCAGGCTACAATAAATATTGGTAATTTTATGCTCGTGAAATTCTTGAACTGCCTTCTGCTCAAACTTAATTGATTTTGTAGTGGTGTTCATGATCTGAACTTGTCAACTTCTAGTTTTTGGTGGCTTAAGACATCTCAGTGTCCAAGCCAATGACTAAGACTGAGGTTTATGTTCCCAGGCACTATAGGTCATGTGGCACACGGGAAGTCAACAGTTGTGAAAGCCATATCTGGTGTTCAGGTGATTGCTTGTTTTCTCTCTACAGTTTGTTCTCCTAGGATACTATGATTACATTTGAGTCTGGAAATACATTACTTAAAACATGAATCCAGTCTTCTGTTTTTTCCCCTTGTGTTCTGTCTTTTTAAATGTCCATGTATAAAATATACTACACTACCTAGTTATTATCAGTTGGTCAATCTGTTTTAGGCTATCATGCTTTTCAAAGTCCCAGGTGAGATATCATACATGTTTGGGGCCATTGTTGCACAACGTCTAGTATAAAGCCAAGTTAATTTTGAGATTTAATATTTCTGGAAGTTGTGTGGGTCTTTGTCCTGTGTATTGTCATGGTCACATTGTCAAGTTTGATATCTAGTATGCCTTTGTGGTTGCTAATGGGAGCAGACTTTCTTTCACCAATTACTACCACTAGTTGGATGTTAAAAGACGCTGATAAAAGGGAAAACCTTGGCTTATACGAGGACTTCAAATTGAGGAAACATGCATTTTGATTAGGGCAACACATGCATCTAAGAATGCCATTTCTGAGTTGTCGCTGAGTTGGTATATAGGAGGTGGCTTTACTATTGTCAAAATCAGAATGTTTAACCAGCAGTTGTTCATTGTTCTGTGTTGGCTATGAACATATATGAGCAAGTATCATCTGTTTCTTTTTTTTTTTTGGAGATTATATGTTATTGAATTTTCTTTGCTCACATATTTTCCTTATGGTGGACTGTCTGTTGCATTGTGACTTCTTATACAAGGGTGATATATGTGCAAGAAGATATGGCAGAAATTGTCAATTTTTTGGTACATATCTAATCTGCACAAAATAAATTGAAGTCACTCACGACAATTTGTCATCTATTTGCAGACTGTTCGTTTTAAAAATGAGCTGGAACGCAACATTACCATTAAGCTTGGATATGCCAATGCAAAGATATACAAATGTGAAGATGGACGTTGTCCTCGACCTATGTGCTACAAGTAAGTTAATTTTTTTTTTTACTTTAAGTTGTTATTTTTGGAACTTGTGTCATACTACTTCGCTTTTGTTATCTCGTCATTATGCCATCTTTTTCTGGGTGCAGGGCTTATGGTAGTGGAAAAGAAGATAGCCCCATGTGTGATGTGCCAGGGTTTGAGAACTGCAAAATGAAATTGCTGAGACATGTATCTTTTGTTGATTGCCCGGTAAGGTTTTCGAGTGTTACACTTTAGAAAGACCAAAAGAAGACCAAAAACAAATTTTAAAAAAATCATGACTCGCAAAAAAAATGTTGTCTAATTATTTACACTATAATTTATGGTGTTGCTCATTCCAACTTTCGTAAATGTATGCATGTAGGTATGCGTTGAGTTATTTTAATGGTCTGTATAACTAGGGTGGTCTTATTTCAGGATTTGATGATATTTATCAGTCCTTTGAATTCCACTTTGGAATGCATCCTGATAGTCTTGCTACTAAATTCTTGTTTGTTTAAAGATGCACAAGCAATACATATTGATGCTCTCTGAGATTAGCTGATAATAGAATGGTCTTAAAATATCTTTTTTTCCCGATAAAAAACAAAATTTTATTGATAATATATACAGCCAAGAAAGGCGATACAAAAGCTATAACCAAATCAAAGGTGGACAAGATGTCCATTACAATGACCGATTAACAGAAGCATTACAATGAAAAGCAAGCTATAAACCACATGATGATGCTTTCCAGCTAGCAGTAATACAAAATTTCAATAATGGTCTTAAAATTTTCCAGTGTGCTAGCACTGTTTATTAAAGTGTGCATGCCCCCAGTAAGACTTACCTCTTCTGCTGTTATTTTGTTAGACTTGTGACAAGAATCCAGGGAACTTTTCGTGTTTCCTTTTTGTCTATTTGCAATTTTGATTTTGAATTTCGTCAGCACTGCCGGAGAAAATGTTTACTTCTATATTGTCAACAAAATCGCATAAAGGAGAATAGTCCCTGCTATCTACAAAGTTCGAATGATTGAGGGTTTTTAATTCTATTAAGCCTGTCTAAACCCTCTTAATCCTCTCCTACTTATATACTTATTTTAATTAGAATGGTGTTCTGCAATAGGTTGTTGTCCATACTCTGTAAGCTGCTAGTTGATATGCATATAGGTTCTTGAGTGCATATGCTTGACGGGAGGGGTGGACAAAGTGGATGTCCTCACATTCAAAGTGGTTGTAGCCTGACACTTTTGCAACTGTAACAGGCAAAGGTTCTTTCTGGAGAATGGTTGCTGAAGAAATGCTGAAAAGCACCAATAGGAAACTTCCTTTGCTGCCTATAAGAGGAGAGATTGCGTCATTCGCTCACTCCCTCGTTTTCTCTCCCGTGAAGTAATTAATCTCTATAGTGTACATGAGCTGCCTTACTCAACCAGCACCTTGCTTGGTTTGGGTGTTTGTTTCCCCTCATTGGAAATTCTATCTACAAAAGGAGGACAACCAGGGATACTAAACAGCTGTGGGGACGACTATGCATAATTAGAAGCAAGCGCTATGAAAGCAACAACAATCCCTACCTACTGTAGTAGCCCTTCACCCGGATAATGACCATTTAAGCACCTCTGTTGGGCACTGCACTGAGTATGATGTTGTTAATGTGAAAAATAGCAGAAGGACAAGGTAACCAAACATCTCACAGAAAAGAAAAGCAGCCAAACATTGAAGGATAAGAACAAATGAATGTTGGGTACTTGGTTGGACGGTGCCTACGTATATGTGTAGAAATGTGAAATATAGCTCTTCTTACTTTTTAAATGAGAGTTTACTTTTATTATTATTTTTTTTTTCATGTGGTAATGTTTTGTTTGCATCATTGTGTGCAGGGTCATGATATTCTAATGGCTACAATGCTTAATGGAGCGGCAATAATGGATGGAGCATTGCTTCTCATAGCTGCCAATGAAAGTTGTCCCCAACCTCAAACTTCAGAGCACTTAGCTGCTGTTGAGATAATGCGCCTCCAACATATTATAATTCTTCAAAATAAGGTTGATCTTATTCAGGAGAATGTAGCCATCAACCAGCACGAAGCAATTACAAAATTTATCCAGGTTGGTTGTCTTGGTCCTTTTCTGATGCCAAATCTCTCTCCCGAATTCTACTCATGCTGGACAGTATTTCAAAACTTTTCCTCCCAGGGAACTGTTGCTGATGGCGCACCAGTCATACCAGTTTCCGCACAGCTGAAGTATAATATTGACGTTGTGTGTGAATATATTGTGAAAAAGATCCCAATTCCTGAGAGAAACTTCATTTCACCACCAAATATGATTGTAATCCGCTCTTTTGATGTCAATAAGCCTGGGTTTGAGGTTGATGATATACGTGGTGGTGTTGCTGGTGGAAGCATCCTGAAGGTATAAACGTTGAACTTACTGTACATGCTGTCTTGTGAGGGATTGGTTTTCACCTGTGGCTTGCATGTCGTCCTCATGATACTGTATTTAAGATGGCTGAAAAGCCTTAACTAGTGGTCCACCATGGACAAGGGTTTCCAAGTCACTTTACTTAGTTTGAATGGTTTTCTGATCTCTTTCCTCCTCACTGTTGTCTCGGATCCCTAAATGGATCTTGATAACTGAAGATCAACTTCTCTCTACCATAGACATACTAGAAAATTGATTGTACGTGCTCTTCCATTTTTTTGTTGGAATCTTATGGCTGTTTTGTCCTTGATAACAAAACATGCCGAGTTTCCTATAGAAGACAGCTTTTAGGAATCAGGATCATGGATGAATAATTACTTACGTTTATCTGGCACTATGTTCTGTGCAGGGTGTATTAAAGGTAAATCAATTTATCGAGGTTCGTCCTGGGATTGTTGTTAAAGATGAGAATGGCAACATCAAATGCACCCCAATATATTCTAGAATAGTTTCACTTTATGCTGAGCAGAATGAACTACAATATGCAGTGCCAGGAGGCCTCATTGGGGTTGGCACAACCATGGACCCCACTTTGACCCGCGCTGATCGGTTAGTGGGACAGGTTCTTGGGGAGGTCGGGTCACTGCCTGAGGTTTTTGTTGAATTGGAGGTAAGGAACTGCACCAAGTGGTATATATGAATTTTTTGACCTGAAATGCTTTGTTGTACAGTAAGGGAGGCATGTCATGTGGTAGGTGAGTACCCATTATTGCTTTAACGTTCTATTCTTTATGCAGGTGAACTTCTTCTTGCTGCGACGGCTTCTAGGTGTGAGGACAAAGGGAACGGAGAGACAGGGAAAGGTCTCAAAGCTGGCAAAGGGAGAGATCCTTATGTTGAACATAGGATCTATGTCAACAGGGGCTCGTGTTGTTGCTGTGAAGAATGATTTGGCTAAACTTCAACTCACATCTCCCGTATGCACCAGCAAAGGGGAGAAAATTGCACTCAGCCGGCGAGTTGAGAAGCACTGGCGTCTTATCGGTTGGGGCCAGATTCAAGCTGGTATTACTCTCGACATCCCACCCTACCCAATCCAGTGAACCAGTTGAACAGTTAAAAACACACAAGAAAAACTAGCAAAACAATACAAAACAAAGCGAATAGATGTGGGAGGGCAGACAACTGCTTGGAACAATTTTTGTCCGGTAGAGAAGAAAAAATGATTTTCAGTTTTTGATATTTTATTATTTCTGAGGTTTTTTTCATGCTTCTCTGTTTCCTTTTGAATTGCTTTGTACGTTGTGCCGATTCTTCAGTCACATGGTTGATAATGAGTTATACTTGGAGCAACGAGCTTGTTGCAAATAGCCTACATATCACTTAATTTTTTCATTACATACTGCCAGCGATGCCAACCAACTCTCCTTGCTTTGGTATTCCATTTATGGAGGTTGATAGTATGTTTCTTATGATCATCAGGTTACTGATCCAGTCCTTGCATGATTTCTGTAATTGTTTGGCTTCTTATTTCTCTGTTAGACCTCACCCGTGCAAAGGAAAATGAGAAAATCGGGCCTATTTCTAACCCATTAGAGAGCTATTGGCCGCAGGAAATGCAATAGTTGTGGGATCAGCGTAGCAGTGGAAGTGGAAAAGTTGAGCTTAATGTGCTTTGCAATTAGCATAATGTTTACAATATCTTTGAACCTCGTCTCTTTAATGTCTGCATCATTGGAGAAGATGAGCACAAGAGTGTCACCCTGTGGCATTGTTTAGACCATGTTCAAACCGTCTCAACGTGAAGAATACAGTGAAATGCTAAGCATGATCCTCATCGTATTGTTGACTTGGCTTGAAATTAACCGAGTTTTGAGTCAAATTGATAGCATCTAGTTTCACTGAGATCACGCTATTTGATTATTGAACCTTCATTTACCCTTTAGACGACACTGTTTAAACGTGACAAGAACAGCAGGGTAGTGGACATCCTGTGATGGGGGAAAATCATATGATTGGCAGTAGTGTTTTAGTTTTCGACTTCATATGAATAAAACATTGTGATTTGGCCAACTGGGTGCATTGAATAGAAACATAGACATAAAGCAGTGTTGTGTATGAACTTCCCGCCACTAAAAATCTAGTGGAATTATAGAGTTCAGAACGCAATAGAACGAACTTATTGTTGCCTCTGCTTTTTCCGTTGGACCACGTCTCTACACTCTAGTGATCGCTTCCCCCATGAATCATTGCCACACATAGCCAAGCCCATTTTAGGAGTGAGTATACATTTGTTTTCTCGCCAAGCCCATTTTAGGAGTGAGTACACATTTTGTTTTCTTCCAAGTTGCCGGATCAACATGTCAAAAAGAGATTTCAATGGACCACTAGAACTATAGAGATGAGAAGCTACTGGACTGTGTACAACCTTTTTGGCTTCAGAATCAAGATCAATAAACTGGTTTAGTCACTTAAAACACCCTTCAGCCCTCCACCAAGGTCTGAAGCCAAGCTAAGAGTCTAAAGATATAAATAATAGTTAAGAAACATAGCTAGTTGAGTGGTTCTTACATGGCATTGTATAGCTGCAAATAGCTTAAGTTTATGTATGATCCCAAATCTGCTTTGCACAATATTGTCTACTTTTAGCCAAACTTGAATGGTTGACAAACATATTGTACAGCGAAAGTCTAAAGAATTAAACCTATCAAGCACTCCACACACTTCACTAAGTTGCTAATACAAAAGTTGTCGATAACCATATCTATAATAAGTTTTTTTTTTTTTGGGGGGGGGGGGGGTGTTTAAGCTATAGGCTCATGTCCAAAGCTTCAAGATGAGCTTTAAAGCTATAATTATACTTGAAATTAACTAACAGTGAAATTTGCAGAGGTCTTCTGTTTTCATCTAGTTGCAGCAAATTGGACCGTTTATAGAACTCAAATTGCTCACGACAAGAAGCCATTTTTCAACTGGGGAGCTACAAGTTAAAAGAAGAGCCCTTGAAGCGTGGATGGTATATAGTAGAGTTGGCTTGTAGGGTGAAGCCCACAAAGCTGGCGTGCATGGTGATGATGTGCTGCATTACATTTATTCTGAGATTTTGATAAGGAAAGATGAAGACCAAGAGAGCTTGCAATTTGCCTATCTTGACTTGCAATGCACATCACACAAACTCCACCCAATTTGTTAGCAAGAGAGTGAGAGAGAGATGACCTCTTCTTTCCTATAAATTGGCTGCTTGCAGTGATGCACAGTACTCCAAGTTACTTTGCAACCTAGCAAAACATAGGTTATTGCAATCAACTTCTTATCATTGAAGAACCAATGGCCTTTAAATCTGTTCTTTTTGTTAGCCTTTTGATTGCTGCCATGGCAGCCCCAATTGCTGAAGCTCAACTTGGGCTTATCAGTGGTCTCCTTGGTTTGATCCGCATCCAAGGGACTGTGTTTTGCACTGCTAATGGCAACATGGGTGTCAATGGCACTGCCACCCCAATTTTCCCAAGTAAGCTAATTATCACTTTTTTTTCTTTTTAAAAAAAAAGGAAATTTTAACTTTACTTATCATGTGCCCTTTGATTCATGACTGCAACGTAAATCTCTAATAGACCACAAATGTCAGTTAAACTCGGGCTCTAATTGATTAGTTTGACTCGAACATAAGAAAACAGATTTACCCCACGTTCTTTTGTTCAACTACTAAACCATCCTCACTTTAAATAACCATAAATTTAAAAACAAACTTTGCAGTTCCCAACTTTATTTACTATCATCATAAACTATAGTAACTCTTGTTTTCATATTCATGTTACCAGATGAGCACTTTCACAACATTACATGCATGATGCTTTAATGATTCTTGTAACCTTATAGAATGGTACAAAAGCTAAATACCTCTTGTGGCAGATGCTCTGGTGCAACTGAGATGTGGGAATGGAAATGTTGTTTCTACTTCAACAACCAATGGATCCGGAATATTTTCCATACTCCTGGACCCCATTCAATTTCTGCTGTCTTCCCTACTGTCCAGCTGCAACCTTGTCGTCAACACGCCTCTTGCCTCCTGCAACGCAAGCCTGCCATCGATTGGAGGACTGCTATCGCCCTTACAGTTCATCGGAAACACCCTTGCGGGGCTCCTGAATGTTGCCAACATAATTCCAGCAGGGTTCCAATTCCTTCCTAACCTTTAGTAATGTACTAAAGGGGGCTGATTTGGCTACAGCATATTTAAGTTTCAACAAATAAGGTCTAATTGTGATATATATATATATCATATGGACCCGTCACTGAAGTATTTATCTTTGCAAGTATACTTTAAAGTCCTTTATCTGTGAAGATTGGGATTGAACTGTTAAACAGTCTTTGTAAGCTCTATTGGTGATGGAAGAAGAGCAATATTAGATCTTAATGTCTTTTGTAAATTAATCAGTACTAGCGCGTTATCGTGCATGGCCCTGGAAGATCTAGTTGCAATAACCAATTTTATAAAGTTCTAACTGTGCTCTAATTCAATCTTTTCATTCAAATTTGTCAATTTATTCCAACAGAATGACCTCATGCGACTTGAACCAAGTAGTGTATTTGTCTAGCAAGTACAAGAATGATTGATTTCAGCTTATTGCTCCTTTATTTGTATAGGTTTTGGTTTTGGAAAAATGGCATTTAAAACTTGATGATGTTTATAATCTTCTTGAGCTTCAACATGAAAGCACTTTTGTGATGGCCTCTTGTGCCCACTGAGGCTGATGGGGCTCAAATATTTGGCATTGTATTTTACAAATTTATACATCAAGCTCCATGACTCACAACCAACAGTATTGGGATACCTCGTCCCCGTCTGTTTCGTTACCTAGATGGCTACTTATTCAACGTGTTAAGGTAGACATAATCAAATCCTCAAAGATCTTGGTTTGCATCTTACTGAGGAATTGTGTTAGTGTGGATTTGACACAAACTTTAGACATTCTGCACTCCACCAATTTTAGAACTAGCTTGAAGAAAGAAATCCCAATGTCATACTTGTTCCACACTACACACCAGCAGCTCTTGACACCACCAAGCTGTTCGACTGTGTATGGACTCCAACATGGTGTAGTTTGTTTTTGATTTGGTAGCCTTCTGGTATTATTTTTTGTTTTTCAAATATTTTTCAGATTTTGTTATCAGTTTCTCAATAGCATTATCTATTTCAAATTGAGAGGATGTGAATCCGTGATGTACAGTTGGATTTGTTCCTCTTCTGGGTCATAGGCATTACGTGCTCCAATCCTAGTGGGGGCTCTTCAAAGACATTGTCAAGCAATAATGCATAGAAAATCGTAACGTCACGTCATTAATATCATATTATATTATCAATTAATTATAAAATAAAAAATAAGATGAATGAATTTTTCTGTTTCAACATGACAAGTATTAAATAAGATGGTTATTAGTAGTTTATTAAAATAATAAAACCTAGTAAAATCTTGTGTAATTATTTTTTATTCATATTAGAGCTATTTAATAACTTCCTTAATCCTTATGTAAAAATGTTAAACGACGTATATTAAACGGAGATAATATTTTATTATTAATTAATAATACTACGTAACATTGAAGACGTGTTATCCTCGCATTCAATATTTTCTTCCCTTTGGCACTCTTTTATAGTTTTATTTCTAAACAACTTGAAGAAGCTCGTTCAAAGCCATTTCTTTTCTTGCTGGAACACCCCAACCTGTCCCCCCTCTCTCTCTCTCTCTCTCTCTTCCATGTATTCTGAATCTATATATACACATAGCACATCAACCCATTTGTTTCAAAACACACCCACCCTCCAATTACTCCTTTTCTCTGCAGTGCTGCTAGAAGTTTTCATTTTCCTTAAGAGATAAAGATAAATCTCCGTCTCTTCTGCCGTTTGGATCAAGACCAAGATGGCTCGTTCTCTGTCCAATGTTAAAGTCTTATCCTTTTCCTTTGTAGATGGCCTTTCCCTCAAATTTAACAGGTTAGTATTATTATGCAAACATATGGGTGAACACCATGATGAATTCTAATGGGCATAACATGTTTTACTTATTCCATTTCATTTTTGTTCATTCTCTTGAACTCAATCAACTCAGAAAATGATCATTTACTATTTTAGTTGTCGTTTTCAGTTTATTTTTGGATGTAATATACATAAAAAGATTATCCTTGTATTCAAACTTATACTATCACGGTTTTTAACCGGTTAACCAATAAAACATTATCCTAGTTTATTAGGGTGGACTAATCTTCACCACCGAGGCGATAGCCTAGTTACTTTTAGAAGAGAGTGAAAGTTTCGTTCTTCTCTAGTGATTATGCGTTTTAAAATATATGTGATAACAATCTTATGAACCAAATAATACTAGAATGATTGAATATCCAACTTGTTCTCGATGAGTTTGAGATGAGACGAGGGACTCAACTGTCTCCGGTCAATCTTAGACTTTTAAACCACTCTGTCCAATTTTATTTATAAGATTTATGGGGTAAATAGGCGAGGCTATGCGGGTGCGACAGCAAGCGTGGGAAAGGGAGAGTCCACCACTCCAGTGGTGGGGAAAGTGGAAGAGACGGTTGAGATCAAAGAAGATGCCAACAAGACTTGTTCATGGGGCCCAGACCCAGTTACTGGATACTACAAGCCTACAGATCATGCGGATGAGATCGGCACGGCAGAGCTTCGTGATATGGCGTTGAACCACAAGATCAAGCCTCCCCATTGAAGAAAACAGAGGAAGAAACAAATTATTATGACTTTCGTGGAAAGAACTGTCTTCTTGTCACCAGCTGTCATGTTGAATACATTGAGGAATAAAGCAAGCTCAATTTAATGTTAATGTATTGTCAGTATTGTGATTGTTTCAACTACTTCTTCTTTTTTTTTTTTTTTTCTTTTAACGGTTAGAGTCTCCGAACTAACTTTAAGTATGTTTCAATGGATTTTTTTTTAATTATTATGATATTTATGAGAAATAAATCTCTAACAATATAATCTCAAAAGATTATTAAAATTTAAACTCAAGACATCTGAATTTACGACTCATTTTTTTTAAAATTTCAGTCAATGAATCATAAATCACTTAGGACAGATTTAAGTGAGACCCATTATTTGCAATTGGGTTCACCACTCATATACATTAGATAATATATTATTGAGTGAAATTAAATAAAACTATAATGAAAATAATACAAACATATTAATTATTGTTTAGATTTGGTCTCGAAATAGTTTATGAGTAATATTGTTGGAGTCTAAAAAACTAATCTAATTCAATAACTTAATGATGTGACAATATAGAATTATTGTGGTCATACCTATTAGTTTTTTTCGTTGAGAGTCTATCAATTGATACATCATCAAGCCAACAAATTATGTTAATTTTGTAGGTCTCAAATCAATAACATTAGAAAAATGTTATTTGTACCTAATTTAATGACCTTATTTGGTGGTACGATGGATCATATTCATTGAATGGATAATAAATTCTAACTAAAAGTAAGATCCACTATTAATTTAATGACAAAAAATAATAAAATCACAAAATAAAATCTATATAACATTACTCATAATTTATATAGTAGATAGATAGGGATTGTCAACCCCACATCGTAGTGTTTTGGTTAATGTTAATGATTGGCATGGTCTGGCAACGTTATCTTGAAGTGGAAATAAAAAAAGTTGTCACTAACAGATCAAATACATATACTATTTCGAAAATCCCCCAAAAAGTTATAAAAACCTTAAAAATTATAAAAAAAAATCTGATGAATATTCCAATATTTATCCTATTTAAAATCTCGACGGAAAGAAGACAAACATATCAATATGGAACACATACCTAGTTGCTTTAGTAACCACATGTAATAGTAGAAGTTAGGTAAAGTTGGTTGCCAAAATTAACAAGTGGCATATGTACGTACCATTCATTTTTTTTTTTGTGGTTCGAACCTAACTACTAATTTTGGCTCGTTTGTGCCGTGGCCACAACCCAAACTGGGAGTTTAATGATAAGGTATACCTGTTTAGAGTTGTTTTTAACTCTCATATGATTATCAAGTATATTTCGATCTACGAGAGTAATACAGTTTGTTACTTGATTTTGATAATGTTATGGTGATGGGCTGTCATTCTAGCTTAATAGCTATGATATAAATCGGACATTCCACAATGACAGAATTCTCGTGGTCACGCACAAAGAAAATTACTATCTAGTAGTCGCTCCTCCCTTTTCAAGATCACATAAAAACAAAAAAAAGCTGTAGCCACCTTCCACTTCAAGAGGACTATACCTTAGTCTTTCTCTTTTTGTCATGAAACAATGGTGTTGATAGAAAAAGATATTTCAATACAATCTCCCAATTTGCAATGTATGGTAGAAATAGAATTGGATTCATACTATATATGTTCATTCATAAATCAAGATAACATTCTTTTCGGGTTCAGCTCCCCTCCAACTTCTATGGAATTGGGGAATCCTCCCATTACTTTCTTATTGTTCAACCTTTTAACCATTGAATCGTTGTAATGCATCACCCGAGTTAGTGGTCTAGTATTAAGTCGTACTCGTTTAGGGTAATTCTTGACTTCCATGTAATTTTTAAGTAGGATTTGATTTACAGAAGTAACGCGTTTTGTTGCTCAATTTTAATGGTGTTATGGTAATAAATTACATTTTCAAGTTAGTAACGATAGCACAAATCAGACATTCCACAATGGAAGACTATCGTGACCATTTTTTTGGTCCGGCAAAAAAGGGGAGGGGCCGTTGGATGGTGGTCATCTTTCTCCAACTAACAGATAAGGTAACATGAATGTCGTTGATTTGTCAATGGACTAGGCCAACCAGTGCAGTGCAGGGAATGAGGCCAAGCCATGGCCAGTACCCTAGATCGGCCTTAATGGGCTTTTATTGGACAATCTATTAGGCACGTGACATGGCCCAAGAGGCCTTTAATCTCTATTTTACTAGTTAACCAATCAGTCACTCTCTCTGGCAACAAAGTTATATGAAAGGTGGTTGGTAGGGCCGATGGTTGTGGTTAGGTAGTGGTGGTGGTGGTGATGGCAGCAACATTGGTGGTGGGGCAGTGGTGACAGTGACAATGGTAGTGGTGGTGGCGGCATCAAAGGCGATGTTTGGTGTAGATTAGAGTGAGTTTATAGACTAACAAGATGGAAATAGAAAATGGGTGGTTTTAATAAATTTATTAGTTTTATATTATAAATTTTAATATAATGGAGGGTGTATGCATTCCCCTTATGTTCCAGTTAGCTAACAAGTAAAATCCCTAGAAAATTAGAGTAATAGTCCAAAAATTAAATCGTCAAGATAGCTAGGATTGCAAGACTAAAATGGTTAATATTTCGAGTTTTCAAGTTCAAGTTTCACAAAAGGAACCCATTTTGATGCACGTAATTTGCATGTGATTTTCATCCGTCCTAAATTTATGTTGTCACCATGAATCTAAATAACACATGGTTGGAACGTTCACATTTACGAAAGATGTACAAAAACTTGTGTGCATATATGTACATGCAAAGAGTTGAGGAATGAGTCATTGCAAATGCTTAAGCAGAATTATGAAGAATTTGTTGAATGAATGAGTTGTTCTCCTATATCTGATCATAAAAACCAATGCTAAAAACAATGTCTTGGCAGTTTTGTAATCCAGAAATAATAAATTAAGCCTCTGTTAACATGCTGGTCAAGCTTGGTTCTGTCTGTCTTGGCTCATTTGCACCTTTGATTTACAACCTTTAATGTATCCTCTTCTACCAAACATGTGCACATTTGACTTGGATTTCAGAATGATTCTTCTTCCTCACTTTCTTATGTCTATTTCTCATGATGATTAGCTGTGCCATTGGGTCCTGCACATGTAAAGTTAGAGACTACTTATCCTATCAAGTCATTCTTTTACCAATGTGTGTACATACATATACATATACAAGAGAGAGAGAGAGAGAGATCTGGACTACCACTCAATGGAAGAGTGGAAAGGACTCAAGGGAGTGAGGGGAAAGAGAGAATGATTCTCCATGGAAAAGTGAAAGAGGGGGAGGAGAAAAATTGAGGAAACTGACAGCTCTTTGATCCTTCTTATAGATCCACTTTGCTCATTCTCTCACTTAAAATTGCTCATCAAGTAAGAAAGGAAACAAAAAAAAACCTAGGAAGACTCCTGGATGGGGGACCTTAATGTCCCCCATCCAGGAGTCTTCCTAGGTTTTTTTGGGTTTCGGTGGTGGTGGTGGTGGTGGGTGTTTGGTGGTGGCAGGTGGTTGAGTGTTTGGTGGTGGTGTTGGGTGGTGAATTTTTTGTATAATACCAAATAAAATTTTTTTATTTTGTTTTTATAAAAAAAATGTAAAAACAAAAACGTTATCAAACGTATTATAAAAGATCTACCTCACAACCCACAATTGTGTGCTCAAAAAGTTACAACACCCTAATTTATAAAAAGTGACACATCATATCATCAATCAAGTTTCAAGTAATTGCTTTCCAGCCATGATCTAAGCCAGCCTCGAAACTACAAAGCCAACCGGAATCATCAAAAATTTCCTAATCAAAGAATGAAGGAGGTGCAAAAAAAAAAAAAAAATTCTCAATGCAGCAAGCAACACAGAATCTTACAAACTAAGTGATCAAAGATACCAAGCCCATAACATAGCTTTGATTATCCAATGATTGCCGGTACCCAAATTTTCTCCATAAATTGGGTCCGACCCTACCTTGAAAAGACTCGACGAATTAAAAAAAAAAACAGGGTTTTCATATGGACAATGAGCACCCCCACAAAATTCAGTTTGTATGTGACATACAAAATCAATCTAAAATGTGGCTGCATTCATATCAATTTCAGCAGTGAAACATAAAAAGTGGATCTTTCCATAGTTTAGAGTCAAAATTCACAAGAACTTCCTGAAAATAGATAAGAGTGTACCAGAACTGATGAAACAGAGGCAAACATAATAGATACAGAGAGGGAGAGTAATAAACACAAATAAACTACAATGTAAATGTGTAGCATTTAGCTAATAAGCTAAGTATGATCTTTAGCCTCCCACAGCCAACAAGGAAGGAATGGCAGACAAGTTGGGATTGGTGTTCTTATTTGTAGCTTCTCTCTTCCTAGAAGGAGGCTTACTGAAAGCTCTAACGGGACTAGCGAATGCCCACCCCAAACTCTTACTCCTTCCATGACCACCATGTCCAGCCCTTGAAGAAACACACACTGTAGGTGTTTTTCCACACAAATTCTCCTCAGTTGATGATGACACCCAGTAAGAGGATGATGATGAAGAAGATGAAGATGTGGCCATCATAAACCCACCAAAAATGCCACCACATTTTACTCTCTCTTTCATGTAGTCCTGCCCACCACCGACGGCGCCACCACGGTGCATGGGGAAGACCCTAGGCTTGCCTTCTCTCTGTGACTCCACACGGCGGAGAGCGCAGTCCCCAAACCCAGTGGAGATGCGCTCGAAGAAGTCCCCTGAGAAGCTTCTACTTCCACACCCAACAGATTTAGATCTAGAAACCTTCCTATCTAATGAGGTCCCAGAAGGACTCACATTATCATCTACCATTACAAACTCTTCTTTCTTCTTCTCTCTTTGTCTCTGCTGTGAAAAAGAGCCATTAATGGATGCTCCCATGTTGGTTCTTGTTGCTGAAGATTCATAGCAGATTTCTTCCGTTTTTTTGTTTGAAGAATGCTTTGACAAGTGAAGAAATGACCAAAACCCTCTCTTGTGAGGACTATGGTCTTCAGATTCATCTGTAAAAGGAACACCACGAATAGGGGTGGTGGTGGACTTGCTTCTCTTGAAAACAATGCTTGTCTGATCTGAAGCTGCAATGGTTACATCTTTCTTTTTCTTCTTTGTGGCTAACGGAAAAGGTATTTTGGACCTCCCGGGATAGTGCTGATCATGATAATGATTATGACTCTTGTGTGTCAGATTTTGATGGTGGGTTGATGAAGATGGATTGGGGCGGAATTGCAGAGTTGAAGTGGTGGCACTGGTAAAATCAGATCTGAAAGAAGGAGATGAAGATGGAAAAATGGCGGTTGGGAAAGAGGAAGAGACCAATTTTCCAAGCTTTTCTTGGAGGCAAAATGCACAGATCCCACCTGGGCTGTTGTTCTTGTAAGGGTGGTTTGTACATTGCATGTTATCTTCACCCATGTCTTCTTGAACCACTTCCATCACCATTTTTGATCACCAAAAGCTTCAAATCCAATGACCCCAGTCAGTTTACTTCTCTATTTTGTATTGCTCTTGCTACTGGTGCTTGTTGTTCTTTCATTCCGTTATCTTCGATGGCTGCAGAGTTAGATGGCTCTGAGCAGAGAGAACCAGAGAGAGAGAGAGGTCAAAGATTTAAATGTGACCATCTCCAACGGCCTAGCTATTTGGCATTTGGTAGTTCAAAGAAAGAGTCAAACCACAAAATTATATTTTAACGGATTAATTATTTTACATTTATGTTAAATGACCCACTACATTCCAGCCAAATTACTCTTTTTATACTCCAAGCCAATAGTTATTTTTCATTTTAATGACTTGTCGAGCTATGCAATAACAGTAGTAGTTGATTAAGATAGAGGGTATGATTGGAATAATTTTATAAAAATAGCTCATTAAAATAAAAAAATATAATATTTTAATACATTTTAAATAATTATTTTGAAGAGTACAGTTGAAAATATATTTTAGAGTATCTACTTAGTAACTAATAATTGTCTAGTGCTGAAGGACAATATTTTTTTTATGAATACATTGAGTGACCTATTTATATATCTATTTTATATACTGAAAAAAAAAAAAAGAACTATCACATAATCTAGTCATGCAATTTTAATATTTTATAGGGAAAATATTATTTAAACTTAATTTAAAACCTAAAAACCTAATTCAATACAATTCTTAAATTACAAGTGGGTTTTCATATGACATTCAAACTTATAATTAAACCACAAAATTTTGAGATAATAAAATAAATTTTAGTTTGATTTTAGTAAATTTGGATAACAAGGAGATGATGAAGAAGAAGACAAGCAAAAACCCTAATAAATATTGTTCAGAGACCTATCTCTCTCTACAGTCCCTACCAAAGAAGAATCTCCCACCTGCAACTAACTGTGTTGTCCCCCAACCTCCCCCCAGAGGAGAGAGACAGAAGCTTTAATTTATGTGTGTTTTGGATTTTGGACGAAGAAAAGTTGGAGGTAGCAGCGAATATTACTCTGCCTCTTGTCCATCGCAATCTGTACAGAGTTTTCAGGGTTCAGAGACCAATGAAAGCTTTTCGTGTTAGAAGAGAGAGAGATTTGTAGATTGAGATTTCGAAAATTTATAAGTAAAATGTATATTATCTATTAGTTAAGTAAGTTTCCTTCATTTTTTTTGAATTATAATTTTTTAAATTACATTTGAATTATTAACATTATAAAAGTATAATTTTTTTAATACAAATATAACGAAATATTATATTTTTAAATTTATTTACTAAATTTTTTATAAACGAGATTAACAAGCCCCTTTTTGTTAAAAAATGAGATCTACGACCCCGATTTTGTTAAATCCATGAATAGCGAGTACTACACGATAGGAAATAGCGCAAAAGACTAAGAAGTAAGAGCACATGTATTTTCAACAGGTGGATCCAAAAGGCACGAAACCCGACCCATCAAAACCAATATGACAATTTGATCATGGCTCTGCATATTCGAGTTGCAGCCCAAGCCCAATTAAGGTCCAACCCATAAAAAACAAGCCCATGGATCTTCAAACAGATATACACATGCCTGAAGCTTGAAAAACTATGAAACCCATCGTCTCTTCTTTTGTTAAACAAATGACAACAAACAATATCTCTGCTATTCGCCACCTAGGGCTGTAATATGTTCTAAGAGTTGGGCTGTTTGCCCATTAAAACAGTAACTGAGCTGGGTTCAAATTGTCGATCACAATTTAAAACTTTTAAAGAAATCTCTGGTCTTCATCGTTGCCATGCGTTTGATCCGATGATGAGACGAGGTGCTCTCGTAGCCGTCCATCTTCCAATGCTCCCAATGCTCCCAATGCACACTTCGAAGGCTTGGCATTTCTATATATTGCATAGAGCACTAGTTGTGCTACTCCAAGTATAAAACCAATCCCATTTGGTACCTGTGCCATAATTTTACCTCATTTTTCGTTAGTATAAGGTCCGACCCGTTACATAAACTACCCAAAAATAATGGCCCAGAGCCTGTAGTCAGGCCATCCTTAATGGGCCTGTAGTCGCCATACTAGCTTTAATGGCCCTTCAAATTTGTCACAACTTCAATATTTTCAAAATATTTTGGGCCAGTAATCTGGGCCATGAGACTAACTAATGTCATAATTTAACTTGTGAATTTAGAGTATTAAACTGAATACTCTAATTCTCTCGTCTCTTTTTATGAAAATGAGATGGGTCTGGGGGATTCCAATTCTTCGGGAGCGTAACACCTTCCGAATCTCCTCATCCCTCCGATTTCCGCCACTCCGGGTTCGATTTTTCCCCAAGGAAATAGATGCAACCACCTCGAGACCATAGCCCCAAGGGACTTGATGGTCAAATTCATAAGAGAATGTGCTGCACCAGTTCTCGTACGTAGCAAGATTAAGCTTTGAATTATTCTCCTCCATACAATTTTTTCTTGCCAAAGATTAAAACATCTTATTAAATGGAATTGTGAGGAGCGTCAACATAGCTGTGAATGTGATAGCCCATCATCAAGAAAACTATGGTATTGGTGGCTTCAAAGATAATAACAAAAGACTAGTGACCAAAAATAAGTTGTACAAAGAATAGGACAAGACTTGCACAAATTGTAAACTTTCCAGAACACGATATATATATATATATATATATATATATATATATGGACCCACATACTTAATTTTGATGTTCAACTATGTTGCATTATTGCTGGCCCTCCTGGCCTATTGTAGACATGGTTATAGGTGTGGGAGGTTTGGTGACCCACTTCTATGTATTTTCCAAGGTGTACCTAATCTCAACACCCACACATTTGTCTAACTTCATCATGCTGATCCAGAAATGGAGAATCAGAAACCTAACAAGATTTGTGGTAGCTAGGGCTATAAGATTTTTGTGTACCCAGTTCAATTTGAACCTTCATTATATAAAATATATTTTATAAGTTTGGACATTACATATAGTATTAGAGTCATTGACTCTCGTACTTTCGAGATCATATAATACATGCACCCTAAGTTTGCAATTCGAGTGATTAGAATTATCTTTCGAAATCTCATGTAGTTTGGAAGATAAATGTGAAGTACTTTAAAAACGAGAGTTGTACCTTTTAGACGTGTATTATTCGATGTTTGTAATAATATATGAATGAGGTAATTGTGCAAATAAAAAATTAGAACTTACCCCAAGGAAATAATCTTGCACGAGAAAAGCATAGAAAGCCCAAATTCCTCCATTTAGGAAAAGAAAAAAAGACAGGAAGAATGGCATATATTCCACGCTCTTCGTAGTCACCACTGTTCTCTGAAAATGAAATTACCATCATGTTGTCCAAGTCAATATAAATCATGGGTAAGACTCAAGTGCTATAAAACTACATTATCAAAGGTTTATAATTTTATGAACTACATTATAATTTCTCAAGTCAAGTTATCATAAAAAAAATATTATGGTCGATCCTAATTTTAATCCATCCAAACATTTAGCATCAATCCCAAATACCTCATTTTATTATAATTAATTTGACTCAAAAAAATTATAAATTTTAATTTAGTATTAAAAAAAAGACTTTTTAATACTATAATTTTATCTATCTATAATATAAAACAAGACAAACTTCAATAAATTTATTCGACGATCTCAAATAAACGTATTCAACAACCATCAATATATCCCTCAAAACAATTTATATTTTACGGGATCTCAAATAAACGTATTCAACAACCATCAATATATCCCTCAAAACAATTTATATTTTACGGTAACTTCAATAACGGGTTAGCCCATTAAATCATTAGTGGACAACTTTGAGGAAAGGCCCCAACATCTCCTTTGCTTTTGTGAAAACTATTGCTACATTATGTATACCAAGTCAACAATAGCAGTAGCCTTAGAATCTCTCTCTCTCTTATATATATATATAGCCGACTGTCTATCTGTCAGTATCTTATATAATATGCAATTTCGATTAGCATATATCTATATGACCGATTACCTATCTGACAATATCTTATATAATATGCAGAGTATCTTATATAATATGTAATTTCTATTAGTGTCTGGCCGAATTTCTATTAGCATATACATATATATATATATATATATAGAGAGAGAGAGAGAGAGAGAGATTATAAGGCTACTGGGGTATGTGAAAGGCCGCCTTTTTTCTCTATTTTTTTTTTATTTATTCAAACGCTACCTTCAAGCACCAGAAATTCTTTTCTAGCTAGAGAGATTGAATTTCAATTTATGTGACTTTAGTTCAGATAATTCGTTAAATTTTTTGATGGAAATAACGTGTTATTCTTTTAGACGGTAGTGATCATTCCGACAAAAAATTTACGGTCCGACTGTATAGAGATTATTTAAATACTAATTGAATCTTTTATAGACCAAATTAATAAAAATAATAATTTAAGAATCAAATAGACAAAACGTACATATTTTAAGAATAAAAAATGTTATTAACCCAAAAAAATATATATAAACAATTAAAGCTTTACTTACCATGACAGCTAGAGGCGAGCCATACATGATGATGTTTAGGCCCGCACCCAATAACCCAATGGCTTCAATCCGTAAGTCTCCTTGCAAGGCCAATTGAGTAAATAATATCGCTGCTGCTAGAAAACCAACGTCTAGTATCCCCACAAGAACCACTGTCTTAGCCTGTAATCATATTTTGAATCATAGATATCAATTAAACTCGGGTTTTCTGTGTGAAGGGAGATCAGAGATGTTATCTTTTATCTTTTTCTGATGCAAATAAAATGAACAAGAAGATGTAAATCTCGGATATATGTAATCTATTTGAATCATGGATGATCAATTAAATTCGAGTTTTATGTGTCAAGGGAGATTGGAGATGATAGCTTTACCTTTTCTGGTGCAAATATAAGGAAAAAGACGATGCAAATCTCGGGTATATGTAATTATATTTGAATCATGGAGGATTAATTAAACTCGAGTTTTATGTGTCAAATGAGATGGAAGATGTTACCTTCATCTTTTCAGGTGCAAATATAAGGAACAAGGCGATGTAGACAGTTTCGACGATGATGCCGAATCCATTAACAGTGGCTACAAGTAATCCTCCAGGCTTTGTGATTCCATAGTAAGTCCATAGAGATGAGTTCAATAAGGTGCAAATGTAAGGAAGACTCTCAAACTCTTCTGTGGATCGGTTTGTCACTATTCTCCAAAAAGTCCCTCTGCATTCACAATTCCATCAGCAACACTAATAACACATTCACAAAAAGTAAAAAAAATAAAAACAAAAAAAACAAAAAATAAATAAATAATAAAAAGTAAAAAAAACATTCACAAAAAGTCTCTCTCTCTCTCTCTCTCTCTCTCTCTCTAAGTTTGAAAGAGCTTACATGGGGGAGAGGAAAACAAGTACTGAGATAATGTTGCCTGCAAGAAGGAAAAAAACATGAGGTCATTTTCATTTGCATGAATGAATGCTTTATAGACAGAACAGAGTATAAATAAACTGATCTCACTCACCTATGGCCCCAACAAAGAAGCTCAAGCCTTCCATGTTTCGAAAAACAAAGCTCAGAGAGAGAAGACCGAATGAGTGGTTGGATGTTTTGAGGGTTGGGTACTGAAGAGGGAAACATTATATAGATCTATATAAAGTTACATATCATATATTCATATTCTCTCTCTCTCTCTCTCTCTCTCTCTCTCTCTCTCTCTCTCTCTCTATATATATATATATATATATATTTGACTGCCTCACATGTATGCTTCAGAATATCAGTCATGCTTCTTAGAATATTATTGGACATCGCCTATATTTCTTACAAAATGTGCTATTTAACAACTACACCAATATTCTATATATATATATACTAGTCAACTCGTATATGAAGGCATAATAAAATATAAAATTTGAACGTCTAAAAAATTGATTTCATTATATTAATTTTTTTAAAAATATATTAAATATAAATTAATTAAATATTAAATAATTAAATATATGATAGAAATAAGTGATGTGATATTTTTAGGAAAGAAATAAATAAATGATAAAACATATGATATAAATAAATAATACGATTTGACGTTTGAGTCTGGCAAAGGGATGATGGGTGAGATAAGTGATTGGTAATGATTTTGAGGAGAAAAATATGACTTGAATAAAATTTAAACACACTTCTATTTTATTATTATTATTATATATATATATAAGTGCGAAATTCATGTGAGTTCAGGTAGAATCACAAGATGTAGAATAATTTACAAACAAAATTACAGAAATTACAATACTAGCACTAAGTGGGCTAGTAGTAAAAGAGGATAGGAGAAAATCTCTTCATTTGCATCATTATGAGAGATCTCAAAATACAGGTTTATAGTGGAGGTAAGAGTGTTTTTGCTAGGTGTGTAATTTTGCCTTAGCAAAAAAACTTCCCCCGGAGAGTGAAGACTGAAGTCCTTATATAGACATAAGGAATTCTGAAGGAATCTTTGAAATGATTAATTCGTTGTCTTCATTGGATGCTTTAACTTGGGAAAAGTAGTTTCACCTTAGCCTTTCGGTGAAAAAATAGAGGTGAATTACTTTTACCCATGTGAATGCTGACTTAAATGGTAGGTGAGTCCTACTGTTGTCTGAAAGAATCCACTTTCGGTGGAAAGCAGACTTTGATAGGTGGCTGGTGGTATCTTTACTAAGGGAAAGATCCAGAGTGCCAAATAATATCTCATCGATATGTGCAATAGACAAATTTTCTTTCTTTATTGAAGAAAGTAGTGATTGAAAGTATCACACATATAGACAAGCATTATTATGGGGTAGATATATCTATCAGATCATCATATGCTGCATATGGATCCTGACTGTCTTGGAAGGGATCCAATGTGGGGGTGACTGACGCCTGTGAGGAGGCTGATGAGCTATCTCCACTGGCTGCTTTTTGAAGAAGCTGTTGTGATAACTCAATGAGGGCCGCAGACTTCTTCTTGGATTGTTTGTTGGAATCCTCAGAGGAGGATTTCTCTTGCTTGGGTTTTTCCTTAGCGGATTTCTTGGGCTCTTCTAGAGTATAAATCCTGAGAGGAGGCATAACCTATTTTACTGGAGTTATTAAAGTTGGGGTTGCCGGAACCACCGCTGGGGTTGGAACCTTAATTGGGAACTCCTGTTGGACACGATGAACTATTGGTTCTTGCTGGAACCTAGGCCACCACTTGACATAAAACTGTCTGGCTACATTGTAACCAATAATTTTTCATTTTCATTTGCATATCCATGGGACTTTGTATCTACAAATAAAAGTTAGTAAAATAGGAAACTGACTCTCATGTTTACTAGATTTATAAACAGAGGAGAAGGCTATAATCTGATCTTGAAGATCAGCTGGAATGATTTCATGAATGGGGCCATGAATAAACCACCACTGTGCGAACCAGGACAAAATCTGGCTCTTGAAATCTTTATGAAATTGTAAGAACCATGAATGATCTGAAGAATCATTTGGTAGAGTATAATTTTAAACCATGATTCTTTATAATCATAGTAATTGAATTTTCTCTCATGATGAGATAAATCTCAGAGTGAAGAAGGATGAGATCCCCATTCTTTGAGATAAATAATTTTTAAAATATGTAAAGAATGATAAATGATTTTACTCTGATCATTTCTATCAAATATGGGTTTGAAAAAAATGGATTGAGTAAAAAATAGTATATCCTGATAGAATTGGAAGGTCTTTTTAGGATCAGATGAAATAAGGGTCCATCCTGGCTCAAGGTAGACTAAGACTAAGTCCAGTGGGTTGCTTAGGTGAGCATGGACTGGTTCAATAGCAAATACATTTTGTGTATAGACTTTGACATAGTGTGTGTTTGGGCTGTTAGGGATAAACTGGGTTTTGTACTTAGAATATGGGTTGGTAATTTGGTTAGAGGTGTCAAGTTGGGCTGGTGCAACAGGTCTAGGGGCCTGTTGGGTCATTTGGAGGAAAATGCTAGGAGGCACTATAGTGGATTTGGCTAATGGCCGTATTGGGTTAGGATTATCAAGGGGTTGAAACCTATTGGTAATCTGGATAGAAGAGGATAAAGGTTTTGGGCTTGGCAAGGCCAACTGTTTATCCAGGTTTGCCTTTTCTTGAGCAAATATTTGACTAAATTTTTTCTTTCCTGTATCCCTCCTGGCTTTGGAAGAGGATCCAAGGCTATTATCTTTCCTATCCGCCATGAGGTTCCTGCAGAAATTCACGGATTAGGAAATTAGGAATGCAGTTATTACTGCCCTTAATATATTCTATATCAAATCAAAAATACTTAAAATAGATTGTCATCTGGCAAAAATCTACTTACTAGCAATGTTTTGTACATCCTTTTCGAGAACATACTTTGCTGATTTGCAGTCTATTCTTATTAAGAATTTCTGATTTAGTATATCATCCTGGAATTTAGAGATACACAGGACAATAGTTAAAATTTCTTTTTTAATGGTACTATAATTTACTTGTGTCTTATTCCAGATACCAAAATGGAAACGAACAATTTGTTCTGGAGACTCTAGAGTATGTTTTTGAAGTAGGATACCACCGTAGCCAATGTCAGAGGCATCAATTTGAATGATTTTAAAGGAATCAACCGAAGGAATACCAAGGCAAGACAAAGTTTTGATGAACTGCTTAACTTGTTGAACTATAGATGTATGAACAGATGTCCAAAGAGGAGAAGTTCCTTTGAGTCTGTCATACAAAGGTTTGACGGTTTGCCTAAGATTTCAATAGAAGTCAGAAACATAGTTTAGAGAACCTAAAAACCTTTGAAGTTGGGTTTTATCAGTGATCTTATCTGGGAACTTATCTGCAAATTAGATAGAACGACTGATGGGAACAATAGTGGATTGTTGGATGGTGTATCCTAAGAACCTTACTGAGGTCTGGAACAACTTAATTTTACTAGCTGAGATAACTAGACCATTGTGTCTGACTATCTCAAGGAATGTATAGAGGTATTTCAAATGTTCTTCCATAGATCTGGAGAAGATGAGAATATCATCTATATAGACTTTAGAAAAATGACTAATGGAATTAAAAATTTCATTCATTATATTTTGAAATTCACTTGATGCATTTTTTAGTCCAAATAGCATTACATTTCATTCATAATGACCAAAAAGAGGTGTGAATGCAGTTTTATATCTATCTTCTGGATAGATTTGAATTTGTCAGTAATCACTTTTTAAATCAAATTTAGAAAAGATTACTGAATTATTAACTCTTTTAATTAAATCCTGTTTGTTTGGAATTGGATACCTGATTCATTCCAATACAGAATTTAAAAGTTTATAATTAATTACTAGTCTTGGTACACCTCTTTCTAATTTTGCATTTTTGATGAGATAGAAAGCTGGGCATGACCAAGGAGATTTACTTTTCCTAATGATACTATTTTTGAGTAATTCAAAAATCTATTTTTTTACAGATTTTCATTACTTCATGGTTCATTTGGATGGGTCTGGATTTAGTAGGAATATTTGTCTCACTAAATCTTTTTATATATGGAAGTTTTACCATGTGTTTCTTCCTATGCCAGAATGCTATAGGAAGGTTAGAACATACTTCTTCTTCCAGTTTTGTTTTGAACTGATTAATCTTTCTAATTAAGGTTGGATTTGTTAACTATTCTTGAATTCTTTTGTGATTAATTTCTTCTTTGAGAAATTTTACTTGCTTAATTTTTTTATTAATAAGATTAAGATACTTAGAGATTGAATGATCTTTAAGTTGTCTTATCTTTCTGGTTTCTAGTTTGGCTGTAAATTTGAATGGTACTTTCTGACCAAGTGGTTTCGTGGTTACTCTATTTGTATCTGTTGTAAATGGATACAATAAGTATACAAAGGGTAAGCCAAAAATAATTTCATCAGTCATATCTTTTACTAAGATAAATGATGTTTTAAAACATATATTATCTTGACAGATATGCACACTTGGTAGTTTATATTTAACATTCATTTTGCTACCATTTTTCGAACTAAGTCTTTCAATGGTTTTTTGATAATATTTAGTTGGAATAATGTCTTCCTGGATGCAGTTTACATCTGCACCAGTGTCAATTAAGGCAATGGTTTCTAATTCAAAATCATTATCAATGATGATTTTTACTTTAGAATATCATTTTTGGAAACTAATTTTATTAACCAAATTAATTCTATAATTATCATTTATTTGTGAACACCCATCATGAGATGACAACTTTGTTACACCCGAAGTTTCCACTAGAGAGGTGGAGGTTACAAGTATCCGCTGTAATTGTGTTCCATCATGAGATTCTGTCTCAGATTGATCATTTACTAATGGCTGTTTTTTAGGATCAAAGTTCTGTGTAACGCCAAAAATTATCTGTGTGTAAAAAACTTAAATTTTCTGCAAATATTTTGTCTTGAGCTTTTAGTTCTTTAATTTCGGATTTTATTTTGTTAACTTCATTTTGGAGATCTTGTAAGGTGATTTCTTTCTTTTTCTCCTTACTAAGTCTTTCCATTGCATCATTAATGCTAATAAGTTGCTTAATACTAGAAGCATTCTTATCATCGTTTTTGATTAAAAGATGTTTGAGTTTTTTAACATATTTTATCTTTAACTCAGGATCTTCTATCTTACTGATTAACTCAATGAAAATGTTTTCTTCCTCTTTCTCTTTGGTTATTACTCTAACTGTCTTACAGAGACAGCTATC